ATTTATTCATTCATTCATCCATTCATTCAATCATTCATTCTTTCATTCATTCATTAAAGGAAGAATATTCTAAAGATATGTCTTTGTTTCTGAATGTAGTACTATCATTTTAACCAACAGTTAACGTTTGACTGACGTTGAAGATGACAATGGCACTCTTTATTTCATGTTTACCTATCCATATATCCTACAAATTGTTTAGTACGATATCATCATCATCGCTGAGCCACATATTGACTTCCAAATGCCCACCCTCACACCCCCAGGTAAGTTTGTTGCAGACATACCTGATTGAAGATGGTAGGACGTCAATCAAGCAGATGGTGCTGAGAGATTTGAAGTTGCTTGCATCGAAGGCACCTCATGTCTGGACAAGTGAAAATATTAATGTCGGTGCTTTTGTTAACATATCCCTTTTTATTATTTTTCTGAGGTATTAACAACAAACAAACACACAGCAAACTCATACCACATATAAATACACGTTAACAGCGCATCAGGCTCACTCTATGTTATTGGCGGTGATCTCTATGCGTTCAAACCCTGTCATTGCAACAGCAGTGCCAGACACCTTAACCATCACGTCACGACATTACTTCATACATACTGTGCTATTTGTTGTAGTTTGAATGATGTTGATTCATGTAATAACAAATGCAATTGTTTATCCTGCTTGTTAAACTATTTTATTTCTAGCAATTATGCAAAATGGGACATATGTATATGATATTCTCGTTTAATAGAAATCTCGTACCATTCAACTTCTAGGTTATAAATAGGTTCATATGGAGCACTGTGAATAATGAAGTGACGAATGAGAAGTTGCACCTTATGAGTCTGCAGGTTCTTTCTCAACTGTCTTCGTCCACAGCTGTTGTTTCATCTATGAACTTTGGTTTGTTGGTTGGCTTGCTTCTTAGTCCCATTTTATCTTGTCATTCCATCTGACTTTTGAGAGAACATGTTAATTTTTTGTGCACTTGTTAGATAATGTTTCATAAATAATTTCTCAATTTAGTATCATTTTTGTGATTCTTATATACAAATTTTATTCACTAAAATCATTTACATTTATAAAATACCGCCACTGTGTTAAAATCTAAAGGCAACATTTTAAAAAAAGTTTTAAAATGAAGCTAGAGTATTAATTAGATAGTAATTGATTTGAATGATCAGATGATATGAAAGAGTGTTACACGTTCGCTTGCTACCATCCTAATTTGCTCATAACCATACATGGTCTCAAGTTGTACATTGATTTGTCAATCTTCAATGTCCAGATGAAAAAAACTTCTATTTCATGTATGTTATGTCAACAAGTCATTGGAGATTTTTGATTGTTTATTTTATCAAATAAATTTGTTTGCTTTGCAATTTCAAATTGTGTTATTAAAAATTGAATTTTTTTTCTTCAGCTGAAGATCTGGGTGATGATTTAATAGAGTTGATGATAGTGATAGATACGTTGATGATCATTTACATGGGTGAGACTTCTGCCGAAAGTTCAAAAAACGTGTTGAAGGTAGTTGGTTCATATTTCTATGGTTCATATTTCAATAAAATGTTTTGTTCGTTAACGAAAGTTAAGAGAATGATAAAATCACAAATGCCCATGACAGTGCATATTCAAGTGCATATATTGTGGTTGTTTTTTCTATGTAGCTGGGTTGACATAACAATTAACTTATATTCAAGTTTTTATAGTAAACTATAATTGGCTTCTGTGGTTTTCATGTTCAACGTTTAATTAGCTTTACTGTCTGTTCTGTGTTTAATTTGTTGTAAGCATTGTTTTTCCAGGGTTCATTTGGAAAGTTGTGTCCGTTTCTTTTAGAAATATATGTCGACTGTACAAGTTTTGTGGATAGGTTTCTATCTGGAAATTAGAAATAGATGAAAAATGAAATGAATATGTTAATAAATTGTCTATATCCTATCTATTTTTTAACTGCAAAATCTAATATGATACATACAACCATAAACCCACATGCACGTACACACAGATATATATATATATATATATATATATATATATATATATATATATGCTGGTAAAATCTATATATATATATATATATATAATGTTTAATTATTATTTTTAGGAGGCCTTGATAATGATTCAAAAGTTATGTCAGTCATGTCCATTCCTGATTGGATCCCTGGTTGATCACGTGATCAGTTTTGTCGCTGACGATAATTACTGTTTGTATTATCTTTGGTATTTCGGTTGTTAGATCAAGACGTATTTTTTTATGTACTACTCTAGCAGTACTACAAATTTAACAATATTTGTTGACGCTGGTAATTCTTTCATTTTTCATATTAAAGGTAATATTGTTATCATTTTGTTATTGGGCTATATATATTCATTTCTACATCAATGATTTAACACTATAATATATTTTATGGTAATAATAATTTATTGCTGTCAGCACTAATCTAATCATACTCCCTCTCCATGGGATCGTTGTTTCAATGAATGAAATGTTTGAATTGAACAGGTGTGGATAAAAGAATAATCCTCTGTGACTTCCTTTCCTCCATCCATGCAAACTCCGACAACTCGATCAGCACTATGAAGAAAGTTGTTGACGTTCTCTTGACGACTTTAAAAAGTATCACAGATGAAGATCAACAACCCTTTGATCAATCTACCCAACAATTTGTGGTCAGAATTTCTCTTTTTCTTTTACATATTGCTGCTAATATCTGCATCATTTCAGTGCTTTTTATTGGTTTAAAAAAACTTTTCCTTTGAAAATTTCAATTAAAACGTAACGCATTTCAGTTTTGTGACAAATATTCTCATTGGATGCTAAATGTAGTAAATGTTTGCATTTCTGTGTGCGTAATTATTTATTTTATTTTCGGGATATTTAAATTTTTTTTAAACTTATGGCGACACGATAGACTTGTCTCATTCGAGTTATACTGCAGTATCGTTCAGCCATTCTCGTCAGCAACATCTCAGCATCTGCATCATGTACCAATCTTATGCAAGACAGTATAAGGAATTCAATGAATAAAGAGGATGATGAGAAGGATGATGACTTTCATAATTTTGTTACTCATTCTACAATGAAACTCAATGGCTGGATGATGTACAGGGTTAGCTTTAGTGTTTCATTTTTTCAAATTTATTTTAAAGTTTAAGGCATTTAGTAGCCTATCTTAAACATATTTATGCAGAAAATTTTATGTAATAGTTATAGATGAAGGCACATCTTTCTAACTGCCTTTATTGAGTTAATTGCGAGTAAGCCAATGGATGAATCATCAAATAAAACGCATCTTTATTTAGAAAAACTTTTGATCTAATAGAACTGGTGCATCCGAAGACAATTTCAAGCCCAATTTGAAACATAACATATTATTAGTGGCTCAGCTCAAACCAGAAGTACATATGCCCCCATATGCATGATTAAATAACTCAGCTCATACATATACATATGTCGCCCTATGTTATTGTATTATAGTTTTTGATCGTCGCCATCACGCAGGTTGGCAGACAGCTGGCCAGGTATGCCTACCACAAGTCGGCGTCAGCAGTTTTTTCAAAAATTCGTCATTTGGTTAGTTGGTTTCGTTTGTTTGTGGCCACAAATCCAGATATGAATTGTTGCTTCATGTTTATCTTTTTGTCCTGTCAATCTTCGGTACAACCTCTTAATAAGTGTTTTCAAAAGAACTTTCATTTTTGACATTAAAAAATGAGAAATTTTGTTTTTTCTATAACAAGTTTTGAGATATGATATACTGTTTAACTATAGATAAATAAATTTTTATTACAATAATAACTAGACTAGATGAGTCATGTATTATACTTTTATGTATGATTTGAAGCCTCATTAATCCCAACAGCAGTTTTAATCCTAAAATGAGGATATGTTTTTAACGTCAAAACTGATTAGCCCGATTGACGCTAATTCGTTCAATGAATAATTACCGTTTCCTAATATTATTTTTCAACTTTATATATCAGAGGTAGCCAAATGTTACAAAAACTTTTTCTAATTTTCTATCACAACCTACACCAAGCAGTTCATTCAAGTTAAATAAAAATATTAATAATATTTGTTGTCAAATTGTTTGATGGTTTCACCATTTTATTAAAAAAAACGATTTAATGAATTACTACGCCAATGCAGGTGTACGACGAACGTAGGAATGCATGGATGGATGGCTTGAACAAATTCTCTAAAGCTGAATCACTTATTAGAGATGCTGGTGATAGGAAGAAATCAGGATTCGCTGGTGGAAGTGTCATCGGTCGATCTGGAGATGTGAGGATGGAGTTACTGGAAAGATTGACCAACGCTGTCGATTACTACCAACTCGCTGTTTCTAATTTCAAAGTTTGTCAATGTTAACTCATCACTTGCACTCCTAATCTTGTAGTAGCTACATGTTTGGGTTATAAATGGTTCGCATACGAGCGCTATAGGTTTTCGAGTTAAATTAAATTTTGAAGTATCTTAAGGAGTTGGGGTATAAAGGAAGAAATTTTATTGGGCTGATGATGGTATGATAATTTAACAAGATATTATTTCATTACATTTAGAATTTAAGTTTATTACCGAATAAATATGAAAATGTTAAAAATAGACAGAATAGTTTAAGCACTGACTGCAACTATGAAGTAAATGAAGTTGATTTATTTGTGTATTTGTTTGTAGGCATCTGCCTGTCTTCATCATTCCATCTTCCAAATCACGTACACCAATTTGAGGTGCAAGTTCATATTGTGCTGTATCCAAGTTCTACAAGTTAGTCTTCTTTACTTAGTCTTCAGTCTCTCCTCTTTGCAGTTATTGATATAGCTGGCTTCTTATTCTGCAGATTGTTCCAATATTAAAGCATGCAATGGGTTTCTGTATTTTTTTATGTTCATCTTTTTATTTTCAAATTTCAACACGAAATGTTGTGTTGAACGTGTGTTAATTGATACACAACCTCGAAATCATCATGATTCAGTCGTGCTGCAGCTTCCAAACAGTGCCTCCACCAGCCATCGCCACGTCACTCGCCATCAACACCGGACAGGAGAGTCACAAATGTGAACACGTCCTTAACCAAGTACCACCACCTCATCCAACATGATGTTGCTGTTGTTGTTTCTTCTTTTACTTGCTGCTTGTCATTGCTGTTGTTAATATGATTTTGTTGCTGTTGTTTCTAAGATGCTGCTAGTTGTTTTTTAGTCAGTGTCTCCAACAGGTTATGCCTTCATTCTGTTTGTTATATTCGTTCGTTGTCAGCTAATAAGTTAGTTTTTTTGTTTTAGGTGACTTTTTAAGATCTATTGCTCGTGTTTGTTTTTGTTTCTTTGCCAATAATTATTTGCTTTGTTTCCAGATAATTATATTTTCGAAATGTCATGTTATCTATCATCTTTTTTTATTGCATATTTCAATTTGTTTACTAGTCCAACAAATGAAGAAGTAAAAACATAAAAATTATTTTATGATTTGGTTGTATTATATTGTGTTTGATCTGTTAAGTCATTTGGAAGTTAGAAAGCTGTGATTGTTTCAGTTTCATTATTTTAAATGAAACTTTTTTTTATTAATTTGTCACCACCGGCAGTTTAAAAGTTGCATTGAAAAATTATTATCACTGGAGAAAGAATACAGCGAGCTTCACTCCAGCTGCTTTGATGCTGACCAACGCACTCTGCAGCACATTGACATGTTAGCCCTCCATTTAGAATGGAATAGTTGAATGAAACTTTTATGTTGTTGAACATCATTAGTCTTATTATTAAAAATTCTGTCGTCGTAATACGTGTTTGATGTGGCCTTTGTTGTTCTATAATTAATTGTTAGTTTGGTATTAGTTTCAATGCGACGTAATCTTTAAACTTAATTTTAAAAATGTTTTCAAATTATAGCAGTGTTTGTTTCTTTTAACATTTGAACAGCTGCCTGGAAATGTGTCGTCTGATTTTAAATGTTCTCAAAGCCGTACTAAGTCACACAAGCGGGTTAGAGTTCTCTTCTTATTGCATTTGCTCTTTATCGTTATTTAAAAAGGATAATTGTAGAACATAATTGAAATTTGATTCTGCCGATATCACAGAACATTAGACATGAAATCGACGCTGATGGCGGACGCAACGAGCTTCATAACGTCTCGAGCGTCATCGTCGGTTGAAGATAGGTGGTGGAGGTTCATAAACAATGATCTGCTCAACTCTTTGCAACAATCTCTCGACACTGAAGATAATCTTCTTCTCAGTTGTCAGGTCTGGAATGGGAGTTGTTGAGCTTAGAAGAGGATTAAAAGCATTCCTGTATATGTCATATTTTTTAATATGGAGCATAAACGGTTTTGTTTTTGAAAGAGTTTTTGAGAATTGCTTGTATGAACGATTTACAATTTTTTTTGTTACTAATAGTATTGATAATATTAAATGTTGCATGTACAATGCATTCGTGTATAGTTTATCGTACTACTGTTTTCTCATCCGTAATGCAGATAATAGGCCAAATCGAGCAGGCTATATACAAATGCACACAGTTTCCACTTCATTTTCCACGATTTTTTTTCCAGAAACTACAAGCCACGGATATAAGAGTTTGTTATTTAATTATCTAATAACAACATAGGCGCATTAAATTTTGAACAGCCCATCAACATTTAATTAACCATCAAACAGCCATTAATCAGCCATCAATCAACATAAACAAATCGTCAACCACTTGTTGACCAGCAATAATCAGCTATCGACCAACAATCACCCAGCTGGCCATCTCTCCGCCTATGAAAAGTCCTGATGATGTTATACTGGTCAAATGTGACACGCTATTTGCCATCAAAGTCGAAGGCATTGTTAGTTCTTGTGCATTTGCGGCGGTGAACCAGCAGAAAATTTACACTGTCAACAAAAGAATTAGGAAAGTTCAGTTGACCGTTTCTTCCGAGCAAACATCTGGGAAGACTATGAAGGTTTGGGAAGAAAATTTGATTTTAGAACATATTGGTGCAAATAGTTTCAAGATTTATCCGACAACTATAACAATTATTTTTATATTTATTAAATTTCTTCTAACATCTCATATTTATTTTGTCTTAGTTTATCAATTAAAAAATTGGTGGCCAGTGCTGAAATTGGTTAGCAAAATAACAAAATTGAACATTCCGTTAACAGTGCCCACCCGTGGGACCGACAACAATCCACTTTGTTGAAAGATGCCCCATGCAAACTGACTACGTGTGCCATCGATTCCTCATTCCCTTCCCCACTCCTGGATATTATCAGGTTTTTTCTTATTGATCGATATGTTTTTTTTTTTTTTTTGAAAATAAAAATTCGAAATGCGTTTGGCGAATTTTATCGTATTTGATTGTCTTTGTTTAACTACGCCATAATTATATCTACGTTGTCAATATTTATATCTTCCCTGGTTATGTCTAAACCCATTTGAGTCAGCGAGTTAGTGCACCTTGTTTGTTGTTGATCATTGCACAAGATTCCAAAACGCTGACTGATCAAAAAACTTGAAACTAAGTAAGACTCAAATACATAACATCTTGTCCCAAATGTGCTACGCATGTTTTCATGTTTTATTATTGTTAACAATGCCCTTTGCGTTGTAATAATTGCCTTTTTCACACATTTTATTTCTTTCTTATTTCTTCCTTCATCTTTTCACCAACCTAGATTGGATCATTTGATTCTGCATATAGACTTCGTTCAATTAAAGTTTCTTTTCATTATGACGACACAAGCTGTTCTAGGATAGAGACCAACTAATGCTTAAAAATGGATTTACCAGCATTTAGAAGCACCTCCAAACTACTTTTTCCAAGATTCCAAGTTTTCTGCCTCCGATACATGCGCAATTTGTTATTTCATCGCTGTTGCCTTTTGGTTGATTTGAAGACTCTGCTTATTTAAAAATCCATCGACTACTACTTAGCTAGTTAACCAGATTACATTGACTCGACTCTGTACACTATGCTATGTAGCAAGTGAATTTTTCATTTAATACTAAAGAAGGTTCAATGTTATATTTGAAGTATCTGGTTAGGGTGAATATTTTTTGAGCATTTCATTCTTGAGAAAAGATTTTTTATATCTTTTTAAAAATATTGTTCTTGTTTTACATTGACAAGTTTGCGAAAAATGGTTTTTGTTGCTGTTGTGATTGGTTCGCTATAATGAGATGAATATAATACTGAACAATAACGAATTTTTTAATTGAAATTTTTGTACTTTTAAACACGTTAATTTAATATATTTAATTCAGATTTGCATAGACGCAAAAATTGTGGATGTCGAAGAAAGAGTTTGGTCGAGTTGCGCTAAGTCGTTCTTAATGGTGCAAGCTTATGATGAAGTCTTGTTGAGACAACAACAACAGCAACAACAAGCACATGCCTAAAATTATTTGTGCACTCAACAGTTTATTTTTATAGTTCATAAAGTAATATAGCTACAATTTTTTAACTTTAACAGTTTTTGTTTCATCTTTTTGAATATTCATTCCCACTGAGAAGAAAAATGAAATGCTATTCTTAAGGTCAAATGTTTTTTCGTGAAAATTTTTAAAATTTCCAAACACGTTTACTATTTAACACGACGCAATGTTTATTTTTATGTAAATAAAACATGCTTCTGGAAGAATATTTTTATTTGGAAGCAAACTTTTCAGCCGAGGTGATTAGAGATAAATGAATGATGGTGAAATATCTAATTATAGACCGATGCAAAACTTCGTTTTAAACTCTTCCGCTTTTTCTTTTCTAAAATGTGAAATATGGTTACAACTTCGAACGATTTGGGAAAGAATATTAAGGATGAGGCATCACCACTGTCTCTTTCATCTACGTCAACCACTTCTTCGATTGCACACGCTTTTGAAAACGTTTCTAGGCGTAAAGTTAAGAATGGGAAAAAAGTCAGCGGAAAGAAACTTTATGATAAAAATAAATACAATCGAAGCGGGGCTAATTTGTTAAGAAACAAAACCAGAGAACTGAATGAAAATATCGACAAAGTGTGTGGGATTAATGAAAAAAGCCTAATCGGTAAAAATAGCAGAAAAATTAATCACAATAAAAGGTCAGGACAACATAAAAATATTTTATATGATGAATCAAAAAGACATGTATATACTGATGTCAACGGCGAAAGTCTGAGGAAAGAAACCAGTGCTACCGAGAGATCGGATTGCAGAAGTTTCGTAACCAGTGCGACTCGGCCCGCAGCTGAACAAATAGGAAATAGACCCGATTTCGAACACGATAGGAGAAACAATAATAAGAAAATAACTGAATCGGGATCCAAAATGAATGTCAAAAATTTCACACTTGAAATCTTGACGACAGGAAGGACCAAGCCTGAAAAATCAGAAATGTTTAAAAACATCAATTCTAGGTTGAATAGAACTAAAGAAGCCGAAATTAAAAATGTAAACGAAGAAGTTAAAAAATATAAACGTAGGACAACTCCTGCTTCAATGGCTCAAAGAAGTATTCCCGAGTCTTCAAGTACCTCTAAAAATGCGTATTCATATTCCATTACTACCAGTGGCACGATATCTAAGTCATCTTTGACAAGAAAAATCGATAGTGTCGCCGAAAACAATAACAAGTCAAATATTACGAACAAAGGTAGAACCTATGAATCAGAAGCAAAAGATTGGAAAGCAAATACAACAGCCGATATAAATAATTCAAATTTGTTAAACGGTAAAGAGACAAAAGTTAATTTGACAGAATTAGTTGGAAAAGAAAAGCATACGAATAAAAATCTCAAATTGTACGAGCAACAAAATGTACCTGGAGCAAATTTAAATAAGAACAATTTTGGGTTAAAAGATCTAACAAAATATTTTACAAAAGACAAAGGAAGAAGTTCTACAGAAACGAAAGATCAAAAAGAAAAATCGGCAAAAAACCCAGATAAAAAAAAAGTTTCAGTTGAAACAAAAGATAAAAAAGTGGAAAATGATGACAAAGGAAAAGAGTTTTTGTCATCTATCCTTGACCCAGCCTCTTCAAACAAAAATTCAAAATTTTCTGATCCGAGAACCAAGCGACGTTAGCAATATATGTTTTGAATATATTATCATATCATCATTTTTATTGTCGTTATTATTATTATTGTTGCTGTAACCCTTGACTCTCGTAACTACCAATGTTAGTGTTATAACTTCAAAGATCTCTATATTTACAACACCAATGTTGTAGCTTCCAACGATTGTCAAGTGTTTATTATCCCTTAGGTTCAATGATTTCCGATAGATGAACACAACTGCTTCAAACGCAAATTTTGATGAACGTTTATTTGAGTGCCAACAGTCATAGAAACAATTAACTAATGCAAGTAACTACATAAATCACATTTACGACTTCGCTTCAACCCTCGCTAGAAAACCTCCTGAAACGTGACTATGCAGGACCTACCTATGTGTAGCTTAGATTTTTAGCATAGATTCAATATTTCACAATCCTCTATGGTTTACAATCCAAAGATTACATATATTGCAAAGATAACAATAATTAGGATAGCAAATAACATAGCGCAATTCGATCATTCCCGCGGTTATAACATTATTATTACTATTGTTTAAACAAAAATTCAATTTACATTAAATAAGCCTATTAGTCCATTGATAACCGAAAAAATCGTCCAATTTCATTTTTTGGGAGCCGCTATACTTCATTTTTCAGACTGCCCATTACCCTGAATAAAATATTTGTTGTTTGAATCAAGTTGGTTTGCTTCAGCAACATTTTTTTAGTCTAATTTTCTTGTTTCCAAATTCGGTCAAAATATTTCTAGCAGACTTTTCATCTCTAATCTAAATATTTAGACAACTTCCTACCCAGTCACGTAAACGTGTTACAGGTAGTCGTCTTATCGTTGTTGCTTACGAACAAGAGAAGTACCTACCATTAAGTTACATTCCATTTCTTTAATATCGAAAATGTCATTTGAAGTTTTATCAAACGTCTGCTTCTAGAAAATTGTTCTTGTTATCAATCGAGATTTGACAATGAAAGAAAATTTCTGTGAGTATTATCCAAACGAGACAACTTTCATAAAGTTTACTACCGAGGTCAAAAACACAAAAGAATATAAAATTACAATTGAAAATAATTTTTGAAAATAATGAAAAACTTAATAAAATCGAAATTTTGTAAAAAAAAATTGATCCCTGTTCATTTTAGTGCGGCGATTGCGTTGAGACAGCTGATGTTTATGGGCAAGCCTAATTTAACAAAAGTTTGGCAAATCAGTCACAATATTTTACGTCGTAGTTAGTGAACAATGATCTGGTTCAAATACTAGCTGTTTGTAATTTAAGGACTTCCATACATCTTGTGCGTATGATTAAATACATGCATGAATTATGTAAGGAATAAACTCCACGTTTTCCAGAGCTAAAAAACAATAAATAAAAAATACCATGATTAATATCTGGAAGTGGATTTCGTTCAACGCCGAAATTGAAGATTACAAAGATGAGTTCAACGAAAGTGGAACTTATTTTATGATATCTGTCCTAACAAAAACAAGCAAACAAAACTACGTGATAATTGGCTTGACATGTTAAAATAAAGTATTAATGGTTGATTTTGAATCATTTTTGGTTTCAATTGCACATTTCCAGTTCATTTTTATATTTTTAAATGTTTTTTCAATATAAAACGAATTATATAATTAAACATTTAATTTGTCAATAGCTAAATATGTTTAGTGGATTCTTTTTCCTTTTGCTGATCAAATTTGTCCGTGTTATAAATTGTTTTCAGTTGTTTGTTTGAGTTTATGAGACTCCTAAGCTTTTAATTTCTGATTTGATTGTATTGCTGGGTTTCTTTAATTTGTCATGTGTATTTATTTGAATTAATTTATATTTATTTTATATTTATTCATTTGTGTATGCATCTTCATCTACATTAATTCGCCTACACAATTATTTTACTTTTATATCTTTTTCATTCTTTCATATTCACAAGTGTGTGATTGTGCGTTGGTGTGTATGTGCGCGCGTGCGTTTGTGTGTGTGCGTGCATGCTGAAATAAATGTCCATATTCTTGAAATAGTGTTTCTTCGAAAGGTCTACATGGTATATGCCATCAGCTGGTCAGCCACACTGGTCATCGCATTCTTTATACGCCACCTGTTAGTCGCATTTTGTTCCTATTTTTTTTTTTTGAACAATGCATGAAAACTGTTAATGAAGGAATATTTTTTGTTTAATTGTTTCTTCTATTTGATGCTGAATTATACTTTTTATTTTTATTATTTTTTTCATTTTTTGTCCCCCCTGCAGAGACTTCTTGCAGGATATGGCGGCATTGAATAGTTTGTTGTGGTTCCTACCATTGTAAGGCCGTACAATCATTTAATAGATTCATTGCATTTTACGTCTATCTTTTTGTATACATTCAGCGTGCTGTGGGTGGCTCTCTTAGCCATTTTATTTTTTCTTGAATCGCTGAGAAGAAATCCTACGACTAATTTGGTGTTCTTGGCAGCTTTAGTAAGGAACATTTAGTAATAAACCTCAATACGATAGACGAAAATATCTTTATAGTTTTATTTTGCTAAAAAATAAGAAACAACACAATTTTACATATCGACTTGTTGTGTTTTAGTTAAATGTTGAAATATTTTTTTTCAGACGATGTGTTCAGGCATGTTCTATGGATGTTTTAGTTGGTAGGTTTAGGTTAAATCTTTAAAAGACACAACATTTCACAAATGATCAAATGTTTGCCATTTGCTATTTGCCATCCAACAATCCGTAGTTTTTTTTAGATTAAAATAAAAATTTCTAATGTAATTGGATGACGTAATAGTTAAAGGTGCCTGGTCCTGCTTTGCCGTGACAGGATTCGAACGCAAGGAAATCCCCACCATTCATATGCAATGTGTGCGATGCATGATTTTTACGCATATTCTCTTACGCTGCGAGTGTGCCTCGAGAAAATGATCCTTAGCCTTCATTCATTTACTTTAAGATGATTTAAACATTCATAATAATTACATTGAAAATGCAAGCATAAGATTCAAAATTAGAGATTCAAAATTTTAAAAAACCTATCATTTATTTTTACGACACAGTTACTACAGGACGTCGTTCTTCATTCTGTTCCTATTCATCTGCAGCGTGAGTTCATGAGCGATTGCATTTTTCGTTAAGCAATTCAGCTACTTGTGTGTGTGCTCATGCGATAACTCCGTATATGTGTGTATATGCATTTTGTACACATATATGTAAGTATATGTGTGTGATATGCACTCTGTACACACATATGTGTGTGTGGTGTGTGTGTGTGTGTGCTTATATTGCATATATATGTGTGTATGTAAAGTATTGTTTAAGTTTCAAGTCAAACCCATTGTTCGATATTTTTCGTTCCAGCTGGTGTTCAGCCTGTTTGCCTGCTTTCAATTACAAAATAAGGTTTTTACATGCATTTTTATATTTGGTTATGCAAACGTAAAATTATATGCCTATGCTTTATATAATTTTCTCGTTGAACTGAAGTTTATTTATATATTCTAAAACATTGCTGGACTGTGGTTTCTGTCGTATATTGTTAAAATTTTTGATGTTTTATAATTCCATTAAGATCGATTTTAACATGCTTTCTGGCTTCGGCGTGATGGCGTTCACGACTTCGATGTGTGTGACGTGTTTTGTTTTCTGTGGATCGAACGTAAGGTTTTATGTTGCATCCATTCATTCATTTGCAGACACACCCACACACACAGCTCTTCACATTTTTCTTTTCAGAAATCTAATTTTCATTGTTATCAGCCAATCAAACAAAAGTCATTGCTTAATATTTCTATGGCGCTCTTTTGCCAGCGATCATCAAACAACGCTGCCCCACAAAATTCGAAAGCAAACAAACCCGTCATAAAACTTTTGAGCGATTGAAAAAAGTTAAGAGATCTTCAAATGTGAATTTTAAAACAAAGACTGAATAAAAAAAATCAAACTCGTCGTTTTATTAAAATAACAAAATAACGAGAATAATAAGCTTTTTTAAAAGGAACGAAAATTTTTTTAATGATGTACATTTTTTGCTATTTTATTCGCGTTTTATTCCATAAAAATACTAAAAACAAAGACATGTTTGAATGATTGAAATTGCACTTGTTCAAATTATTACCTTCAGCTAACCAGCATCGTCTTCGCTGCCCTCTTCTCTTTTATGTTGCTAAGCGTTAGTTTGTTTGCGTTGCCTTTTGTTCAAGTTTATTTATTTTGGGTTTGTGTACTGTTGTCAATTTGTTTTATATTTTTTATAACATTTAATAACATTTTTAGTTTAACCTCAGTTCAGATTTTTTTGGAATAGAATTAAATCAATCGGCTTTTTTGATTTAAATTTTGCAGCGTATTAATTAGTATTTCATATGTTTATAAAAGAGTTTATTATTTCTGAAATACAATACAATACAAACAATACAATACAAAAAAACAATACAATACTTGAACGCATGCACAAGCAGTTTGTCATGTTCGACATATATCTGGCCACCTCAGGTTGGCACGCCTACTCACTTGAACCGGAAGAATACGTCTTCATGGCACTCTCCGTCATCTATGATGTCTACTACATCGGCCGGGCTATTGTTAAAAGAAAAAAATGAAAATTTTTTTCATCGTTCATTTGTCTTATTTCATGTTTTCGACGCAAAACTTGTTAGTTGCATCAGGAATACTCCGCTGTCGAATATTTTAAGAGTTGCGTTTAAATTTTTAGTTTTTACTATGACGCCGTTGCTGAGACAAAATATATATTTGTTCAAGTATCTATAGTTCGATCTTGCAGTTTTAGTTAAATTCGTCTTCATACATTTCATTTTTCTCGTGTTTTTGGATGGTTCTAAAACCTTCACTATAATTTTAATTGGAAGTGTTATTCTGGAAAATATCGTCTTATTTTTGAAAAATTAATTGTCAATTTCATGCAGATAAAATTGAACAAAATTAGAAAATTATAGGGGTTGGTTTTTTCAAGCAAAAAAAAGACATTTACTCACCGATGGGAATCTTTTGAAAATATTTTGTGGTAATATTACAAGTTTTTTCAGAACTTCATTGAGACGAATAGACTGTCGGATTGAAAATCCTACCGACTAAAACTAACAATTTTTTACAATAAATAAGACACTACAAACTAACAAAGTAATCCGTGGGAGCTATATGCAAGAAAAAAACTGCGATACTATTCTTATTGGTATTCGGGCTGCTGATGAGTCCCCGGTAGAGACGAGACGCGTGTACAGCCTGCTGATGAGTCCCCGGTAGGGACGAGACACGTGTACAGCCCATCCAACCGAATACTTTTCTTTTCACTCCCGCTCTCTGCTCTTTCTGCTTTGGTGTTTCCATGCATTAGCGCAACCGCAACAAGACGAACAGATAAAAATGTAAATTGTAAACTCAAGTATTAACAAAATAATTAAAAGAGTTTGCGATTTTTTTTCTCTTAAATGTAAATTTGTATGATAGCATGTAATTATGTATGCTTGGTGGTGGTCTTTGTGTGGTTGAATACTTTCATGTCAATCGTTGTTGTCGTTGAGTGTTTTGTTTCTGTTATTGGTGGGAAGGATTCTGATCATTCTGTAGACAAATTTTTTTGTTAGCGTAAAAACTGAATGAATGTCAACACGAATGTGCAAGATAATGACTTGCAACCTTAGATGAACTCTTTTTCAAATTTTAGGAGCGCTCTTAAGAGCATATAAATTAATGATGTATTTGAAGGATTTAATGTATAATTATATAAAATTTGAAAATGAATGAACATGTATGAATGCGTATGTATGTTTATGAGTGCGTGTAATGTATATGAATGCGTTTAAATGTGTGAGAATGTATATGAATGTGAATGTATGTGTTTGCTTGGGAATAAACTTGTGTGATTAAATATCCAACGTAATTACAAACACAGATATAATAAATCAAAAATTCTTTCATTTTTAAGTTGAAAATTATTCAACAATCAAAGATACTACCATATTATTAATTATTTTACTTTACTGATTACACTTTTATAAATTATACCAAAGTATATTTAGATAATTAACTGCTGGACGTTTAGACGATAATTGGTTGAATGATGTTTTGTTTAATGGCGTTCCAGCACCTTACTAGGCTATTTTTTCGACCCTGATAATTTTTCAATTGTTGCTAAAAGTTTGGTTTATCTTTTATGTGCTGTTAATGATTCCAGTTTTCACTAAAAAGGCACTAATTTTTTGCAGATAATAATCTTTCGTACTTTTGACATTGTGTGCATAATAGAGGGTTTAGATTGTGAGCATCTATCTTTCTATTGTTAAATTTTAAAATGCACGCATCTGATGATTTTTTTTAATTTTGATTTCACCTCGATTTCTCCTTGAATATTCAATTCTAATACTTTGTCGTCAGTTCCTCCAATAATAAATTAATTCTAGTGAAAAGTTACGTCAAAATAAACAAATCAACAAAAATGTTTTGTTTATTTTCATTTAAGATTTCCCTGCTTAAACTTCAATGGAGGAAATAGATTGAGAATGGAACTGAGGTTAGGAACAAAGGTAAGAGTTGTGGTCTCCGTCTTCGGCCTGCTAGTAGCTCTGGTTTGCGTCGTAATATTTTCAATTCAAAAATGTTGGCAATGGACTTCGTGGGCCTTAGTCACATGCTAGTATTTTGTTCCTCGTGATTTTTGTCATATAAAAACCTAAAAAATTTAAGTCTAAGCAATGAAAAATAAATTCTTGTAACTTCAGTTAGAGTTTGAACAAAAAAATGGTCGGAAATTATGCAGTTAATCATTTTCATATATACTTTATAAAAAACCTTTCAATGAAATGAAAATTTTAAACTGTTAACAATCCAACAACTTTTAAAATTTTGCAGTATTATACACAGTTCTGTGCACCATCATAAATGTGCAGTATCTGAGAAACAAGTGCAAGGGTGGATACAAATTCTTGCAGGCCATGACGTTCATTAGCCTTCCTGGAATAATTGTTTCTGCATTTGGACTGTTTGCATATCTTGTTTGTGGCTTTCTCGTTTACAAAAGCAAGTCTTTTAGCAAAAGATATTCTCTCAAATCATTATTTCAATTAATATTAAATGCAGTGGCGTAGTCAGAAATTGGCCGTAGATGGGGCTTGAATATTCTAAAAACTGACATATTTGAGTCATCTCGTGAAAACAACAGTATATATATATATATATATATATATATATATATATATATATATATATATATATATATACATATTTCACAATTTGTTATTGTGGATTATCTGATTATTAAATAACCAAATTTAAATTTCCAAGTGATAGAGATTTAGCCCTAAAGTCCCTCCTGGCTAGGCTTCTATTCAAATGCAATATGCATTTGATGGGTTTAGTTTAAAAATTAATATAAACAAAACATTTTTCACTAATAAAAATTACCCATATTTAGTTAAGCGTTTAATTATAAAATAAATTTCACGTAATATTAATATTTATTAATATATTTTTTTATATTTAATTATATATTATATATTTATATGTTTTCCTAACCTAGCATATGAAACTGTTCTGATGTGTGCCCTGTGTTTTGGTTGTGGCACATGGTCTCTGGCACTGTTCAGGCAGAGCAAGATTTACAAAAAAAGTTTAGTAGACCAACTGATCGCCGACTCAAAGGGCGATTGTGAAAATTTGATGACAGTTTCCAAAGCATGACAGCGACATCTCGCCGTACATCTTTCTATCATTAATTTTACCTTCGTCCACCAACAGAAATGTGTGTATGTGTGTGTGTCAAAATGTGTGTGCGTGAGAGAGAGTGCATGTGTGTGTGTGTGTGTGTGGTGCATTCATATATGTTTGTTCTCGAAGAACTTTGGATATTATGCATAATTTTTGTTTATTGTTAATTGTTAATGAATGATATTGAAATTTAAATTTAAAAACTTGAAAATTTTAACAATAATGACGTATGTGTTTGAAAAAACATAAGAAGTAGAGCCCCAAGCGGATAAAAAATTTTCAAAACTCCGCGGATTTTGCGGTTTGTGGATTTTGCTGTGGATGCGGATTCAGGTGCGTTATTTAAAAAACGCCCGAAAAATTAAGTTCCCAATTTTTTAAAATTTTCAGAATAAAAAATTTTGTTTTTACGTTTGTTTGCATATATGTACGTGTGTGAGTATGTATGTGTATTTAATAGCCATAGATGAGTCTCTCTGGGGCCCACGTTGATAAAGCCAAGCGAGCTGCTTCTACTAGTTATTCAGCAGATTTGAATAAATAAAGTTAGTTGGCATACTTACGAAATTGCATGGGTTTTAAAAAACAACCAATGCAAAAGATTTACTTGGCTAAAAAATATTTTTAAAACAATATAATTAAATCAAATTATTTAATTTAAAATTATCGCTGTCAATTTAAATAAAAATATTGCTTTTGTTTAGAAAACAGAGTGGCTTACTGAAAATGGGTTTCAACAAAACTAATACTAATAAATATAAATTTGACTCAATATGTTTAAAACATTGTAATTAAATCGAATTATGTAAATTGAAATTATTTTTGTCAATTTAAATAAAATTATTGCTCTTCGTTTCGAAAACACTGAGGCTAACCTATCGCTTAATAAAGCCATAGGTTAGCTTACTTACGAAATTGCAATATTTTCATATAAATTAACAAAAATAATTTCAAATTACATAAATCAAGGTTTATTGGTTAATTAGTTGATTGTTTGATCGGTTTGTTAAATGATTGATTGATTGTTTGGTCAGTTGATTTGATTCAGCGGTTGATTAAGTGATTTAGTTGTTGATTCACATATATAATCGAGTACATGATGTTTTTTGATTTGACAAAAACATTCCAGAGGAACCGACCTTGACATTCAAAAAATTTTTAATTTAATTTCATGCACACAAACATTCACACATACATACATGCTAACATGCTCACATGCATAAGCACATACGTAATCACATACATAACATTTTAAAAAATTAAAATTCTTGCAAAATCGATGTTGATTATGATTCTACCAAAACATAGCGTTACTGTCAGTCATTATACAAAAACATATCATTATAGCAGATCAAACCAGCCACTCAAAATTTCTTTTTTTTAGTTGGAGGAAATGACGTCATTTTTACTGTAGTTATTTAACTGTACGACGAAGAATTAGCAATTATGATCATTGTAATGCATTCCTATCAACAAATTTTTTACAAAATATATGCACACAAAACTAAATCAATAAACAGATATATTTACCTATAAATATATAATATATAAATTTATATTTACGTATAAATTTATAATCGAGTTTTACAATTTGTGTTGGGTAAAGTGTGGTCTCACATTTTTTTATGCACCTCAAAAAATTCAAACTTCGTGCGTACATATGTAACAACAATTACTGTTGTTTCAATAATAAATTTATATAATAAATATATATAAAATAACTATAGTTTATATGATATATTTTATGTGTTTATGTAAAAGAGCGTTGAAATCAGATCAGGCACGGCAATAGATGGTCTACACACACACCACACGCATAAATTCTACCGAATGTTTGGCGTTTATATGTTTTAGTTTGTTTTTTCAAATTTTCTCACTAAAGTTTTTTGGTGAACGTTTAGTTTATTAAAATTCAAAATAAACTTATTTTCCGAATTCATGCTGCAAATAGGGCCTTATTTCGATTCCGAATGAATCATCATCAGTGCTTTCTGCTGTTTATATAGGGAAATGAAATTTTGAATATAGAGAAATGAATTTTGAATTTTAATAAACTAAACGTTCACCAAAAAACTTTAGTGAGAAAAATTGAAAAAACGAACTACAAACATATTAACGCCGAGCATTCGGTAGAATTTATAGAATATTGTAAATATATATATGTATATATATTGGTACTAATTATTAAATTATAAATTTTTTAAATTGAAAGATGTCTTTTCAGCTGATTATCTGCTGTCTGATTATAATCATATTGTAAATAGAATGCCTTCTAGTGTTGCAATTCTTATTCTATTGTTATTCCTAGTGTTGCTTATCCTATTCTATTGTTATTCCTATTCTTAAAAACTCATCCTTAGATCCTACCTCTTTATCTAATTATAAACCTGTAACTAATATTACTTTCATCTCTAAAATAATAGAAAAAGTAGTTTTTAATCAACTGTCATCCTATTTAGACTTTAACTCCTTGCTATCTCAATCTGGTTTCAGACCTGCTCACAGTACTGAAACTTCTTTACTTAAAATACACAATGATATCCTTCTCTCTAGTGACAATAGTAATCTTACTCTTCTTCTTGCTCTTGACTTTTCCTCAGCTTTTGATACTGTTGACCATACTATTCTCTTGAGACTGCTACATCTTTCTTTTAATATTACTGATTCTTGTCTATCTTGGTTTTCTTCTTATCCCTGTAATCGTTTTTCTTCTGTTGTTCTCAATAATTCTACTTCTAACTCCTCTACTCTTACTTTCGGGGTACCTCAGGGTTCTATCCTTGGCCCTCTTCTATTTATACTCTATACTTCTGAACTACTATTAATAACTTTTCTTTCTCTAGTCAACTATATGCTGATGGTTCTTACATTTATACTTCTTTTCCTCCATCTAATCTCAATAGTGTTCTTCATAATTTATCTTTATGTCTTTCTTCAATTATCGCTTGGTCTGACTCTATGTGTCTTAAACTTAATCCTTCTAAGTTTGAATTAATTTGTTTTAATAAATCTAAACACTCTATTACTATTCCTCCTATTATCTTACCTGATTCTAAAACTCTTGATGTCTCTCATAAGTTTCGTAGTCTAGGTTTTATCTTTGTTTCTACTATGTCTCTCTCTTCTCAGATTAATAGTGTTGCTAGAACCTCTTACTTTCATCTACGTAGAATAAAAAACTTTTGCCTTTTCTTGATGATCCTACTCTTCTCCTTCTTGTTACTTCGTTAGTCTTATCTAGGATTGATTATTGTAACTCGCTCTACTATGGTCTTCCTGACTCTATACTCTATCCTTTAAGTAAAGCTTTTAACTCTGCTGCTCGTGCCCCTTCTTTTCTCATATATTTCCATATCTTGTTCTCTTGCACTGGCTACCTATAAAATATAGAATAATTTTTAAAATTTGCACGTTCATGTATAAGTCTCAATCTAAATTATTTCAATAAACGAACGACGACTTCACACGATTTACTTGTCTTTGCTCATATGTTGATAGTGATTGTTCTTCGATTTCATTATAATTTTTCAATTTTGTTTTAGAAAATTTAGATGAAATTTAGAAAAATGGAAAAGCCTAAAAAACCGTACGACAAAGAGAAGACAGTGGGCATGAACGCTGCAATAACGGATATTTCAATTTTACACCAGAAGTACCCCAAAGCCACCTACACCGTCGTCTCACAATCCGGACCCGTTCATGAACCAAACTTCATTGCTGAATGTAGAATCGATGAAAAAAACGTTGGGCTGATTTTTATGACACAATTTTATTATATTAACACGAATGTGTAGAGGTTAAGTGAAGTCATCAGTGTCTAACTGAGACTAACATTTTCGTTTAAAAATCATTTTTAAAGACTAGAGCATGGTTCATTCATATTGTTGTTTTAGCTAGAATTATGTATTTTTTACCAATATATATATATATATTTTGTATAGTTTATAAAAATTTATAAACACTTGTTTGACTTGAAAACCGATATATATAGCAGCTATATGTTATACTATTATTATTTAATTAATTCATTTTAGTAATACCTTCAAAATTAAAAAATAGAATAAAAATGTGCATTGAATAGAAATAATGTGGAAGCTACATTTTAAAAATATTAATGTTAAAAATAAAAATTAGTTCTTAAGTGTTGAAAAATTACTTTAGATTCTTTAATTAGCTAAAAGTTAATTTAAAAAAAAATATATAATTACGTAGTAATCATAATAGTTATTGGTGATAATATTAATATTATATTATTTCTGATCTAAGGTTTTCTATGGTGAGGGTAAGTCAAAACAGAAAGCCAAACAAGATGCTGCTGCGAATGCATTAAAGTTTATAGTTAGCTCTAATGCTAATGGTGAGTCGAAACCATCTGAAGCAGCAACAAAAAACCCTCCAACTCCATCCAAATCTGAACCTCTGACAGATAAAGTTCATGTGGGTATTGTTTTTCAACATTTACATCCGGATTTAAATTTCATCTGGTCAAAGGGGAGTGATTTGAATAGACATGTCGGAGAAATTGTTGTTAATGGAAAAACTTTCAAGGATGAAAGTTCCTCTAAAAAATTAACTAAAGTAAAGTTAACTGTGGCTATTCTTAAAGAAATGCATAACATTAATTGCATTACCATGTCAGGTGATAGATATTATTTTATATTCTTTAAAATAATTTTATATTAACATTAAAATATTTATTGAATACATGTCAATAATTTTTTTCAACAGATAAAAATGCATATGTGGAAAATAGTGATTGGAAGAAAATAAGGGCAAAAAAACACAAGCCCACTCCAATGAGGCCAGTGAAAAGTGAACAGTTGACATCAATTCCACCTGTTTGTGGCCAAAAACATCCAATACAATTTTTATATGAGATTTACACTACCCTCGATTACAAAGAAATGAATATATCGGACCCCAGCGGCATAAAATATAGATGTACTTTGGACCTTGAGAATGAAACCTTTGTTGGTGAAGCTTTGACAAGAAAAATTGCCAAATTAAATTGTGCTATAAATACTATAAATGGTCTTCTAGAAATGGGAATTTTACAACAGAGGCTAGAAATCAAAGAAATGAATAAAGATATGTTGAGGAAGCACAAACTAGCTAAAAAAGAAAAATATCTCATGAAGCAAGATACTAGGTTAAAATATCAAGGTGATGGCATGAAGAAGTTCAAATTTGTTGATTTCAAGAAAAGTGAAACACTTATGCCAGGTCGAGGTATGGTATCGAACCCATCCATATATCCGAGTCATCATGCTAACAGCTCAGTGGCTGGTGCTGGCAATAATTTCTTTGCAGGTCATGCAAACGAACAATCTTACAATCTGAGAATGCCATCTTCATTCCTATCAATGGAGAACCAAAACACTAATGTCTTACAGCAACAGCCATTTGTCAAAACGGAATATAACCAGCATGGCTACATAAAAAGTGAGTATCATAGCCCCCAGCCAGCTAGCTCGTCTTATGCTGCTAATAGCTACAGCAACAACGAAAGGATATACCACCACCATCATCACCATCACCAGCCCCAACAACAACAGCAATATCATTTCAATAACCAACAAGCACATGAAGCCGTTTATAACAGTTACTCCAACTACAATGCTACAGCTGGATCTGCAGTCTCCAACAGAATACCATTCAACTACTGACCAATATAATTAATTACTCTCTTATCAATTTATAAATTGTCTTATTTATTTACAAAAAGGAAAATTACTTATGGCACGGGAACTGCTATGAAACAAATTTAAGAACGTGTTTATTGAATTATTTTTTTTGTAACTTTTTATATCGTTCAGTTGGCAAAGAAAACCTTTCTGAAGAAATTTAGGGTTGATATGCGCTTATAATTGTAAAAACAAAATTGTTTTAAATAGATTAGAATTAAGCTAAGTAGTTATTTCTGTTGCAAACAATACGGCTGTGAGGATTTCTCTAGTTGTTTTCTTCTGATGTTTTTCTGAATTTTGCGTTTTCAAATTCAAAACATATCTCTAAGTTCCCGATTGCTTCTCAAGTTTGTACATCATTTGCCGTAGAACAAAATTGAACAAAAAGACAAACCATGAAGTTGTTTGTGTTTGAAAAAATAAGAATAAATATCAAAAATCGCGATTATGTACAATACAAACAATCAAATGCTGACATTGATTTGTTAACTATCATCGTGGTAGAATGCCTCGTTTTAATTGTACACGCGCATATATATATATATATATATAAACATGAATATATACACAAAGTGTCCTAACTAATCAGATGGATGAAACAAATAAATCTGCAGTCTTTGAGGGCAACTAATTCTTGATTAAGGGAAAACGTAATGCATTCGTGATCGTTACTGGCTGCATTTCACACAAAGATGATAAAATATTCCCGTCATGGAACTTACTAAAATTGTTAAGATTAGTATTATTATCAATATTTTTTTGGTCTACATTGTAAATTTTGAATCAGCAATGCGTTAGTTATAAGAAAAACCATTGGAAAATTATGGGAAGAAATTGTTAACATGAGTTATTTAACCATAAAACTTCAAGGTAATGAAATTTGTAAACAAACGTGTAACTGTTTAAAAATAAATTTGAAATAAGCTTGAAAATTGCACTGTACAAATATAAAAATGATGTTTACATTACGATATACGTACGAGAAGACTGAATTTGTTAATGGAAAACTAAGTTCTAGATCTCTAAATGGGCAGCATACTAAGAAACTGTTCATTCAACTATCTAAATAACATTGTTACGTCAATAATAAAGAGGAGTAACAAATCTTTACAGAAAAATAGAAAATATAAAACATGATATGCTTAGAAAGTGCATAAATACACAAAACATGATAGGAGTGAGCAGCTGGAAAGCAACTGTTGCGTATGTTAATTACAATTGAAGTGCGTTATCAAATTAATACTGCAATCTTTCAGTGAATACTTAATATAATTGATCTGAATAAGTTTGAAATTTGTCAATTTTCACCGCAAAATATAAAAATAGAAGATAAATAAGAAAATGTTGTAATACAATCTAACACATTAAACGGGATTAATTGGGCACTGCCAATTATAAAAGCTTGTAACATTTCAATAAATAACACTGAACATAAAAGTAATGGACATGTCAGACATCACAGTGAACACAGCAAATTCCTTCGTTGACGCATCATGCTCAAATATCATTTGCTCTGCAGACGAATGAAACATCAATGTACATACAAGCTGTACAATATTTTGAGCACACTACAGGGGCCTACATACGTGACGTGGATAAATGAAGTCTAATTGATACCGTCTCGTATAAGTTGCTTTTTTTTAAATTTAATTTTATTTAAAATGCTAAGTGGCGCTAATTTTCAACTTTCAATTTTCAACGTTCTTCCAAGCTATCAATTCATAAAATCTATTTATTAATCTACGTCCTCGGTTGAACTGCATCACAAATCCATCCACATCACTAATTCATCACATCATCAATTCATCCACTTCATGCACTTAGCTGCTCCACAGAGACATGGAATTTTGCTCTTTTCATCTTCAAAATTGAACTTGTAGTCGTACGAGAGCTGAAATTAAAAATGTTTTGATGTTTTATTTTTCGAGTCCGAAAACAATTTATGAGTGAGATATGTTGAAAAGGATATGGCAGAAGTTGTATGGAGTTGTGATATCAAATTGGAATAAATATTGAATGAAAGAAATAACATATTTGACAACAGTTCATTGACCAGGCAAAATTTATTTGACTTTGCTAGAAATCATTTCTAAATGTCTAACCTGTCACAAGAAAATTAATCATAGTAACGGAAGCTATTTCTATTTTAAACGATAAGACAATCAACCAAAACAACCATGTCAAGTTTGAAATTGAGTTAACTACAATATATAAAATCATCAGAAGACTATGTTTTTCTATGCTAATAAAATGACCTCACTCAATTCCTACTGAATTTACTTTCAATGTCCTCAAATCACTAATGCTGTTAACAATTAAAAAAAAAATTCGTTAGAAAATAAAAAAGAGTGTACCTCTTCTCCACTGCGTATCTTCCTTTTGGCGATGATGATAATTTTTTCACCCTTCTCAGTGGCGACAACTTCGGTGAAGCAGTTCGGATCACATGAATGGTTGATATACCTGGCTGGACCGCCTGCCATCGTGGCATCGACCACCTTGTTCTCATCCAAACGGAACATGTACACTCCACGATTCTGTTATGTCATCATAACCATAAAACAACTTTTGTAATTTGAAAATTAGCTTCTATATATAAAAATATTTTTGCTAAATAAATCCAACAATTTTAATCACATTGTCCCTTTAGCCTCTTGCATGCAACCAATACAAGCTTCTATGGATGAAATCTGCGGAGAAAACCCCACAAGACTAGTAATAAATCTCAACTACGTGTTAGCTCAGTAGGTGGAAGTTCCACGTCTCACGCCGTTACTGCGTGACGTGCGTACCTGGTTCGAATCCTATTCGATCGATACACTCAAATACTACCATAATTTGGCAAACATAGAAGGTTTAGCGCGGACGTCCTGCACTCCTTCGTGGCAACCAGAGATGAATGGTAACGTAGTTAGTAAGAGATATTTCAAGTGCATATACATAGAAAAGAAAATTAGAACAAAAGAAATTTGAAACAAAATTTTCATTATTCTTCTAATCCGGTGTAAATTAAAATTTAAAATATTACTATTAACACAACCACTAACAAGAGGTAGAACATTTGCTGGCGGGAATAAAAAATGATTTAAAAAAAAAGCGCTTGCACCTATTCAAATCAGAGCAATCAAGAAATAATATTTCAGCAACAGCCAACACAACTCTACTGAATAAGACAAGAATGTTCTAAATTAATAATTTGTAAAACAAAACCAGCAGCAGAAAGAAAATAGTTTGAATGAGGGTTTTATTAAAAAATAATATTTAATAACAGCAAATGATGAACGCCGAAAAATTCGAGAATTAAAAGTTTATCCGAGAAAAGGGATCTTGGTGTAAGTAAACACAGCATAGACCAAATGGAAAATTAAATAAAGTCTGCAAAATGATCAAGGAACATTTCGTGATTACCTTTTCAAATTAGTTTTCAAACAAATCATTCCTTCCCAAAGAAAATATTACATAAAAGAGGGGGTTAGTTACAACACCAATTACCAATTAATATTTTTAACCTGCTGCTCGTAGACCTTCTCTCTGATTTCGGCAATTTCGTTCCTAATGATCTCCCCAATGTACTCGATGACCATTGTAAACTGTTCCAATTCTCTGGCTGCAAACAAGCCCAGACCCTACAAAATTAGAAATAAACTATGAAAACCACACAGCACATAATAATCACCTACTCCAGGTTAGTACATTAAAAATTTATTTATGGTTAGTTAAAGGTTAACGAGAAGCGACATGAAAAGAAATAAAAAGTGAATGATCTAAGTATAGAAGTACTGAGTATTGATTACTTGAATGTTGGATCTCCTGAGATATACATTATTTCTCCATTCAGTTCTCAAACTACGATAACGTTGACTTTTTGTAGCAGTGAATTGTTTCATATACTGAGTAATGCTGAACTCCCCTGACCCCATCCAAGTGGACTTTTCCGATGACCCACCCGCATTGAAATTACTCAACAGGGTGTGAGACCTGTCATATTTTTTAAATCTTATTACAATCAACAGTACACATGAAATCATCAATATTTTAAAATATTCCCGGTGAGAATTGAACTTTATTTCATTCAAAAATGTGCACTTGAACTATCAACGGAAAGAGCAACATAGAAAATTGTAATGTTAAGGTGTAACCAAATATGACCGACGACGATGATACATTCTACAGTCTTTATCGCCATTTCTATTTTATATTTCAATGTCTGATTAGAAAAAACTAAAATAACTGAGAAGCAGATGGAAACCTTTTAAAGAAGGTTCTAGACTTGGGTTCGGTCCTCACACAACCAGATGGATTGACTGCCAATGGAAGGACGTAGATGGATGACTTCCCATACCTCATCTGGACATTTGTCATCAGTTCCACACCTGGCAGCTAACCGTAACAGACACATAACAGAGTAAATAAGATGGTTGATTTATGGTTAAACAATACACACTCTATTTAAAAATCTAGCTAAACGATGACACTTCATATAATGTAACAACAAATAATGCATCTTGATTCAATCAGCCTGTTCATTTCGAAACGTAATTTCGTCAAAAAAATCAACTAACCGACTCAATAACTTTTCTTATTGCCGGCTCATTGAGACCAAAAAGATCTTCACCAGTGATATACTGCCTGAAAAGATGCGCCAAACCATGGCGCCTTCTTAACTCAACCAAATGGTCTAAAATATCTTTCCAGGCGCCTTATAAAGAATTATATAAACACTAATTTAAGATGACTGCTGTCAAAAGGTCAACAAGCAATAACCAATAAAATGAGTAGATGAGACCAAACTACAAAAACAATACAAATAAAAGCATAATATGTTTAATATCTATGAAGACAAAACAATCAAGAACTCGATTAATTAAGCTTACCTGTGCAGGTGTTGCTTTCGAATGTGACATTTTCTTCCCCGTGCTCAACGACCTTCACCTTGAAGAGAGGCTCGCCACTACACTCTTCAATGGAACAATGATACTGGCATCTCTGGTGCAAGTTTCTGTAGCTCCAATAAAAACGAGTGCTCTTGAATCCGACCTGGCAGTTATGGTGATGATGCTGGTGATGATGCTGGTGATGATGCTGGTGATGATGCTGGAGATGATGCTGGTGATGATGCTGGTGATGATGATGCTATCATATTTCGGTTCTCAAATACAACTTTAAATATAATAAATTTACCAAGACAAAAAACTCAATCAAGAATGTTAAATTGGCACATGCTAAAATATGCAGCAACAATCTCGATATATCAAATGTTTCAAATAAATTTTCTCAAAGACCAAGCATGATCTATAAAATGAGCGATAAGCTTGACCGATTTTGATAGACATACTGGATAGATATTGACATCTGTGTTGAATTTGAAAGTTTGGACGTGCTGAGGCAGCAAGTGACCAATGTTATTGACCAACAGACTTCCAATGCGAATGAAATAGTTCTCTGGTTCATCTTCCTTCAGCATCCTATCGAAAAATGTAAGCAGCATATTAACGAATTTATTTGAAAATTGAGACGAAACAGGCGAAAAAATGAAAGTGAATTTAGAATGTTCAGTTTCAGTTTTGACCGACGACATTGCTTAAATCCAGATCATCATACAGATGACAACATACTATGATCATATCATCATAATACCAAGTAATTCAACCATTCAATGATAAATGATTCAATGAAAAAAAATGATTCATTGATAAACGATTCAATCACTAACAACCTTACAGATACCAATGTATAAAATTGAACAGAACCTGGCAACTTGTTTGATTTCATTGCGTTCGCAGCAGATTCGTCGTTTAATTGACAGATCGTGAATCATGGTGCCCAATAAGTGACGAGGACAGTGGTGCTTGCAATATGTTGTCTGCGTGATGTTTGATGACAGGTGTTCACCGAATTTATCAGAGTGGTAAAATATTATTGTCGTCAATGAAATTTTTTTTATTTATCACAACTAAAAGAATGAGCGCCCATAAAAAGTAATTGAAGGCAAAAATAAAGAAGCTAATGTTTTCAGCCAATAAATTCAGTTGAACAACTCTAATGACAAAAATCAATAAAAGACGCCAACCTTATTTTCTAGGAAACACATTCCTTGCTTCCTTGCACATATCAGATGGAAAGATTGGCCACAACTTGGCAGAAAACAGGCGACAGTGGCTCCAGGACGAGCGCACACAGCACAGAAACCCGTGTGTTTCATGCTGTTTATGTGTCGTTTGGAGCCGACCAGTGTGCCATCAAGTGTTTCGTAAACATCATGCGACCACAACGAACAGTTGCAATGTACCCACTCATCAATGTTAGCAATGATGAGTCTGTCAGATAAAGAGAAAAGAAATTAAAGAAAAGAATAAGAAATTAATAATTATTTATTTCAAAGCAAAAACATCCATAGAATACACAATTTTAATCTCATAAACAATGCTGAGATTAAAAATTTAGATGAAGCTAAAGCTGTAAAAAAAAGTGCTTCCATTAGTAATAAAATAATAACTATTGACATTAGATCATTCACAACATCTTCTTTGCAAGCAGTAACATCCTCAATACTTTCACAAACAACATCAAATCAACAGCAACACTACCATCACCAGCAAAAACCAGACCACAAGTACCACCTCGACCACCGCCGACACAAAGGCAGCAGCACAAACACCCCCACCACCACCGGCAACAAAGACACAAACTACTGCAGCATGCATATCCAATAACCTTCCAGGTCCATTACTCTCAGCATCACCAGAACTGCCACACAGCATGCAACATCGATTGTCCACAACAACATTACTGTTATCGCGATTGTCGTTGTTAACGTTGTTGCCATCAACACTCACGCTCGTTGCCAATGTCACCATCTTAACTGGTTCACATTGTTCTCTGGCCTGCAGATGAAATAGCATTCAGATGAATATTAACAATTTATTAAACCAATCAATTTCGATATTCTCATATTTCACGAAATATTGACCATAATATAACTTTACCTTTCTGAACTCAATCTTCATCATCATCCTCATTCTTCTCCTCGCGTGGACCAGTCTCGACCACGTTCCATATTTCTCATTCCTCCAACGTTTAATCTGTCATTTGATAATAACATTTATAAACAACACTCTGTCAAACGTGACAATCAAATAAATCATAAATATGATCAATATTCCCTCTAAGCCACGTGCCTGCTTGACCACCTAGCGACTAGAACATTAAAATAGGCAAAAAATCTTTATAATACAAAATTAATTCACAACAAGAGTCAAAAAGCCAGTAAACTTTTTTAATTATTATCTGAGAAAAGCGTGTCCCATAGGGTGACTTCGGCATAGACAATGTCTAGAAAATGTTACTTTGGTCCAAAATATTATACAACTTGAGCCACCACTTCAAACTGCTTAAACAACTTTTGGCACATCAGGCAACAAAGAAGCCAGGCTTGAAAAACTTGCTGAAGAACATTCCATTGAAAGACTAACAAAATGCAATTAGCACAAAGAAGCTAGATAGCTGAAGTTCAACGCCCTTCCCACATTAATGTTCTTTTTTATGTTTCAAGTATTTGCGACACAGAAAGTATAAGTGCACTAAGAAGAATACAACAAGTAAGCAGCTAGCTACGTGTCATTCAATTGAAGTAAGAATAAAATTATTAAATTTAATAACAATAACACTTAATAATAGAGTGATAATAAATTGAAATTAAAATTTAATAACAACATATAGCAGTAAATTGAAATTTCGACTTACCCCGTTGTAATGTGATTTGACGGGAGTCCTGATCACTTGTGGTGGAGCACTACCAGCACACTGGCTAACATTACGGCTGTCATTAATACGATCGAGGATCGTTTTTTTGACGTTGTCATTGGCGTCTCTATTATCATTACCATTGTTGCCAGAGCTGTCAAGTACGATCGGGTCATCAGCATCGTAAAGGATGGTTTTGTTCACATCACTAGCATCTGATAACTTGCCTTCTTAAACAACATTTAAACTTATTTTAACTTTTTTTTTATATAGAATAACGTTTAATTACTTTTTACGATTTTTAATTTAAAATTGAAATTGCTTGTCAAAAATAAAGTTAAAATGACAAATCAATTACCCTCTGAGAGTGAGCCATCCACGTTGTCATCCTCCACGTCTCTCACCTTCTCAGTTTTTATGCCTTCCTTCTCGTCAGAATTTGATTTCAAACACAACAGCTGATCATGCTGACGGCGGTTGTGAAGATGATGACGATATTTATAAACACTTTGGCAAGATTTCGTGCAGAACTTCGCCGTATATTTCAATTCATCTTTTAAGGCCTGACATTTAAATTTGAATAAAAATTGCTTGCTGTAGCTAACCTTAAACAATGAAAAAGTCATCCCTAACGAGACATAGTGACCTAAAATTATTTTTGACTTAATTAAAATCTTCCAGGCCAATTCTATTGATTGTATTGTTGTGGTTATTGCTTACTGGTGATATACTGGTAGACTGTCATCACTGACAACTAGTTTGCTAACATGGTATTTATTTGACCATGTTAGTATGCTATATATATATAAATGTATATATAAAAAAACCGTCAACAAAGTACTTCTCCAAACTAACTCCCTCAAATTATATACATATACATACGTGTACCTACGTACACACACAATTGCAACTTTTATTCGGGAGCCATATGCCATCAAATTATTGGTAGTTACATAAATAAATTGCAATTAACAATATAATATGTTGTTATTTTATAAGAAGCCAAGGCATGAAAATAACGAAAAAACGTAGACATACATTTACAGTGACATCTTCAATTAAGTTTTGGTCCTTATTGTAGATAGGCTGACAACACTGAGAGCAAATGTCGGCATGTGGTTGCTGCGATGAGGCGTTCTGCTGGTTGAACATCAAACTCTCTCTCGACACTCTCGTCTCCGGATCTTCGTTTAAATTATAAAATGAAAATCATGGAAAAGTTTTCCAGAAATTTTTATGAAAAATGTTATATAATTACGGAGTATTCAAATCAAAATATTAAGGACAAAATTTTTATCCTAAGTAAATAAAACACAATAAAAATAACATTTTCCACAGGTAACAAGCGGCATTTGGTTGTATTTTATATCAGCTCTTGTGTCAATGATGGAGTCAGTGTAAGTCTTCAACGATACCTTATATTTGTTGGAAATAGATAATATTCAGATTTATTGCATTAAGTTTTTTCTTATTTCATTTATCAGTCCACTAAAAATTTTATGTATGTAAAGACAATATTTAAAATGAAACTTATAAAGATTGTAATAAGACTTACAAAAATTTTGCTGAGCTTTTCATGATTAGGTGATCCTGGCAAAAAAAATTAAAAAGTGAAACATTAAACTTTAAATACACATTAAAACTATTAATATTTAAGCAGATACTGCTAAAAACATTATCTCATACTTCCTTCAATCACATCTCTTAAACATTACACTTCACAAATGATACCATTGTGATACCATGTATCATTTCAGAAGTGAGCAAACCCAACTTATTATGATTATAAGATAACCGTTATTAAGATCTATTGAGATTACAACTTTTATGAAATACTGCTATAACATATTTTTAGAGCTGTCCAGCAGAATGAATAATTGTGTAACTGACCAAAGCATTCCTTTATTCCTAGGCTTGATTAGATAAAAATAAATTTCTAGGACTGGACAAATTAAAAAATTAAAACACAAACGTAGCAAATGAACTTTTATAAATACATTTGTCAATGAATAAATTTGAATAATATACTTCAACTAAATATAAACAATGATTAAAAGACCATGATAAGATGTTTGGCTCTGTATTAAAAGTAGCTACTTATATTTATGTAAATCTCCTGAATATTAAATATAAACAATTAAGAACTACTGTAAAGTCATTAAAAGAAGTGTTAGAGAAAATAATTCAAATATTATCTGTTGCATGATTGGCTATGCTTAAACTAACATATTATATTATGTTATTTAACTTTTTCATTACCTTAAAAATTCTTATGAAGCATATCAATAAAAAATTCAAAAAGCATAAAAGAAAGGTCAACTGAACTGACCAAAGAGCTGGGAGTCTATACTATTCAAAGCATCAGAAGGTTTAAATGTGTTATTATCTGATAAATTATTGCTGCTGTTATTATCGTTTTGAATCCCAGTCACTTTTGAGACTTTAATGTCATTAAATTCACTTTTAAAAGTTTTATTATCATTATTATTATTATGCAATAAACTAAAAAAGTTATTAATGTTGTTTTTAGTCTGATTACTATCACCACTCCTTCTATCATCATCTTCGCAATTATTGCTATCATTTACAGGAGATGGTTTTAATGTGGCCCGTATGGGAGTTGAGGTTAGCATCGTGTCTGTTGTTGTTTCTGCTGTTGATGTCGGCGATGTTACAGTTGATGTTGACGCTGTTTTTAATGTTGCCAGTGCTGCTGTCGTTGTTGATGCTGCTATTGTTGGTGATGACGAGGAAGTTGTTGCAGCAGATGGATGGGAAGACCTCGCAGATGACTGCGGTAGAGTTAATACTGAATAGGTGGACGTTGTTGCAGTTGTTGTTGTTGTTATGGTTGATGATGACGTTGATGGGATCACTGACAATAGCGTTGATGTTGTTAGTGTTGTTGTTGTCGACGTCGTCATAGAAGATGACGTGTGTGAAAATTGTAACAAGACTTTATCTGAAAACAAACAATTGAAAGTTGTTATAAAAAAGTTTTTAAGACAGATTTATCAAATGTTTAAATATCGTTGAAAGAACAATGATAAATAACAATGATTTTTGACAAATATCAGAGCCACAGCAACAGTTTGTAGGTTATGACAGAGGTGGGATCTAATCTTAAAAAACGATCCTCACAGTATCCATGAAACGTAATCAGGTACCGCTCCTGCCTTGCATAGGCCGTTCAATTTTTAAACTTGACATAAGCTATTTTCACTGAGAGGAAGATGGGTGACAATTGATTTTTTCAGCCAACACTTGTTTCTCTGAAGTTGAGAAACTCTTGAAAAACTGGAAACATTAAGAAGAAATAGAAAAAGCAAAGAGGCAACATGTTCCAACAACTCGACGAACGTGAAGATATTGAAAGTTTCTATCTGGTTGCTTATATGATGAAAGGAATTATGATGACTGTGAGTATGAGAAGGAACTAAGTGAAAAATATAGTTAACATAATCAATCAAGGTGGTAGCCAGTGCAAGAAAACAAGATATGGAAATGTATGAATAAAGATAGGAGTACGAGCAACTAGACAAGCAACAGAGTAAAAATCTTTATATAAAGGATATAGTGTAGAATCAGAAAGACCATAGTAAAACGCAGCAGCATATCTATCTATTTATTAACAACATTTTCAAATCTTTAAAGTTCATATGGACAATAGAAAATATCATTTCAAGACATTCTAAACCTTTTGTACATTCACGAAAGCCGATTGTAGGAATGGGACAGTGCAACACCAGGACAGGTTCTACAACATCTGGTAATGGAGTTTCTTCCAACTGCTTGCTATCATATGGTTTTGCTATTGTTGAAATTGTTGTTTTTGTTAGTGTTGTCGATGTCGTTGCTGTTGTTGCAGATAGTGTAGTCGAAGTTGAACGTGGCAAGTCAGGTGATAGCTTTTGATCTGAAAATTATAAACATGATAAATAAACGTAATAACATGATATATATATATATATATATATATATATATATATATATATACAATAAAAAAACACAGGAATTTATTTTCGTTGCAGAAGTTTATTTGGTACAAGCCAGAAGATTAATGAACAAGCAATATGAAAACGAAACTGAGTTGATCCAGTTTGCAACTAATAACAATTAAGGTGGGACATGCAACAAAAGTTATGTACTAGAATAAGAACAGCTGCTCTTTTTAAATTTAAAAAAATTAAGGAAAATTCATAAAGAATGTGTTTTAACATTTTACATGGTAGTGACAGGAATTGTGAAATGATGAAAACTTAACACTGGCGCTAGAGTATGGACCTGCCAACTCAAATAAGTGTCACCAGCAGAAGCTAAACTTGATTAAGCCACAAGGCTTCATCTTTTTAAAGAATGCAAAGAATCATATTACTGTCATGTTGGAAAAAGACATCCTAAAATAAGTTGTTGAAAATAAAAAAAAATTCAATTAAATAATTATGGCTCTACTTGTTGATTTGCTGGAATGAAAATTTTGAGATGGTTTTTCACCAGGGCTTTGATGTTGACTTTGATGCTGCCAATGTTGTTGGTGCTGATGATGCAAGTTGGAGTGTGATGATGATGTAGATGGCTTAGGAGATTGGCTACGAGGAGGCTCTGCACAAGTAAGTTGTACTGTCTTCTCTGCTGTAGTGTTTACAAACATCCCTTTTAACATTGAAATCGAAATATTGAAATAAAAGAGTACCAGAATTTCATAATTGAATGAAAAAAAAACGGAGGAACTATGAAAATGTGGTGTAAATGTCACAAAAACAGAAAGAAAAGTAACATAACATGTGTAAGGAAGAGATCAAAAACAGAACGAATCACAGACCAGGTTGCAGAAAAAAATAAATATTTAAAAAAAATAAAATGCAATTAATGCATCAACGAAAACAACAAATTACAGACTGACCATTATTTGATGTGGATCTATTGTTGTTGGCAGGAGCAGGAGCAGTCTGAATTTGAAAATTGAATTTTACAGTTAAAATTTTAAAGTCCACTCATGTATTACTCATAAATGCTTTCAGTAGATGCAAAAGTTATCCAACATGAAATTTAACAAAATCTGCCTTTGTCAAGTTTCCATCTAGCAAAATTTCAGATTACTGCAACATTCATCTCACCAAATTGGATATTTTCTGACCAAAATTAAACAATCATTGCCCTAGCTTAACTCAGTTCTGCAACAACCGTCACGTTTTTTTTAAATATATTAATAATATTCTAACTCATTGAGCACCTTAAATGTTTTGAAACCGAGCCAATATTTCACATCTATGCAATATAACACCTAATAGATACCATACAAAAAACTTCGGACATTTAATTTCAAATCTCATATATATATGTACTTGGTTTATAGATTTCCCAATTTTTTACTGTATAAATAATACTAATGAAACAAAAGCATTGCAAAAAACCCTGTACGGCAATAATTTGTATTGCAAGAAGGATGTAGAAAAAATAAATGTTAGAATTAAAATCCAGATAAACAAAATTATCTGGGCAAAATAATTTATCATTTACATAAACAAATAACAGTCATAGGTTATAACAAATAATCCAAAGTAAATAGATAAGTTAAATTTTACAGACTTAAAAGTATTGACTAACACTGCATAACACATAACAAGGAACATTTATTAAAAAAAAGCAAGTTAGACAAATTCACCAACATTTGAGGTAAAAAACATCTTCATAATCATTTCATGTTCATGCAAGTCTTTTTTCATTTGCTCAATTGCAGAGTTTAAATGTTTGATGTCCTCATTGAAATCATCAGCTGTGAAACGCTGTTGATGTTCAACTTGCTGGTTGTTGGGCTCCTGGCTGCTGTTGCTTTTGTTATACACTGCCCGTTGGTTTTGACTTTCATTCATGCCCTGCTCTTTCACTCGCTCCAATTCATTTATTCTTTCAATTAATAGTTTCTTCCTTTCATTCAGCCACATTTCATACTGTTCCCTCTCACTGTCTTTCTTATTTCTTTTTGGTTCTGTTATTTTTAATATCATGCAAAAAGTTATTTTTATAAAAAAAACAAGGTTTAAAATTAAAAGAAAAATTAAAAATGCAAGTGTTTGTGCACAACCTTACCTCATTCTTTCATTTAATTTATTATGTATGCATCATATAAGTAGCACATTATTAAAGTATGTATTGTAAGAAAAGTTCAATATTGTATTGAACTATTTGCATCCTATCTATACAAAGCGTTTATCCAATAAACTTTTATTATTAATTCATAAAAATTTGAAATGCACAATCCAATGCAATCAATAATCACCCAACACACACACAATGATAAATCACCGAGTGTCAGAGTTGGAGTCAGAATTTTTAAGAGGTAGGAGTCTGATTTTTTTGGGGGACCGGAGTTGGAGTCGGATTTTTTGAGGGGCCAAAATTGGAGTTGGATATTTTTCATCCGACTCTGACACAGGTAAATCAATGCCTCGCGTATGTAGTGTTATGTATGATAGTTCGGACTTGTTTGCATTTGAACAGGATCATCTTCAGCTCCAACCACAAAGCCACATTAAGTCTGGCTGGCGTGAGACAATCATAACATCAGACAACATTATTTCGCAAAGCAAATTTTGAATAAATCCCCATTTACAAAACAATTTCCTACTTGTTTCTTTGGGTTTTTTTGGTTTGGGAGATTTTTGGGGCGTTCTAAAAAAATAATGATCAAAAATTATAAGTCAATGAAATAAAAATGTTCAAATTAAGTATTAATTGGACGTTAGTTATATCAGTCTAATGAGAAATAAGAAATGTTTCATTTGACAAAGTCTTAGAAACTCTTATAAATAAAATAAACTTGCTACATTATATAATAATAAATTCACTATATAGTAAGAAGGTCAAGTAAGTTAGCAAACTGAAAATGACATAACAGTAGCAAAAAATTACAAAAATTGAATATGTCTTGTAGGGAAATTTTACAATTATGCAAGAAATACAAAAAATCAGTATGTTAATGCACATGATATGCAGGTAATGAGCCTAAACAAAACGCATAGAAAGAGGGCTTGGATACTTGAAAAATGCAATCAAATGCTGAACAACAAAAACTTCTTCACCTGGTTAACAACATATAAATTTTGTCCCACAGGTAAAAGCGTGTTTTTCTTACTTATTCAATAATATAAAATTAATGAATCTGAGTCAGAACACAAGAGATCTAACCAATAAAAACATTGAAGCACTAAAACAAATTTAAATCAATGAGAAAAGCCAATAGCAACAAATCTGAATTGAATGGAAAAATTTAAAAATTAGAACAAACTTGGGTTTTGTTAAATTGTGGTTGTGGTTGGTTGTCATTGAAGCAGTGGAATCAACCTGTGTCTTTAGTACATACATGAAAATATAAATCAAGTAAATATGAAAGAAATAACTTATTTATTTATATATATATATATATATATATATATATATATATATATATATATATATATATATATATATATATATATAGTTCCATTTTCAAATAATATATATCTTTATGTAACAATCAAACTGAAATCTATATAACCCTATTAGGTTTTGGTTATTTTTATAGGCATAGTTTATCCCATAAGCATATGTGTGTTATTCCTTATAAAATTACGTAAAATTGGTTAATCTGAGTCAGAGCACAAAAGATGTAACTTATATAAACATCAAAACAAATTTAAATCAATGAGAAAAGCCAATAATAACTAATCTGCATTTAAGGATGGAATTTAAAAATTAGAGTTTAGGTTTTGATAATTCAGTGATAAATTAACACTTATTATTTATAAAAAAATATTTCCAGTACGTAACTAGTAAAAGAAGTTTAAAATAATAAAAATTGAATGGTAAATGAATAATAAACTAACCATAGCATGTGTACCGAAGCTGTTATGTTGTAATGCACTGGCTCGATTTGATGTGAAATTATTTTCATGCTCACTGCACCCATGTAGATTGATTTTATCATTGCCAAATATGAACTGAGATTCATAAGTGTTGAAATGCCTGTTTGATAATTTTTCAATCATCCTCATTGGATCTCGTGTGTTGTCATCTGGGAAATGAACTCTCTGCACTCCCTGTGTTAAATTATGCTGGTAAGGTACAGATTGAGAAAAATGTTGTTGTCGTTGTGGCGATCGCAGATGTATTTCTGATGTATTTCTGTGCTGTTCTTGATATTGTAACAAAGAATGATGTGGTTGAAAATGTGGATTATTAAGTTGTTGCACAGATTTATACCGAGGAGAAAAGTGCTGCGGAGGTTGAAACTGTTGAGGTGCTCGAGGTAGATGCTGCGATGGGTCATGATGGTGACCCATGACTGGTTGTGGTGCATTCTTGTGCATCAGTGAATTATTACTCCTTCCTGATGAAACAAGCTCTGGAGGATGCTTATGATGATGCAACTTTGGTGATAAGTGATGGTTAACCGTTGCAGTTCGTTGAGGGTGGGTTAGAGTGGCTTGATCAATCTGACTGGGTGTGTTGCAAGGCCTTTGTGCTTCATGGTGCAGAGATTGATTCAGTTTTGTTGAGCACTGTTCAGGTAAATATGGTTGGTGAATTCGTTGCTGCAAGTTCTCTTTTGGTGAAAGTTGCCTATCAACATTGTTTGAATTAACTGAATGTTGTTGCTGGTTATGGTGATGTTGCTTATGTTGCAAATTTTGGTGATTTTTCAGTTGATGTGATAACGTTTCACAATGATTTTGAGGTGAACAATTGGAATATTGATTAAATACTTTTTGAGAATGGTTTTGTGGTGAAGTTTGTTGCACAGGTTGTTTTGAAGTTACCTGTTTTGTAGGATGTTGCAACAATTGTTGTGAGTGTTGTGAAAATGATGGTTGTTGCAAATGCTGCTCGGAAGGCATATGTAGCAAATGTTTTTGTTTTTCAAACAAACTTTGTTGCATATGCTGTTTCAATGCAGTTGGTTGCAAATGTGGCTGAAAATCTGATGAAAATGCTGGCATTGACTGCTTTGCAACAATATCTTGTGGTAGCTCTTGATTTCTAGAGAAGTAAGCCTGTTGTTGAAATAACATTGAAGAGTGATGATCTGGCTGAATATATTCCTCAAATTTATTATCATGCAATTCAGGTGACTTCAATGATTGATGCTGCATTAGATGATGTTTCTCATTCAATTCTACATCATTTTTAAAATTTGTTTTTAAATGTTTACTCCCTGAATGATTTTCATTTACTTCACAATTATTTTTCATTGCACTTTTATCTTTTAAATCTAACTCATTAACCAGCTTTTCATTTCTGGCCGGCAAACCAGGGTTCCAATGAGATTTTGATGATAGGGCAGATGTGGGCATTGAGTTGAGCATTGAAGATGGTTTTAAGATAGGTGATGATACCAGAGATAATGCTGAATGTGATGATGCAACAGTATATGAAGATGAAACCAGCCAACCATTATCACAAGCTGGTGAATTCTCAATGTGTTTATCTTTTTTGCATTGCTTTATATTTTTATTCACTTTCTTTTCCAATTCAGATGGCTGTATTATGTCACAATTTGAATTTGATGTCTTGTTTTCAGCCACACTACTATCAATGAATGATCTATTAAAATTTTGATAATCTGGATTCGATTTACTCATTGCTGAAAAATTAGTCGAAAAACTGTCAAATTCATTTGTAAATCCATTCATAGGTCTAGGATACGGTTCATTAAAAGTGGGTTTAAAATGTAAAAATGGGTTTGTAAATGGTTTGCAATTAGGAGATCTGTAACCATTCACTTTTTGATAAGGAGAAATCATTTCTTGAGAAACATTAACTGAATTGTTGCTGTTAACCAGGTTCATAAACATTGGCACGCTATCTGGTTTGATTAATTCTGTTCTGAATGGCATGTGTTGCCTATACATGTTTGCATGATTATTTAAAAATTCCATTGGCAACCGATTTATTGGTTGCTCGGCCTGAGAGTTGTGAAAATTTAAGTATTGATGCTGAGGATTAAACTGTGGTCTTTGCATTGCAAAAAAGTTAGGATAACTTTTGACATCCATTCCATTTGGAGCATTATTTTCAGAAAAATTTGGACGATCAAAGGGATACATGAAGCCATTGCTTCCATTGTTGGAGGACATACTATCTGACATTAAATGAAATTGCTTATTTAGTGCATAGTTAACTGGATGCCTCAGATATTCTGCATCTGCTGCAGCCATGTTAATGTTCATGTAGTTGGCATTCCGTCGTTGCACCATAAAATTGTCATACTGTTCATCAAACCTCTCTCTAACCGGATATATGCCAGGATTTGCATTACCTTTCAGTTTCTTCCAAGTGAACTCATTAGATTCCTCTCCCTCTAAAGTTCTTTTACCAGCCATTTTGATATATAGCTCAATTATTTATTGGACTACATGCCACCAGACTACTAAGAAATAATAATAATATAACAAGCATTCACAAGTATTCCAGGGATGATGATTGAATTGAATGGGAATTTAAAATCTTTTGAAAAAATAAATGACGGATCCGGCATGCAATAAAAAAATAAATTTTATATGCAATAAACTTTCAGATAAATTAAATTAAATTTATATAAATAAATTAAAATATTAAAAACTGCTAAAAGAAAATTTTTTAAATAAAAACACGAAGATTATGTAAATTAAAAAATAATCCTGGCGCCATCTTTAGAGATGTAATGAGTTGATAAGAAAATTTTTTCTTTTTTTCTATTTTTTTGCAACCTGATTTGTGCCATTCTGTTTTTATTTCTTAATCTCTTCTTTTCAAGTATTATGTTATAAAAAATTATGTGAAATCAGTGGTTGTTAGGTTAGCTTATTTTATTTTATTCAACTTAAATGCGTTGGTATTTAAACTGCTTATTTGAAATTAAAACTGTAAAATTTTGCAGTTCAAAAGATTATCTGATATATAACAGAGCCAGTGATTGTGACGATGTAAGTGCCTTACTAACTTGGCAAAACAAATCTCCAACTCCTGTTTCATTCAAAGTACTCGTCATTTTGATTTTTTTTTCATCATCACTTATAAGATTTAAGATAAGATTTAAAACAATGTTTTCTTAAAAAATTATCTTGTCTGTTACGCGTTGCTCAAGTTTCGGCCCCTTAACAATTTTTCAGTAAATTAAATATAGTGATGCTGAATTTCAATTGTTTTTCCGCAGATAAAATCAACTAATCTAGATCCATATAAAGTTTAACCAGTTTCTGGATTGTGAGTCCATGTCAGAAAGTCAGAAATTGTGGTAACCCTCCTAGCGGATTGAACAAATAAATAATGAGAACGCAAATTATAACTCGTATATTTTCTGAAACAGGCAAGCAACTGAGCACATCAAATAACAGATTTCAGTTAGTTTTAGTGATAGTTTAGGCAAAGCTTCCATGTCACCAAGTATGCCTTCTCAGATTGTCATTACCATGTCGTCAATCTCAGAGTTTTTTAATGCTGACAAATACTATCTTGACGGTATGGTTTCATCCACTCAGACCCAGGGTTGTCAATCCAAAACAGATGATCAAGTTTTTGCACAGAGGGGGCAACTTTTCTCTGCAGTCGGAGGTTGCAGATTATATACAATCTTGCTTTAGTGTCAGTGATGATCCTGCCGCATGGACTGTTACAAATAAACAACGAAAACATTTTGTGCAGCATTCACCAATTGAAACTACTATTGATATTGAATTCTCATGGTCTGTTCAGGAAATGTATGTTGATAATCAACGGCATTGTTTCAAAAAAATATTTTACCGCATTTACCAAACGGGAAAGATAAAACGGGATCAGCTGAAGTACTCCAAATCCATCTATGGCTTTCTATTTCTGTTACATCTGTGAAATGTTTTCGTCTTCCAAAACTCATCAGTTTATTATGTTACAAAAAGGCTTTCAGAATATGAAGGCAGTGTTGAATACCAAACATCTATGCTGGCATATTTAAACAGAACACGAAAGCTCGAAACGATTGACTCACAATTGATGCAACAATCTATATTGGAGGGAAGTTTGGAAATGTTTAGCTGCTGTAGTTAATTTCTTGGCATAAGTAAAAATGAAATTATTGGATCAACTTCTAATGGTGTATACCTAGAATGTTTAGAACTCCTGGCAAATTTTGATCCAATTCTGAAAGAACATTGACTATATTTAGAAATAAAGGACAGGGTCAAGTAATTTATCTGTTGTTAACAACTTGCAAAAAATTTAAAACTCACATGGGAAAGAAGGCACTTTTTGACATTTTCGGCAAAATCAAAGCCGCTAAGTATTTTTCTGTTTCTGTCAATTCAACACTTCACACTTGACTTGAGCCACACTGATCGACTTACTTTCATCATCCGATATGTATCTCCAAAAGGCCAACTTCTTATCGAGCGCTTCCCTACGACAATGCCAGTAAAATGTCAGGCCAATACTTTTGGCTGCAAGCAAGAATTAAGCAAATCAACAGTCTAGTTGAACTGATTCCTTTTTTGTGTTGCTCATTCGTTGAACCTTGTAGATATATGTGCTGCAAAATATTGTCCATGGGTTCTATCTTTTTTTGATTAATGGAAGGTATCTACACCTTCTTTTCAGCCTCCGCTGGCCGATGAGAAGTAATTTGACGAAAGGCGCGGTCATTTTGAAAAGAGCAGCTGATGCAGGATGGTCTTCCCATTATGATGCCTGCCAGGCTTTTGCTGTGAGCTACAAAAAGATTCGGGATACACTTCGTCAATTGCATCTGATATGTCTGAATTGCCGTAAACAATCCACGAAGCTTAATCGAAATCATATAATAAATTTAAAAAGCGCTGACCAAGTAAACATAGTAAATCATTATGATGCAAAAATAGCGAAACATTTAAAGATGCGATAAAAAATATGTCAAAAATTTAAAGTCCGTGAGAGGAGGGCTCCTTTTGAAAGGAGGCCATGTTGCCCTTGGATTAATCCGGCACTGACATTCAGGTTTTTTTTTATTTTTTCATGTATATAAATAAGTTCATGATGTTATGAAAAAACCGTAAACTGAAATAACTTGTATTCGCCTGATGAACCGAATCTCGATATAACGATACTCGATCAAATCGTATATTTTAAACTGTAATAAATGGCCGAAGAGAAAATTAAATTGAAAAGAAAATTGCGATTGGTGCATTGGGTGGCCATCATCGTAGGGCTGGTGGTTGAAGGGAGCATCTACATCATCCCACAGGGAGTCCTCGCGCACATCTTATTCAAATTTACACAGAAGGATCGAAAACTTTCTTGAAACTCAACGACACCAGCGGTCATAATTCACACTTCTACAACATTGGCCCGACACCGCATATATGTCACCTGGAAAGTGCATTCATTTAAAGAGCAAAATAGATCGCAGTAAAGATGCCTCTTGATTTGGTACAAAATTCAAAATTGTAACAGCAAAAAGTTGCTTATATTTACGGATTTTTTTGTCGTCTAATATCTCTATTCAGCAACAGTAACAGAAGCATTCGTTGTTAATTGGTCCAAATGAAAATAAACCACTTCTTAAACAATAATAACAAATTTATTTGTGCCCGGATCCCACAGAGATGTTAGATATACAACATATACAACTTGTATCTGAACGCTGGATCCCAAAGCCATAAAAGAATTGATGGTAATAGAAGAGCAGCTTAGCGGCGACTATGGCATTGGTCACTGGTAAATTGATAATCAGGGGTGCTCGGAAGAATGGAAAGAGAGAAGAAAAAAAGACAATAAATAGGGTAGTCGTTTTTGTTATGGTTAACAAAATTTATAATGAAACAATTTGAAAACATCGAGTTATAACGTATATTTTTTGAGTTAAGATACAAAACATATATTAAATGTAACTCAATTTTTTCTAAATTTAATTTGAACATTATCAAACGAAGTAGCGGCAAAATAGCACTTAAAGAAAAAAATTGAGTCAAATAAAAAATATATACAAATAAAACTGAAATTAATTGTTCCATTTATTTATTGAAAGTTATTTGTAATTTGTATTTATTGAAGATATCGGATTTTCCTCTTTCATCAAGAAGTCTTTGTAATTTTCACAGGCCTGCTCAGCCGTGCTCAAAAACATTGGTATCACACGCTGGAGATATAACTGCATGCAAGAAAGTAACTAAAATAATACATGGTCACTTTAGTTGATTTTTTTAAATTCTCACGAATTTGTGTTTACGGAAATTTACTTTATACACAAATTTAAAAATAAAAATAAAAAGTTTGACATAATTGGGTTAATAATTTATGGGTTGCAACCATTTTTTTCCCAAAAATAAAATGTAAGTCACCTTTATTGTCCAAAACGTACACCAAATTGGAATTCTATTGCATCTGAAACTGTATTGAACCGTCACTGTTAAAAAGAAATTTTTTTTTTTTGACAAAATAATGAAACTAAAAATATTTTTTATTTTATTTTGTTACAGGCTAATAACATCGCCAAAAAATTATCATTAAAGATATTAAAATAAAATTTATAAGATCTGCAATAAGATCTTTTTTAGTAACATTAGTTTCAAAGCGAACAAACCATAAGAGCCCTTGTTGTTGTCCGCCGTGCAAGCGATTAATATTTTGAAGTCGTTTGCTTTTGAATTGCCTTCCGATGTTGACGCACACTCAACTGCATTCTTCTCGCAGATGTAAAACTTTTTCGAGTTGATCACCATTTCTTTATATTTCACAATGAACATGTACTGTTAGTTTTTGAGTGAATATAATTTAAAATTTATACGCTTTTCAATGAATCCTCAAAAGCGCAGAAACAAAATTGGAATTGAAAAATTGGAATAACTTAGGTAATGAATAAATAATAATATTAATAATAGGTTGGCAAGTTGTTCAAAGCACGATGCCAGACAGCTACAAAGTTTCTAAGGCCAGCAACAAGTTTGGCTCGGAGTACAGAAATTCAATTAGACCTATGTGGGCTGTTAGGCTAAGTTTGAACTAGGTTGACCACAATTTTTTCAATATAACTATATTATTTTAAAATAAATTGTTACATGAATGATGAATTGTTAAGTATTTTTCGTTTCTAACAATAATTTAAAATCTGTTACAATAAAAAAAATTTGGCCAACGTCTCTTGTTTTTGACATGTACGGGAGTGATACTTTGCAGAAATACAAACTAGATTTATTCTTTGATAACAGCTTTACCTCTAAAATTGATTGAATATATTGAAATATTTTGAGAAAGTTCAACTAATAAAATTGAACAGTCAAAATAATGTTATCAGACTGGCTTAGAAAAGTTAAATTGAACGCTAATCTACAAAAATAAAAAACTTGATAACTCCTTAAAAATATAGTAATTGAAAAAACAAGAAAGTATTAATAAAAATCACTTAAGTTGCGCACCTTTAAGTGTGATATCCCAAGTTTTTTGATACTCGACATCGGCATATGAACGAATTAGGAGTTGAGGTTCTGTGCTTGCCATCAGTCCTTCAGCTTTGAATGAACATTGTCCTGAAAACTGTGTTTTTTATTTCTATTTTTAATAATGCTTTCTTAAACATCCGTATAACATATATAACATAACATTATGACAAGATATCAGTAACATTTCAAATGCTTAAATATTGGGTGAATTATAAATCAAATATTTAAAAAGAACGTTCATGAAAAGTTACATAAAGTTTACAAAAAAAAATTCAAAAATTATTTAAAAGTTTGATATCGTTGAAGAAAAATAAATATCGTTATTCATGTTTCCGTCACCGACAATGCAACCAAACACCGTCTCATGCTTAAATAGCGAAAACATCTTTGTGGATTTACGAAGTATAAACTGAATGAAATAACTTTATCTTTCCTTCGGTAGACGGCAAAATCGCTGATTTCGGATATGAACTCCCAATCATCACCCTCGTCTCCAAAGTGAAAAAAATTGGAACTTTTTTTGCTCGTCCTGCTTGGTCTGCTCTGTTCGGTTTGTCATGAGAAGTTGATGGCGATTTGAATAGTTCAATGCAATTATTCTGGCCTAATATGTATGTTTTTCTTCGTTGAAATTTATTACTGTATATCAACTACATGTAAGAGTCCATCGAAATATTTTTTTATAATTTAATAAATGGCCATTTAAAACACTCAAACATACAATCTCCATGCGACAAAAAATGGATGACAAACATTTTCTACCAAATGAAAAAGATGCACTAAGCGTAAAAAAACTGTTTATCGAATTTCTAAAATGTATTAACAAGTTACAAATGTATATTGACTTGTTTGTATTGAATTATTCCAGATATACATGGAAACGGTAAAAAACAACTTTTTTAAACAGTGTCCATTAAAAATTTCATGGTTTCAAATTTCACATTAACAATCCACTTCAATAAAAGAGGAAAATGTTACCTTACACATTATTTGCAAATTGTTAAAAATATTTGATATTAATAAAAAACCTGCGTAATGAACTTGAAGAAACTCTTGTACATCTTGAACTGTATACCAATTGAATGTGATGTTAATTTTTGTCACTTTTGCAGTATTTTGCATTACGTTACATATGTTGATGTTGAAGTTTTCCAAAATAAACAAAATGGAGAAATTATTTTGAACTTTTATGACGTTGTAACCCAGGTGAAACAATATACTCATTTTTACATTTGAAAAAATCATAAATTTTGATTTAAAAAAATCCTTTCGGTTTAACAGTAATAACTAAAAAAAATTAAATGATGACGGTCATACCGACAAATGCAGAGTTTTTGGCTGAGATTTTGAAGTTTTTATTTTTGTGAACAAATTACTTTCCTTTTCTTAAAACTAATTTTTCTTAATTTTAGCTTTTCAGAATGCTTAAAGCGATAAAAATGTACTTGAATGGAACGGTTTTACAACATTTGCATTATTTCTAAAACGATAGAAATGATTCTCTGTCATGAAATGTCATCACATGAAGAAAAACACAAAATATTATATTCAGAAATTTTTGTATAATTATACCCCCAAAAAACACGGTGCATGTTTATTAATTAATTTTAACAAAATGTTGGATGGTTACAATTACAGCACAATAATTTCAATAGGTTTTATTCAACTTTGCCACAAAATTATTGTCCTTCTTTAAAATACTGTTCAAATAATGTTAAAATGAAGTTTAAATGTTCATTTCAGAATGAAGACTTTTTTTGTTTTCTTCCAGAAGTTTCCGCAAAGCATCGCCACCACTTTTGTTAACTAACGAAGAACCTGCAATGAAAAAATAAAATTTCGATAAAATAATTTCATTTAAGACGTGCAGTTTCAATTTTTGCTTCGGTAATAATAGTAAAGTAACCATGCGTCAACTCGTCACGAAGATCATCTTCAGGAGGAACACCCGCACACGAAGAGTTCTGGAGGGTTAGTTATTCAATCAATAAAATTGGAAAATTAAGCACTTAATTAATCAGATTTCAATTCTAACGATCAAATTTCCAAATTTTAAATTCAAATATTTGAACTACTTTAAACGGATGTCGATATGACTGGTACTTCTTCACACATTTTAAGCCTTCACCTTTAAGGAACAAAAAAATTAATTTTATAAAACTTATGAAAATTATTTTCAAATGATAATTCATGCTACTGGTTAAATCTGATTTAGTTTCATCGAATGGAGTGTTGTCTCGGCCCGTTTCGTCCTGGGAAAGCTGAATGAAAAGATCGGTTACAAAAATTAAACGTCTGGCTCAACTGAGTTAGAAATTATTTCAACGGGAAATAATTTTTAAACCATAACGATTCAAATTTAATGTTTAAGAAAAGGACAAAATTATCTTTTGAGATGCGTAAATATACCATGTCCAAGTTGAGTCTTAGGTCAGGTTCCGACTGATCAAATTCGTCGTTGGCTTCACAATTTCTATTCTTAACACCTGTGTTGATTGCGAAATGTTTCACATTGCTAAACATTATTTAAACGTTATTTACAATTCGCACTTAAATTCTCACAATTCGTATAAAAATACAATTATTTAGATTTTTGTCATTATTCAAATACATATAAAATAAATATACATTTTAATCTCGATCGCGCAGCTGGCACAGGAAAACTTTTGATCTGGAAAATCATTTAATTATTTTAGTTAATTATTTAGTTATTTTATTTAAATATTATTAGTATTCCGGAATGTGTATGCTACATGCCTATAGTATGTAGTAATTTAAATTCAAAACACACACAAGCTTATGCATTTCACTAAAATATTTGATTAAAAAATAATATATATTCATGTGCAGTTTAATAATGCTTTTCAAAAAAGTACTACTAATCTGTTATAAACAGTCTTACTTCGTTTTTATTCAGATCAATTTCTTTTATTAACCAAGATTTTTCCAAAGTCTGAAAATAATTTTTAAACAAGTTGTGGTTAATCGTGAAATAAATTAAACAACAAATGAGCGAATTAAACAGACCTGTTTGTTTTCCAAAGTGTTCAACATCTTTCTCCTTTCTTTGACTTCCCTCTCTTCAATCATTCGTCTTTTCTCTTTCTCTTTAGTCATTTCCAGCAAAGTTTCATCTTCTGTCATTTCAATGTTCTTCTTTTCTTCTTCTTTTATTTTCTTCAGAATAATCTTTTGAAAGGTTTGAATGGTGTATGTTAACACTAATATATAATATGTATATATTATATATATAAGCATGCATGTAAAAAGAAAATTTCATTACTTGCTCCATTAATTCATCAGAGTATTGAAGTTTCTTTACTCTCTCTTCTTCATTCTTGAATGATAAGTTACAAAAAATATTATTGTGTATTAAATCAAAAAAACTAGAAAATTCCTTTCGAGTAAAGAATCTTTCAATAACCTGTTCAATTTCCAGTTCATCAAGTTTTTTCTTATTTTTACGACTCTCCAAATTTTCTTTTTCCATTCTTAGTAGATATTCTATATTTTTCTTCTGGCATTCGTAATCGTAAAGTTTTTCTTCAAATTTTGTCATTAAGTCGTGTTCTTGTTTTAGTTTAATCTGTAAAAATGTTAAATTTATGTTATAGGTACTGCCTATAAAACTAAATTATCATCCGTTTCTATACCTGATTCAATAATTCAATTTTGTATTGCTCTTCAACGAGTTTCTCTTTTTCCATCTACGAAAGTAGATTTATGTTTAAAAATAATCAACTCGCTAAAAATTAAACTCCAAAAACTTACTTTGACTTTATCAACATCCTCGAATATGTTAACTTTGATTTTTGAACACGGGGCAAAATTATCTTCATTCATTTTGTCCTCCTCCATTTTTAAAATTTTTACATCCTCAATCAGGCTTTGAGCCTTTTCTTTCAGTTGATTGTGTTTCTTTTCATTGATCTGATGAGTATTATTATAAAATTATGAACTCGGCAATAAAAAAAAAAAAATATCTGTTGCCTGTTTAATAAGTTCCGACTGATACTCCGGATTCATTTTTGTTTTGCGACTTACCGGTTTTGGCAACTGCAAATTCAGTGGTGTTGACAATTCAGAATATAAAATGAAACGCACAAAATAACTATAATACATCAAAATACGCTGTTAATTTTGGTGATAACATGAAGCATGTATTACTTTCGAATATTTTCTTGGTTGAATTTCTTTAAACTTTTCTTCCTGCATTTTTGCGTTTCTTTCTTCATTTAATTTCAACAAATCCATATCTTCCAAAAGAGCTTTTTCTTTTTCCTCTATCGCCTGTTTCCTCTTCAAATTAATCTGTGCCAGCATAATACAACGATGTATGATGTAAGAAAAAGCTTTCAAATGAAAAATTAAAATTTTCATTTACTTGCTCTAACAGAATATTCTGATGCTGCAGCTCTTTCAGAATTTCATATTCAGTCTTCAGAAAGAAAAGTACAGATACGATAAAAATTGTTATTGAAAATATATTGAAGGGGGGTTACTTTAATTTTGTCTACATGAAACAATCGCTCCCTGGGCTTAACTGTCTGGGATTCCAAATGTTGAAGGTGCTCCTTTTCTTTCAAAACTTCTTCCATTATTTGCCTCTGCTTTTCCATTTCTTTCTCGCATTTTCTATCTTGGATCTAAAATTTTATTTTTAATTTTTTGTTTAAAATGTATCTATCCATAACAGATTAATGAATAGAAACAGTTATTCCACAAATACGGAATAGAAACAGTTCAAAACAATTCGTCCACATCATAAAACTGAAATGATCTGAGTCATCAATTGAAACAAAAATCTGAGCATTATTTAACTGATTTACTTATGTAAGAGTCAGTTTCTAAACGATGGCCTCCCAATAATAAAATAGTTAATCCTTTATAACAGTGTCTATATTTAAAAACTAGCCAAGCATAAATGATGCCATGCCTCAAATTGGCATGTTTTTAGCATCCATATGATGGTAGGTAATCGAATTTTCGGGTTATCAAAGGATTCTCATAAATTGTTAAAATGTCCATACTTAATAGAAAAAAAAATATTTTAGATAATGTAACATTTTTTACAAAGGCGTTTAATATAATTCATATAGTCTTTGAACCAATTCGATTCGAAATTTTATAAACTTGGCCGAAATGTCAATCGATGCAAAACATTAAATAAAGTTTTTTAAAATTTGACGACTGACCTGATTCAACAGTTCTTGCTGGTATTTAAAACTGTCGGGTTTATCATTTTTTATCTGCAAATTTATAAAAAAAACACAATCATTCTGACAAGCAGCGTAGTATAAAGTTTCCAAATTCGTTCTACACCAGTGATAATTTACTCAAGAAAAAGTGAAAATGAAAGTAAAATGATTTGTTATATTTGAGTAAAAACAAAAGTTTAAGTAAATTGATTTTAAAAAGTAAAAATAAAAATAAAGTAAGATTATTTCTTAGCAAGTAAAACTGAAGAGAAATGATTTTTCCGTAAAAACAATTTAGTTATATTTTTCCAAATATTTGGTGGTACAAAATATTTAGGAAAACATATCTACGATTTACACTTTCCGCGAATCGCGTGCTTTATTTGTCATTGTTCCTTGCTAGTGGTTTTGTGTATATAAACTTTCTTGTGAAACACGTGCCTTTTATACAATTAGTGGTTTTAAAACTGACTATTAACCATGTGCTAACATAAATCCGACTGGATCCGAAAAAATTAATAACTTACATCTCTTTCAATAACTTAACAAATTAACTTGAATTTAAAAGTATTAAAATTAAAAATCTCGATCTTTTTATAAATTTTTGTAAATACCATCATATACAAACACACACATGTAAGCATACACATTAAAACACACGTATGCTATATAAACATGTGTATGCATGCATGCAAGCACTACAAATGTTAACACATTTTGAGAAACAAATTTCACAATCACAGTGCTTGGTGTTAATGTCTGTGGTAATTTAAAAGTAATTAAAATATAATTAAGATAATCACATCAATCAAATGATCCCATCGATATAATTGTAATTCTTCTCGCTTTAAATCAATTTGCTTATATACAATACGTTCATTGATTAATATACACTTACCTGTTCGTGTTCAGTCACATATGAAGGAATTAATGTACATTGTGCAAAAGCATGCATACATTCAAACATACACACGAACACATTATATACATACGCAAATGTATATATATATATATATATATATATATATATATATATATATATATATTCAAAGTTGCAACAAAAAACCGGTTCAAATCCAAAACTCATTTCCATTTTCCACCGGATTTGGAATAGTAGCTGAAATTCGCTGGAGCCTTAATTCAAATATGAAACTTTTGTGCACTTTATTAGTCAGTTTTAAAACAACTTATAGTATGAAAGAAATTGCTAGCATCATACCCTAGAGATTTATCTGCAATGCTCATTTTCAATGTCTTCCGTTTTGGCGACTGATGACTAATGGCACGTTGAAAAGTAAAAGTAATATGGAAGTAAAAGTAGAAAGAATTTCACCAAAAGTAAGTAAAAGCAAAAGTAAAATGAATTACGAAACTATAAATAAAAGTAAAGAAAAATGCATCATATACAAGTAGAGTAAAAGTAAAATGATTTTTGCAAGTAAAATATCACTGTTCTATACATTACAAGCAATTGGCATAGCTAAAAAATGAACATTTATTATAGACTTGTTCAAAAAATTTATTCAGTAAATTTGAGTCGAAATGTTTAGTGTTTGCATTATTAATAATAAAGTGTTATTAATATTAGTGAACTGTTGCGCTTTGACGTGTAATTCAGAAGAAATATTTTTACTATACTGTCCCATCATAAAAAGAGATTTTATAAGTGTGTGTGTGGCATTTGTTCTGTATAGTTTTAAAAAGAAAGCTTTAAACATTATCATAAAATGTTGAGGTATATATTTTATAAGCATTTGTAAATATTTAAAACAAACCGTATTGGTGGCATTCACGTATTTCGCTCTTTCCTTCCTTATTTCTTCTTCCATTAAATATCGTTTTCTTCTTTCTTCATTCATTTTCAGATTTTCCATTTCTTCAGATAATTCCAACATTTTCTCGCGGGCTTGAAAGTCGTTTTTCATCTTAATCTGCATATTTAAAATCTTTAGAGTCATAAATGTCGTATTTGTTTGTTACATAGGTCCAGGTTATGTCTTTAAAATTATTAAATTATCATATTTGATATAAAACGTCCAATGGCATCGCCAATCTCCCAATTTTTGATTTCCTTAGCACGTTGTGACTAAAATTATCCATTATTTTCAGAAATAAAAATAATTATTTCACCTGATTTACAAGTTCCTGCTGATGTCTTAGAGCTAAGACCTTTTCTTTTTCTAACTGTATGTAAAATTGTAAAACAACTTACGTAAATTTATTCGATATGACATATACATATAGGAGATTGAAATTAAATTAATACTAAAGTATGCAGCTCTGCATATTTAGTCATCCGACCTGTTCTTGATCTTTGTCTGCATTTTTATTTCTGTTCTTATCTTTCTGTTCTTCTCTAGCCTTCATTAGTCTAAACTCCTCTTGTATCTTCTGCCGCTCCTCTTCCATTTTCTCAAGTTCTTTTTTCTTACGTTTCTCTTCTTCTTTCAAATTTATCTATTAAGCGTAAAAAGACATTTAAAATTAGATAAAATATTTACAATTGAGTTCATAAGCAATTAGTTTTTCATCTTTGATATCAACTTGTTTGAGTAGGTCTTCTTGGTATTTTAACTTTTTCTTTTTTTCTTCATCACTCTAAAAAAATATTAAAATTTTTATGAACGTCTTAAAATCAAATCATTCAGAGAATTGTACTGTTTACCAATGGTTGTCCAAATATTCCGTGACCTCCTCTGGAAAAATTTACTTCATCTGCTGGTTTGTCTCGCCAACAATATGAGTGATTGTTGTTTCCTACATTCTCTTCTGCTAACTTCCTCCTCATGATCGATGTTGGGTCCATACCCGGAACTTCGCTGTAAAACGCTCTATTAGGCGGATCTATTTTCTGGGGGTCTGACATAATAAGAATCTAGCGTAAGTTTGAATGAAGTGTAGAAATGATATGTTCTATTTATTTATTTTTAGCAATCGGTTGTTTTTTAACATGTCGTTTTTATTATTTTTCAAATAAATAATCTATTAAAGTACCATAAAAAAAAAATCGAAACAAATATTTCTTTGCCAGCTTATTTATTATTGTTAATTATACTCTTTAATTACATATTCATTTTTATATCAAATTATCAATCGAACGTTTCGTGTCTTCAAATTCTTTTTCGATCACTTCTTTGTTCTTCCTTTGAGCTAAAAAATATTAATCCATATCCAATTTTTCCATTAACAACTGTATATTTACACACATATATATATATATATGTTGGTAATAGACCATAATTTTTACAATATTCTATAAATTCTACCGAATGTTTGGCGTTAATATGTTTGTAGTTCGTTTTTTCGATTTTTCTCACTAAAGTTTTTTGGTGAACGTTAAGTTTATTAAAATTCAAAATAAAATTATTTTTCGAATTCATGCTGCAAATAAGGCCATATTTCGATTCCGAATGAATCATCATCAGTGCTCTTTGCTGTATATATAGGGAAATATTGACTTTGTCAAGATGAACTTTGACGTTGTAAAAATTAACTTTGATGTTGGTGGTGTAAAGTTCAACTTTACAACTTTGGTGTTGGTGGTGTAAAGTTCAACTTTACAACACCAAAGTTAATTTTTAATTTTTAACTTTGGTGTTGGTGGTGTAAAGTTCAACTTTACAACACCAAAGTTAATTTTTACAACGTCAAAGTTCATCTTGACAAAGTCAATATTTCCCTATATATACAGCAAGGAGCACTGATGATGATTCATTCGGAATCGAAATATGGCCTTATTTGCAGCATGAATTCGAAAAATAAGTTTATTTTGAATTTTATTAAACTAAACGTTCACCAAAAAACTTTAGTGAGAAAAATCGTAAAAACGAACTACAAACATATAAACGCCAAGCATTCGGTAGAATTTATAGAATAATGTAAATATATGTATATATATATATATATATGTTTATAAGTGTATACATGTAATTATATATATATATTATATATATATGTATATATATATATTATATATATATGTATATGTGTATATGTAGTATATGTTGAAGTTCTTATCAGAAAACTTCTGAACGCAGAGTGGGCATACAAGTTTAATGAAATATGCATATATATATATATATATATATATATATATATATATATATATATATATATATATATGCAGCATCACCTTACTTATTACGTTTCCGTAAACGTCTCTCAAGACAGTTTTCTCGGCTGGCATGCCGTATGGTTGATAGTTTTTTATAATCCTTTCTAACTCCTGCTCTTCACTAAACATTGAGTCAATTCATAAATTGTACCTCAATATATAAAAAAGATTTATTTTAATCAATTTTTTAGTCCTACCTGGCATGTTGTTCTTTTTCCAGCTGTTTTTTGATGCGGTCTTTGTGAATCTGCAATTTCCAATCGAACGCCATATATTTCCAGAAATGTTTCTTTTATATGCTGCTGTCATCGTTAGTGTCACCAAAAATATTATAGCATTATAAAAAACTGACTTGCTTCAGCAATTCCAGATGGTAGCTTTTCTTTTTTTCTTCCTGATACATCTTCCTCTCCTCATCACTTGGCAACAACATGCCCCTGGGAATTTAAAAAAATTTATTTTCAACTAATCCTTCAACTAATTGAAATATTCCTCTGAAAATTTTCAAAGAACTTTCATGAATAACAAACCTCGCGGGTTGCTTGTAATGAGGTGCAGCATATAGGGACGTGTTGGCGTGTGCGTTTGTATTGTAAGGCGGTAGATTCCAATTGTTCGATTGAGATGAGATTGTTTTATCTGTAAATAAATTCATTGATTACATCATGCTTTCAATGCGCAATTGAAATTAATTTTGCTAACTTACAAACATCATGGCCTTGAAATTGAGAATCTGCAAATGACATCGTACACCTTCGATCAAGAATGTGGGTATTTATGAAAAGATTTTTAACAAAGATTGCAATGATTTTAACTGAAATATAAAAAAAATAGAGATTGCGCTTTCAGATATTATTGTTCGAATTAAACTTACCCTAACCCAACGCATTTCATTGTTAATGACGGAAATAAAGAAGTTGACAACAATGATTTAACTTTTGAAACAAAGTTAGAACCCAAGAGTAACACTGATATAACCAGTGCCAATAATGACAAAATCATTTTTCTCAGTAAAATTCTCGTCCATATTTGTTTAAAACAATTATAGTCATCAATAATCCAATGAAAGTTGTTGTTTCACATGTTTTTTCTCCGTCTCTTTTTTAGATTCATATTATTAAAAACGACCTGCATGAAAATAGCTCATCCCCATCATCAGTTATCCACAAAATGTCTGAAACTGCTGATTCAATTCCATTTTTTTGAAAAATTTTGAAATCGCTTAAACGATATACTTTTATCGAAACTACCTCATCTCATGCTGTGACTCTAGCACTATATACAAGCTCCATTTTACAAACCAATCAACACAGACAAACTAAATTACTTACAAACGTATGTCAATACCACACACAACTACACGCCACATTACATACGAATCTTTTATAATATAATGAATTATTCACTCTGAAATTGCATGGATGGGTTTGTTGCGATCGTTATCACCTTTTATTGGTCTAAATTCATCGTTGTTAAAATCAATGAATGATTTCTCTGTCATCTGTTTTAAATGCCATAGTTAATCAGTAAGTATTGAAATGTTTCCAAATGTTTATTTTATACAGTTAAATTAAAGTGGCTATAAATTCTATAAATTTTCATGACGGTTAGTAATTACTAATATTTGAGTTGGAGGTCTGAAGACGTTTTGCACGCTTTCACTTGGTTTTTGCTGAATGAAATTTCGATACCAATTGTTTGCCTGATTCTCTACAAAACTATAAGGTCGATGACATTTATTATTTGAATTTGTTTTAGATTGGATTTTAACATTTTTTTTTATAAACATACTTGAAATTTTTAGATGAAGACATTTTTATCACTTAAATATAACTATATTTTATTAAATTAATTTTAATTAAATAACCACAGACAGGATGTTAGGTTGGTGTTATTGTTGATGTTAATGGTGTATTGTGGTTTTGTAATGTTTATGATGATTTTTCAGCAGTTGCTATGATCACAACTTTTAGAAACTTTTAGCTGCGTTTTATTTAGTATGTAACCAAATTGTCAATTTATTTCGTGAAATTTGTTTTTAAATATATTTGTTTCAAAATTATTTTTTTATTAGCGGTAATAGCATCTGTGTGTGAAGAAATGCTCATTGAGATGCTTGTCACGATTTTGCTAATTATGTATTTTTCGACATCATATTTCATTGGAAATAATTCAATTACGTTGAAAATTTTAAAAATATTAATGTTAGAAAAAGTCATGTTTTTTTTTGATAAATAAAATATTGTTGTTTATGGTTATATTAAATTTCGTGACATGAGATGAACGCTTAAATATCTATGCCTTTCATCTTTGGTAGCTTGTTGCATTGAGCGGAAACAAAAAGTTGTGTGAATTGTGCAATTTGTCAAGAAAAAAAAAATGGCAGATAAAGATGAAAAGCATGACACTGAAAATGAGGAAGATACAATCGCCAAGGACATCGTCGTTACAAAGTATAAAATGGCAGCTGAAATTGTCAACGGTTAATTGATTTTGTGCGCTTTTTGCAGTTAATTTGATTTTTGCACGTTTGTTCTCTGAACTCGTGGTTGGCCGGCTGGTACATTGGGAAAGTTGATATTGTAGTATCGGAATCTCTACCTTTACTTGCATTCGCTGGTTGTTCGTCGTGATACAAATTTTTGAATATATTTATCCGATAAATTTTATGTTTCTATAACACTATGTGTCCAATTACCTACCTATTCCATCCAGATGTTTTAAAGAAATTAATAGAGAAGTGCGAAACAAATGCAAAGATACAGGATCTTTGCGATCTCGGAGATCAGTTGCTAACAGAACAAACAAATAAAGTTTTCAAAACCAAAAAAGACATGAAAAAGGGTAATTAATGCTGTGTTAGAAAGTTATGTTAAATAAATTAGATTATGATGGAATTATGTGTGTGTGTTTGTGCATGCAAACAAAATTAAAGTGTCAAAATATTTTATTGCTTGATAATTTGATATATATTATAATTATAGCCATGTTACTTATTACGGGGTAATATAAAAATATAATTATAGCATGTTTTTTTTTTTTAAATTTTTCCACAGGAATTGCTTTTCCAACATGCATATCAGTCAATAACTGCATTTGCCATTTTTCACCTTTGAAGTCTGAAGCTGATTCATTTTTAAAAGAAGGGGATTTAGTTAAAATGTTTGAAATTTTGAATTATTTATTCAGTTTTTAAAATTAAGTTTTGTCGTTTTCTATTTGATTCAATTAAATATTATAGAAAACATTATGCTAACTAAAGTAATATGAGAAAGCTTTTGTAATAAAATTTATATTTACAATTATACAGCATATACATTATATTATAATTATATGTATAGACATTTGTTTTTTTATTGAATTAAAATGAATATCTTGAAAATAGAGACTTAGGTGCCCATATTGATGGCTTCATAGCAGTGGTTGCCCATTCCTTGATTGTTGGTGCTACTCCAGTTAGTTACCTTTTCTGTAAAATTTTTCAACTTTTTTTATTCAACATCTGGTATTAATTAAAATTTTGTTAAATTAACTCCATTTAAATCAACTTGAGTTTTGTTGTTTCATAGGAAAACAAAGCGACAGGTCGAAAAGCAGATGTTGTACTGGCAGCTCATCTTGCTTCTGAAGTTGCATTGAGACTTGTCAAACCAGGCTCTGAAGTATATTGTTTATTTTCATGCTTCATTTAAGTTAAGTTAGTTGTGGAACATTCACAATAAAAAACATTTTGTAACTTCATTCAAAAAAATTCAGAACACAGCTGTTACGGATGCGATACAAAAGGCAACTGAATGTTACAAGTGTAAACCAATAGAAGGTTTACTGAAATTTTATAATAAATGTACATCTGCTAACATGAGGAATTTATTTTTCATATTTTTATATCCTTTTCCAATTTCAGTTCATCTGAATACCTAAATGTGTGTCTTTTGTCTCATTAACTATGTATCCACTCATTTAACGTTAGGCTTAAAACAATAATGACTAGACATTGATTTCACTTATTTAAATTGTACTGAATTGATTACATGCGATCATGTATTCAAATTTTGTATAATGATAAACTCGTTAAGTAGATTTAGCTGATATTTAGTTAAATGCTGCTTATTTATTTATATATATACACAAATGTTTTCAATAAAATTTACTGAATCATTTCAGGAATGGTCTCACATCAACTACAGAAACATGTGATTGATGGAAAGAAAACCATTGTTCAAAATCCATCTGAGGCTCTTAGGTTTCTGTCATTCTTGAATGTATATACATTTTATCAGTGCAGTTGTTTCTAGGATTTTTTTATTGCTCTGATTTTTATTGTTTTTTTTTTATATTTTCAGTGCCAACCAAATCCTTCTTGTTGTTATATTTACTTTTTAATTTGTTTCCAAGGAAAGAATATGAGAAATGTGAGTTTGAAGTGCATGAAGTATATGCCATCGATGTCATTGTCAGCACAGGAGAGGGAAAGGTGCCTGATTATTTCATTCACCCATTTATTCATTCATTCGTTCATTCATTTTTTAAATGCAGCTGGAACTTTATGCATTCGCTTTTAATGAGTGGTTTACTGATAATTCATTATATTCTTGTTTGCTCATACACCATTTTCCTAATGAATAAATAAGTGACTAAAATAATTGCATACTTTTTATTTTTTCTTTCTTCTGGCCTCTTATAAATATATCATCAATCTATTGTTATTTAGTTAGCATGGTTTATCTTTATTTTCATTACAATTAATTATTTTTATTTTTGTAATTCCTCTACTTATCACATTTTACCTTAATTAATGTTAGGATATTTGCTGAACTAACTTTTTTCAAAAATTTACTAAAGTCTAGAATGTCACAATTTAGTTGACAAAAATGTTTCATTGAAGTGAGATATCATGCATACGTGGATTGAATTTAAAACATGCAGGGCAGGGAATCTGACATTAGGACGACAGTGTACAAAAAGAAAGATACAATCTACAACTTAAAGATGAAGGCTTCCAGGCGTACGCAGTCTTATTCATCATTCCATTCTTTAACCCATCTTCAATTTTGTTTATAATTCTATCAATTTTTTTCTATTTCTATTGAAATTTTATGTTCAATAATAATTTTTTTCTTTTTTCATCATTATGAAAACATTTTATAATTTTTTAATTAAAGAGTTTTACAGTGAGGTGGAAAAGAAATATGGTGTGATGCCTTTCACATTGAGGTAACCGAATTAAAACTTATTAAATTTGTTTTAAATTTCTCTAATACGTCTTGGTCGATAAATATAATGCATTTTAAATAATTTTTTTAGAAGAAATATCATATTGTTTCTTTTATAACCACCTCATGATCGAATTCAGCACAGACCACTTTTAAGAATGTTTTATTAATTTCAATAAAAAATGGTATTGTTGCTATTTTCAAAAAATTCAAATAACAGTTAGTCTGAGTTCAAATTATTTTGTCTGTTTGAAAATTCATTTGATTAAATGATGTCAATAATTATCAGATCTTTTGAAGATGAAATCAAGGCTAAAATGGGAGTCGTTGAATGTGTGAAGCATCAATTGGTTGAGCCTTTCAATGTCTTATTTGAAAGAGAAAGTCCGTTCAGTTGAATTTTATGCATCGTTTTTTATTTGTAGTCGTTTTGCTCGTAATCTCAGTGTAAATATGATTAAGACATTGCTGACAGTTTAAATGACTTTTAAATGTTTTTCTGATTAATTATTAAAAAGTAGTTTAAAAGTATGTTCATGGAAATTTATATGAAAACTCAAATTAATCTGTTAACAATTGCAGATGAATTTGTGGCCCAGTTCAAATTCACGGTTCTTCTAATGCCAAATGGTCCCATGAAAATCACGGGCTTGCCCTTCGATTCATCTTCTTATCATTCAGAGCAAACCATTGAAGATGAAGAGATCAAAGTTAGTCATTGTTTTAACTGTTAACTTTTTCAATAAAGAGTTATGCACGTGGTTAATTTTTTTCAGCAAGTGTCTTTTTATTATAGAACTAAGTTTAGGTTATTTGTCATGTGTTTGTACAGGGCCTGCTAGCTGCTTCTGCATCTCGGAAAGCCGCAAAGAAGAAAAAGAAGAAGGCAGAGAAAGCGATCATAGGTGGGGAGGATGCCGAAACTGCTGCTGTTGCTGAAGAAGTTGTTGCAGAAACTTAAGGTGAACCAATCAAAGCTAACACCCTGACAACAACAACACATCGACAGGATGTATGAGTATGATTTTTAACAAAAAATTTAATAACACCCGTTGTTTTTATTATTTTATTCCAGTCGAAAGTACTGATTTATAAAAACGCACGTTTTAGAACTGATTTTTCAGTTTTTTAATAGTGACATATATCGATATATATGCTAACACGTTTGTCTTAATTACGTATATGATATGGTAACATGTATATCTTGATTATGCTTACGTGGTAACATAAATATATATATATATGTATATATACAATATCTATGTGCAAACATGTAAGGATGGCAAATGGTATGAATGATAACATAACATTCATTGTTTTTGGATGTAATTTTTATAAAGCTAGGAAATACATTCGACATATAGTCTTCTTGTTGAACTTGATTAATTAATATTTTTAAATATTGTGAAGTTTCACGATATTTACATTTAATTGCGTCTTATTTTGTTAACGACATTGTTGAACTATTTAAGTATGAATGCTCTCCAGATAGCTGTGTAAAATATAATATCAAATTTTAGCTTGTCTTGTATTTTTGAAAATATTTACAGAGTCGAGCTAGTTTATTTAACGTCTAATCTACTTGCCTCCTCACGAACAGGTGTGAGTTTGTCTCACTACCGCCTGTCACTATTATTACTCACTTTGTGGGGCAAAGAAACGGCCATTTGCCACGTAAAAATCGCTCCGTTTCGTCACTTTTTACGCTTTGTTTACTATTCGTTTGATTGATTTTTAATTCCGTGGCTGAATTGGATTCTAGCGCGCTCGTCTTTTCTTAAATCCCGTTTAATCCAGCCAGAATTCATTTATATGAGAATTTTTGTTTTAATGTTAAATGTGACAAGGTTTTTATAAGTTAACTTATTTTATTTTCGCCAACTAAAATTTCGTTCTCCGTTTCTCGTTAGCGACTTAAATGTTACTTCCCATTCCAAGTTTCCTATTAATCGTCGTGAGCGAAAATACGTTTTATGTACCTATCCATTTTTAATGTCAGTAAGTAGAGTTTGCGTGTTACAGCTTTGTGCATTTGGGGTTGGATGCAGTCGGCTTCGAAGTTTCAATCAGCAGGCACCCGTTCTTTTATGCGGTTGCAATATCGTCTTATTCATGGTTTTATTTTACGCAATTTATATTTTGCAAACCAGAGGTTTTTTTTTATTTCCATTGAAATTCTATTGTTCATAATTACGTTGTATGTTTTTTGCGGTTCTATATAAGAAGCATTCCAATTTTTGAAAAATACAAAAGAGGTGGTGGTTCTGAAAAGACGAAAAATAATTAAGATATAAAATAAATGTTTGTTGTGAAATAAATAAAAATTAACGGACGATATAGAAAATAAATAATGAATAAAATCAGTGGCTGGTTAAAGATAAAATTTAAGTGGTGATATCTCTAATATGTGATGATCATGGGTAAATATAATGGTGATGATCGCATATTTGTGTTTGCGATGAGGGGAATTTTTAATGTGGTTTTGAATGGTGGTAGCAATTAGCGAGTGACATAGTAGAGGTTTATTTATTTCTAAACAAATGTGTGTCTGACGAGATTTAAATGATTAATTAATGGATACGAAGAAGGCAAATTTAGTCTGATTAGTCAAAGTTTGATGAACGTATTGATGAAAAAAGTATTAAATGATTTAACGGAGGACAGGTAAATAAATAGATGAATGCTTTGACTTTTTTCAACGATGCGTGTTTAAAGTGACGATTTCGATGTACTGCTTGCGCCTCAAATTTTGACATTACCTACACCACAAGATCCTGCTTCCTTGTCTACTGTCTTACTTTTAGAGAAGAGCGATCGAAAGTGATGATGATCCTACATTTTATTCTGAGCATTTGAGCTAGTAACTAAATCTAATACGATTTGAAAATGATGTAGCTTATCAATGATAATTCCTTTTTCATGAGATAATTATTTGCCGATGTAAATGTTTGATGAACGACGAAAGCGACGAAAGATGGTTCAGATAGCCTAACGACCAGGAAGGTTGAAAGCTATTGAAAGCCAAGACGTTGATGAATTTATCAAATGAATGATGAAGTGTTGGCATCGAAACCACTAAATTTTTTAATATTTATAATGCAGTTCTGTCAAACGCGGGACTGTTTACATGTTATTCTATATTTAAAATTAAACTTTCGTGCCACAAAAGCTGTACTACCCACACGACACACATACACATCGTTATTATTATCTTTATTTATGGTGTGTTTAAAAGATCTCAGAGGCGCTAACGATTATTGAAGTACATTGCGTACCACTTTACTAAGGCAATAAAGTGAATGGAGAAAACAACATCGGCACGGGTGAGCTTGGACAGAATGATGATGTTTCAACCTTCTACGAAATTGAATAACGGACAATGCAGGATCACAAACCATTTCAGAGAGCAGGACCCATTACGGAAAAATTCCTTTGACCAAAAGCCAAGTACAAAAAGAAAACCTGAATTGTCAGAGCGCAATGTTTAACTCAGCAGTGGCATTGTTCTAGGAGTGACTTTGTCGGTTAAATATTTAGGGGCGACTCCCTTAATACATTTAAAAACCGTTAAACATATTTTGAAAATAACTCTTTGATAAACCGGAAGCCAGTGAACAGCACAAAAAATTGGCTTAACATGGTCGTATTTAAGGCCACTTGAAACCAACCTTGCAGCCCAATCATGTATGCATGTGAAAGTCTTTTAGTTTCGGACAGACGTTATTCGAACCATACCATCGCGAGTGGACATGGCACTTCTACTGACTGAGCTAACTCAATATCTATAATTGAAAGTAGAGGTGAGATCTTGGTTGTTTGGGTGTTCTAAACAGATAAAATATAGATGGTTTTAATAAATGATAGATGCAACGAACGAATGGGGTTTACTTTCACGGATTCATTTGAGAATGATGCTTTCCAATGCATCTCCCACCAAACCATGAAAGAAGAAAATTTTTAAGATTTTGCGTAAAAGTTAGGTTGGTGCTAAAATGATATCGGTTTCCCGGCGTCCACTTCCATTGGCTTCCATTATAGATATTAAATCGAAATCATAAAAATCGTTGCAATCTACGATCCTCTGCCAACGAGAAATAAGTTCTTTGATGGCAGTAGCGTACAATTAGCGGCCTCAGCGATGGTTGTCTAATTTTATGTTCAAAAGTATTAAAACACACTAATAGAATGTTTAAATCGTGTTTTTAAATGTTTATAGGGGCGAATCACATCTATGCGAATCACGTGTTCATATATATGTAATGTATCAATAAATAAAATTTAAAGAATTATTTGTGAAGTTTGTTTTTCCAAACGGTGCTGATAAAGTTGTAGTTTCGTAAAGTTTAACTGCCCAAGGGAGGGGGTGCTTGTTCAACGACCAACGTTCGCATTTGACTTCTATTATTTCTCGTATTTTTATTTATTTTCATATGCAGGAACAAGTATAAAAACAATGTTATTGGTGAAATAGATAATTTAATTAAATAATTTGAACAAAAATGTTACTTACATTTTAAGCATGGGTGGGGTTTCTGTCTGTGTGTGTGTGTGTGTGTGTGCACGCGCGTGTGCATAAGGTAAATGAAATGTCGATTTTAAGTAAAAAATTTTTTCAAGTAAAAATTTTATTTTTAGTGTTTTTAAGATTTCTCCTTCTGTCTTTTGTTTCATTTGTTTCTTGACTTTTTCGCTCAGATTTGTCGACGAACCTGAGAAGAAGACTGATTAATGAACTGAAAAGTATCAGGCCAGCGGCAGTTGAGAATATCTCTATGAAGTTTTCAATCTTTTCGTCCAGTAACTCTTGAATTGTTAAAAGTAACAATTAAAAATTAATTATTGTTGGTATAAAAAAATTTGTTATGCAAGTTACGAACTAGATAGAAGTGGTCCGATGAAAGAACTGATCCCTTCAAAGAACGATAACAATCCAAGCGCTGGGACAAAGTTATCGGGCCCATACATGTCGATCAGAAGATATAACTTCAATAGAGTTTGAGCACCTATGTTTACAAATTTTGCTCTATTACTGACTTTATAAGCAAATTGATGTTTATTTTTATTAAATTAATTATTCAGCTAACCTATTATAGATCCCATTACCATTGCGTGTATGATGAATGCATTGAAAGTAGTTAACCATGGCAGAACAAACAAAACTATACTTAACATTAAAAGAAGAACACTATACAGTGTCAGGCCGTACAGTTTAGGAATGCTGCTGAGAATTCCGAGTGGAAGTTTCACTAAAATCTTCATGGCTATCATAAATTTAACGATTGTAACTGTTTGTGAGAATGTCATATCTTCGTTTAAAAAATATGTGGTCATAAATATCATGGAGGGATATAAGCCTGCGAATAATTGTTTATGGTCATGATTAATTTAACTACGGTTCATGAAGGATAATAATTTTTATAGGCCTACCTATAGATAGCAGTGCATAAGAAACACTAAAAAGAATAACTGACGGAAGTTTTAACAATATATTCATTTCTGACAAGTTCGTTGAAGATCTTATTAACTGCAGAAAACCTTTTCTATTTTCTCCATTTAATACAGTAAAAGACTTGTACTCCATATTGTAAGTTAGTCGTAATACCTTATTCCCGTATTTGTAATGAACAAACTTTTTAGCCGGGTCAACGTTTTTCTGCAGGTAGACATTGAAAGCGTCTACAGTGCTCTTCATTTCCGAATTTTCTACGTCAAAATGTGAGGCACACGATGAATAGCCGATGGAGTTCTTGGAAGTAGTGCGCTGAAATGGAGGCGGTATTATTTCATTATCATTCGTTATGATGTACCCATCCAATGAACCCGACGAATCAAACTGCTGTCTATCTTTGTCATCTATGATTTTTTGCATGATATAAGATGGTGGCACTGCTTCGTCGTAATCACAACTATCAGCTGAATCATAGCTTTTCAAACTAGATTGTTCCTTCAAACTTACCATTGTTTCTTTTCTAGTTTCTACTTTAAAAAAGTAACCACAAATCAAACAGTTTAGTACAATGGCTGCCAACAACTGATTTGTGCCGTTCCAACCGTAGTGTAATATTAATTTAGAAAGTATCAGGTCGAAGACAAAGAAAGATATTTCTGAAGCTGCGATAACAAATGCAAGCATTAATTTACAATTATTTTTAAAGACGATTAACAGAGCCTTTAAAGAGGATATGTATATGGCACCCAGACCAAATCCTGCGAAATAAATAACGTAAATAAATGTTCATTTCTAACAAAATTAATTTTGTGATATTAGGAAATGATATTAAACAACCTGTCAGCACACAAAAAATGGTTATAAATTCAGTTTGGTTGGTTTGAAATGAACTTAAAAAAAGACTGGATGCAGTCAGAATGGACCCAACAATTGTGAACCGGTGGTTGTTTTCTTCTTTCAAAAAAATACTGTACATCAAGCCTGCAATTGTTAGCTGTTTATCAATATAAACGATAAATATGTACATGAAACATTTCAAACTTACAGAGCTTTACCATAAAAATTAACTCACACGAAATATGAGCAACTCCAGGTAAGATTACACTGTATACTTGCACGTCTTCATTTTCTTCCGAGTTGCGTTCTTCCTGAAATTCTTTTATGACTGTGAGGGAACTGTAGAAGATACACTGAATTAAAAAATTGCAGAATGTAGATGCCAAGGCAACTATGATTTTTGTATACACTGACACGTTGCTTGTTTGTTCAAACTGCCTGTCACCATTTATTGAGTCCATTTTTTAACTTTGTAAATTTTAAAGTTGGTCACTTTTTAATATAAAATATTCTTAAATGTAACTTCCTTTTTAAAAGACGGCAAATAACAGTTTCCGAATTTTGTCCCTTCAATGTGTCATGTCGTCACACGCTCGATAATATTTAAATATAAACATTATCATTTTTCTTTGCCAGCCCATCGAATGGTTTTGAAAACCAATTGAAAGTTGCAATAAATAATCTCAAGAGCTATCATACCATACCAGTCACATGTTTTGACACTGTGCTTCTGTGATTAGCTACTGGCCTATCTTATTTGTACTTTAACAGCTGTTTCTGTACATAAATTAACGAAAAAATTTATAAAACAATGGTAATTTTTATTAGGTAGAAAAGATTTGGCGAAAACAAGAAACTATAATTCAATTTGATTATACATATTGACAGATAGCAGTAATGCACTTGATTTGTTAGTACTATTCGGGTCGATGTAAAAACCAGCAACTTAATATTAAATGAAAATTAATTTATCAAAAACAGAAATAAATGATCTTCTACTTAACTAAGTTATGGAAAATTAATATATGTATTTTTTAGATGCACCAAAAAGTAATCTGGTCAATGTACCAAACAATTGAGTCATCATTCGACCGAAATCGAATACCTAAAAAGGGCTCGGAGAAAAACTTACATTTTAAAAGAAATACGAAACTATTTAAAAATTTTCTTCTGAAATGATAATAAACTGAAAAAGATATCCAATGTACCTGTAAAACTTAATATGTATTAACATTTTTTTTCAAACAAAAGCCTTAAAAAACTCATTTCATAAAGTTGTAACCTTTGACGCTCGTAACTACCAACACCAATGTTATAACTATAAAATCTCTATATTTCCAACACCAGTGTTGTAGCTTCCAGCTTCCGTAGGTTCAAGATTTCCGATAGATGAACACAACTGCTTCCAACGCAAACTTTGCTGAATGTTTATTCGAATGCCAACACTAAACTAATACAGGTAACTACATAAATCATAGTTACAAAAGTAAAGTATCTCGCTTTTCAAATGGCCGAAACCAAGTTTGGTCGATTATTTGGTCCATCTCTAATGCGTGAAATTTCTATACTTAACAACCTAATGTGTACGCTGTTGTCATGATGTTGAAAAAATGTGCCCAGCGTAGAACATTTTAACAAAGTTAAGATTGTCCCAGTGATTTTTGCTATCTATACTTAACCTAACTCTGTCCACTAAATCTTTTTACGTTAATTTAGGATATAGCAAAAACAGTGGCGGGTCTAGACAACTTTGGTGAGAAAGTGCCCAAATTTTGGAAATGTTTAAATTTTTACGGGGAGCCAAGATTTGTAGTAGTGTGGCTGAGGACCTTTTATGGTCGATTTTCTACATAAAACGGTCTTTTTTCTGACTTTTATTAAAAACTGCTCCCCCTAGATCCACCACTAATCAAATGTGAACTTGGCATAGCTAAGAATATGGACTTTGCGATTATGGGTCCCAACCATTTTTTACAATTTATAATTATATATTTTTAATAATTTTTAACCCCTTACACAGGTGTTAATTTTGATCTCTAAATTAAAAATGTGTGCAATCTTGTTTCATTGCAATAGATAGGTTGTCCGCAAGTTAGTCAATGCATAGATATCTCGATAGATACATTAAAAACGATCGAACATTTTATTTACAGAAATCCAGTCGTCCCAGACCACTTCCGAAAAGTTCGAAATATTGAATATTTTTCATTGAACATTATCAAATTAATTTTCAAATAACAATAAAATTTTCACAACGACGCCTTAGATTTAGCTTTAAACACAATAAAACACAAATAATGTTGTCAGACGACTATTTAAACTCCGATAATAATTTATTGAATATTTATAACAAAATTCAATTAGTTCAAAACAGCTTTCAATAGTTAATTGGAAAAATAAACATATTATTACCGACCAAAGATCATGCAAAATTTTGTGATTACTTAATCTGTTATCAAACTGATGAGAGATTAGAAGCAGAAAAGTATTAATGCGATTTCTTGACAGGAAAAACACTATTTGCTAGCAGACACAACAAGTGAAATAGCTTAATGAACTTGTTAATTTCTGAAGAAGCGAAGAGAATTATGTAAGCGCGGTGCGGAAAACAATTGACGAAATTGCATACAATGCTACAAAAATAAATGTCAACAAATGTACAATTTTGGAATAAAAACAAGCAGAGAATCGCTTCATGTGTCCGCCGATGAATCAAATGAAGATGATTGATAATATCATTTAAATCAATTGTCGATTGTTTCATATCGAAGCCAGTGGGTAAGCGTGATATTTAAAAAAAAATTATTACCTCAATTACATTGATAGTATTATTTAATTACTAGGGCAGAACAGAAATAATCACATGTAGAACAAACTAAAATCAACAGAAACAAACAAAAACAAAATTATGAAATAATGCAAAAAAAATCGATAGAGTATTTTTCAGAAACTTTACAATATAAATTACAATCGTTTGTAAAATATTGTTAAAATAAAAACATTTTAAACAAAACAATCCATTTAATGAACAATAAATATGAAATAATTAAAAACGGAAATATACAGGATTGGCTGTAACGCGGGACGAAACAAGTAAATTAAATCACATAAATATGCTCACGCACGTGGAAAACAAACAACCTGTAAGGAAGAAACATACGCAGTCGACGAAAAAACCCATTAACGTTGTTAGCCTTACGTAATCAAATGCATGTACGCAAATGCATGTACGCAAATGTATGTACGTAAGGTTACGATGATGCAGGCATGACACAAAAACCTACGCAGCGCAACCATCAACAATAATTAATTAGCGTATTGGTGGAATCTCGCGATCCGCCATTTACCTACTCTCATCAAAATATTTAGAAAGACGCAACTTAATCATGAAATATATGAATGATTAAAAAATTGAAATACTCATGTCTTAGTTATATGTTATCACAGGCATTGTTCTAAACACCACCTCCAGTTCATCGTATACTTAGAATCAAATCGTAAAAATATTAATTATATATTGTCGTTGTTCAAAGTACCCTTTCTTCCACAGTAAGTTCCCCAAAAGTACAAGAAAAATCCAACAATGTTTACCCGGACAGAATTTGCTGGCACCACCAAAACAACTTCATATTTGACAGACAATATTTTGATGTGCTACAATTTACATCGTTAAATAGTGTATTTTTAAAAAACAAGTCGACAAAAATAATCGTTATTAGTATGTATATATATATATATATATATATATATATATATATATATATATATATAAACTTTATATACATATATATATATAGTGTGTGCGTGTGTAATATAATAATGTTGTATTCCATTCTTGTATTTTCACATTCCAAATGAAGGAGAGAGTTGATTGAAGACATGTGTCCGTTGTGTGGCGGGTGGCAGGACACACCATGTGTTGATGTTAATGCAGTAGTGAATGTTAAATGCCGCCAGCAAGAACATCTCCAAGTGAAATTGAACATGCAAGGAAATCTATAGAAAACGTTCAGACGATCTCATCCAAATTTTTAATGGACTGAAATGATATATATCATATATCATCATCATTTCACTGATATCATCACCAATGAAATACCATCATTGAAGTGCTGATGTTATCATCATTAAAATGACACCATTATCGTTGAAGTGATACCGTGATCAGTGAAATAATGTAAGATGTAATTATTATTAAAATATCATTATCATTGAATGACATCATCATCATCATAGAAATGACAGTTTAAAGACATTTATTGCTGCCAGCTTTGGTCAACTTATTCATCATTTCCATTCATTCTTATCATCATGATAATTTCTTTCCTCATCACTTTTAAATCCCCACCATCATCATCACCGCCATCAGTGACGTCACTGATTGTTGTTAGTTGAGTTATCACCCAGCAAGCTGTTGGCCACGAGACTGTTGTTGTTGATGAATCTATCCAGAGGCAATGCAGACCTACGTGTGATTGGTTGGTTTACCGGTTGAACGGCCGATTGATTGGTTAGTTGAATGGATGGTTGATTGGTTGGTTGGTTGGATGGCTAAATGGTGCTTGATGTTGTGTGCTGTTGATGCATCATTATGTTGTTGTGTGTTGTTGTTACATGACGCATTTATATATAATGTTACGTTGTTACGTATTCACCTCAAAGCTTCCTCATAGGCAATATCAAGGTCAGTATAATATCGGTCGTTGATGAGCACTTTTGTTTCCTGTTGATTTTGGTGAGGCGCTTGCTGCAGCTGCTGAAAGACGAAGTGGTTGTTGAAGTTGATGTCCGGGTCGATGTTGTCGTTGTCGTCGGTGATCATCATGTTGAGATTGTTGCATAGTAAGGATGATGAGGTGACCAACGGATGAACGACGTGACCATGGTCGTCAGTTATGCTGATGCGAGGATTGTTGTTGTATTTGTTGCTGCTAGATAACATCTTCTGTTGTTGTTGTTGTTGCTGCTGCTGTTGTAGTAGTTCTTGTTTGAGAATTTCTTGTTGTTGTTGATGTAACGTACTCAACAACAGTTGTTCCTGCTGCTGAGCATACAGTTGTAGTTGTTGTTGTTTCATAAAATAATCTTGAGTCGTTTGTTGCAAGAGGGCATAAGGGTCATTCACAAAATCTGTCTGTTGAGATAGTTGTTGTTGTTGTTGCTGCTGCAACGACACCAACAAATTCGAATGTTGCTGTAATTTCTGTTCATAAGAGAGCTCCTGTAATTTGCCCTGACTGTTCGTGACGTCATCATCCTCTCGAATACAACCCAGGTTTTGAAAATTTCCACAGACGCCAGCTGGAGGACTGGTTCGCAAAATGTTTGGTCCCGACGACGAGGAGGAGGATGGCGAGGAGGATGAGGATGGTGGGCTGAAGGGGCGGGACATGGAAGAGGGAGGCCTCATCTTGAGGGGGTTCATCATGTCAGGCACTGAATGCATGTTGTAGTTCTTATTGTTACACCATTAAATATATCAAGTTGTTATAAGATTAAATGTATAACCAACCTTCTAATATTGAAAAAATATTTGGTTAACAGTTTACAGTTAAAATTACATAACAGAAAACTTGATTTCAGTCAATCAAAAAAATAATTTTGTTTCTGAGTTGTTTCTCGATTGTTTAATTTTACAAATTTTTCAACAAATGAAAAATTTTGTAAAGTAAAAAACTAAAAAAGCGATACAAAAGAAGTGAGAACCTTGTACATTTGTCAGAAGGGAGTAAGCATTTTGTTGTTGCTGTTGTTGCAGTTGGAGAGCCTGCAGATGTTGGTAGAGGCACGAACTTGACTTATCAAGATGTTCAAAGGGTGGTTGTTGCTGAGTTGTGACGGGGGAAGCAGGATGAGAAGAATGCAGGGGTGGGGATGGGATTGGTGATATGCGTGGCGAATTCTGTTCATGTAAGAAATAATAAACTCTTTAAAAAAGGTAAAATTTGGCAAACGAAAGTTTTGAAAATCTATTACTAATTGAATGAAAAAATTCCCCAAATAATGACCGAAATTGATGGTACGCAATGAGGGAGTATGACCTGAATAGATCGATGATGAAGAGACGACCTGGAAGCATCAACACTCTGATTGGATGAAGCAATCTGCTGCTGCAACTGCTGATGTTCCTGTCTCAACTGCTTCAAACTCGACTGCCAGGATCCAATTGTCTGTCGGTTGCAAACAAACGAAGCATTTAATGAACATAAGTAATCTTGATAGCGAACAAACAAAGGCAGCAACAAACATGAACAATCTTGGTTGCATACAGATGTAATGTTAATAAATAATTTTTGAATTCTGAAAGAACAAGTATAAGATCGTAAATTACGATAAGTAAAATTAATTTGCAACAGTTTTTTTTCCTATAAATGAAGTCATTTTTGTGAAGTTAGAAATATTTCTAGAATGATAAAAAAAATATATCCCTGATAATTTGAAAACCATGATTCATTACCAAATTACGTTTGAATAGACCTACTTCGTTTTTGACGGCCTGATTGTACATCTTTTCTAGCTGGATCCTGTATTTATTTATAAGAGTTATGCCATCACTGGATCGACGGACAGGAGAGAATCGATCAGACGGAAGGTGAAGGACGCTCGTGTCTTTCAATGTTTCTCGATCTTCGTGTATGTATGAATGTGTATGTATGTATATAACTGCGTGTGTGTGTATATATAACTACGTGTGTGTGTATGTATTTTCAATTTAAAGTTTGTCTTTTCAATTTTCCTTACTAGAATTTTCTGAAAATTGTTAAATGATTAATGCCAACAATTCGGTAGAATTCATAATGAAATACTGTATAAAATATGTGTGTGTGTGCAATATGGGTACATGTATTGTACATATATATGTACATACTAATCCGTGTATCCTAGTATTTATGTGGAAATAAAATATAAAATACAGGTTCATATTTGTGTGTGGAAAAGTATCATCATGAACATAAATACACACATAAATACGCATCACTTCGCGCGCGCGCACACACACACACACACACACACACACACACACACACACGGAAACATCGACAGAGAGAGAGAAACAGAAAGATTGAACTAACAAGGAGTTCGTTCCCTATTAAGATGAGCCCTGCATGATCTGATGGGATTGGAAGCCAACCTGTTCTGCACGTCTTCCGATAGTTCATGAGTCGGGGTCGTCATCGCTAGCGTGTAACGTTTTGAGTAACCACGACAACGCATGTACCTGATGCGTGCAATGTTGCGTGTGTGTATGTGGAAAATTATAACCTCAAAAAATACGGTGATTTTTTTTGTCGTTATTACTATTTCGACACATAATTTAAAGTATAGCAATGATAATAACTCCAAAGAGAGTTATATCAAAATATATTTTCTCAATAAATAATAAAAGTGTTATATATACCAAGAGTAGCTATAACAATAAATTATCTTTAAATTATTAATAAAAGGAATAATAAAATAACGTCAGCAATAATAATAATAACATAAATAGATAAATAATAGTAATAATAATAATAATAATAATAATAATAATAATAATGATGATGATGATGATGATGATGATGATGATGATGATGATAGAGCACCTATTGACTGCTTCAGTATCAGTTTCTCTCTCCAAACTTCGACCTTCCCTCTCTTTGGAACTGGCCACCACACCAAACATGTTCACCTACAAATTGTTCACATGTTCCCAGTAACATCACACCAGTAACATTACACTATTAATGTAATGAACGTATAAATTAATTTATCACCCAATGCAATAACACAACATAGTAACATAACATTATAACAAAATACAACATTAATAACATACAATGGAAAATTAAAATTTTAATGGCAGCTAACAAACTAGTGACATTGAATTGCAAATAAATTCATCGAAGATAACAAAGTTAATAATATGTAAGAAATATTAAGATACCACATCGATAAAATCTAAAACCTCCAAATTTGCATGTGCACACACACAAACACACACACACATGTAATTTAGACAGCATTATTTTTCGAACAAATCATCTAGACAATTGACTGATACTTGTTGCTGAGGCATGAGCATTCTGCCTGTGTGCCTCTGATACAAGTGAATATTTGCTCCTCCGTCTGAAGCTCTTCTGCCAAATCCTGATAATATTTACATATTCAATTGTAAACTTTGTCATGGATTACCTTATAAAATTAACAGTCAATCACATCATATAAAGCTCTTATAAAAACACCATTCAACAAATGATTAAAATTTCTCAATAAATTTCAACACACAGATGAAGAAGACTGACCTGCAAAGTATATTTGTGGAGGTTTAAGAAGATTGTTGTCACCGCCTCCTTGCAACAAGTTCATGTTGAATTGTTGAAGATATGATTGTTGCTCGTTGTTGTTGTTGCTGTTGTTGCCAGTATTGTTGCTACCACTAGATGTTAACATTTGCTGCATATGATCGTTATTTTCTTTGTTTATTGGGGACAAGAAATTTGTACAGGGGAACATTGTAAACATCGGTACCATCCCAACGGGAGGGGTGATGTTTGGAAGGTTGGCCATCCCGGCGGCTCCCATTCCCAAGTTTGCATCCTCGTGATCCCCCATGCCGATTGTGTGACGCCGCATTGTCAGGTACCTCGCCATGGCCTCTGGAGATGGCTCATCCGGATCGGAGTCGAAGCTGATCATTTCCTCGCCCTGATAACCAGCAATTACAACTAAAACTGATTAGCGTGCATTTGAAAAAGTGACAGTGAGAAACTAGAAACATCAAAAATATCGCAAACTTGTTGAAAACAGAACCAGAAATATAGAGCAGTAAAGTTATTAAAACACTGCTAACCTATATAATTAAAATAAAACAATTAAATGAATCCAACATGAAAGCACAACAGAAACAACAGACAATAATAAAAACTGTGGTAAGTAATGTACCTCAGATTTTTTGATGCATTGATATGGCATGATTGTTGGACTCAACCTCCTAACATTGGATGACCTGTAAGGACTGTGAACTTCGACTGGAACTTCAACTTGAGAAACTATTTGTTGCATTGAAAACACTCATGTTACCAAAATTTTACTTGAACATTCTAATTTTCACCACTTAACGAATAATCTAATGCTAGTCTTGAGAGTAACTAAAATATATAAAATATAATGTATATGAGAAAAAAGTACATGAGAACAAACTGACCAATTCCAGTTGTTATGCTGGATCTCCTCTGTGACCTGGTGGCTTGTGGCAGGTGAGTTGGTGAGACTGTGTTGGTGAGCTTGGAGGCGCCCATCCTACGATATCTGTCCACTAGCAAGTGGTAGATTGCACTCAGGTAGTCATATTGCTTCTCTTTCACGCTCTGAACAAAATAAATTAATTAGAATTTCATAGTTAAAGCTAGTTTAAATTTAAATAACTCGTTTATATTTCCACTTGTACTTCAATGCATCAAACTTTCAATATAAAAATAGGTTAGAAGTTAATTTGGATGTTAAATAAAATGTAATAACCAATTAAAATTAGGCTAATGCAATGCAAATGTATAAAAAATCGGAACAAATTCATTCAAAAATGTGATAACATTTTAACTGCAACATTTGAAATAAATTCATGTAACTAAATTAATAAAGAATAAAATGAAATAATTTTAATTGTATCTAATTTTTATTAAAATCATACAGTCATCATTCAATTCAAAGAAATGTTTAACTAAATTGACCTAATTTAAAAACAGAAGAACACAAACTCCAGCTCAACAAGGTTGGGCATATTTCATCATCCAAAACAATTAAAGAATAAATTATTATAATTTTGGATGACTTAACGGCCATAGAAAACTAGTCAAAAAAACTATTGATAGACTGCAAGAAGACTCAAAAAACGGAAACATATGTTGAAAAGAGCACCATGCGCCAGCTACTATCAATATTGAGCTACAATTGGAATGATAATTCATCTAAAATTGGAATTTGTTGATCATGCCAACATTCACCTTCCTTTCACTGACTTTGCAATCAATTAATTGTTGGACAAACGGCTCAAAATTCACAATTAAGCTTAAAAAATTCTCAAAAAATTCTGAACTTGCACAACTAAAAACAATTTATGGAAAAAAGAGTACTGAGCACCTGATAATCAATGTTCTACAAACATACACAACTGCATCATAATACAAGTAGAAAAATAAAAAATCAATCAAAATCATTAAAATTGCTATCAGTCTATTATATTTATAAAGAGAACAAAAAGAATAGGAACACAATTCTTTCTCACAGTCCCAGCAGCAGATAGTTAGTTAATTGTCAATGCATTAAGATAAATTAAATGCAACAGAACACATCAATTAAACAGATCAGCAGTAGCTTAATTATTCATATTAAATAATTATTTTCTCATTAAAGTTATTAAAAAGGTTTTGAAATATTCTCTGACTATAAGAATATCCAGATCGTTGTGTACTAGCAGAAAAAGCTTGAACTTGATAAGCTTGGTATTTTTATGAATATTGTTGACAATACAAAATTATTATTAAAATGTAAAAAAATTAAACATTATTACATTTAAAGGCTAGTGCATAGCTCATCAAAAAAGTACATCAAAATGTACTTTTGTAGATGAAGTTGTTGAAACTGGAGACAACTCATTAAAGAGTGCATTGCAACAAAAACACTGAAAAAGACATCATCATTGTGAATCTTCTATCAGCACAATTGAAACTACATAAAAGAATCATCACTTTGTACCTAAACCTTATCACACTCATAATGCAACAAGTTATTTGATCGGTGTCAGAAGTCAGGAATTAAGAAACAAATAAAAGATCAAATTCAAACACATTTAAAACCGATTTCAATGAAGATTTTAAAAAATTGCTCAACAAAATGAACTGTTATCTGATTGACTAGTGAAACTATTTGTAAAATATTTAATCTTATACCTATATGACACTTATCTTATACCATTTCTGTTTGATTGAATAGGCATTTATAAACAATTCATTTTCTAGTCACCACATTTAGTATCCATGCAACTGATATAATCTAAAATATAAAAAACATTTAAATACACAAATAAGGAGATTTAATAACAATCGAAATAGCCGATGTATGTTTTTATAAATGCATTCTACATGGTAAGGACATCCAAACAATTCTTAATCACTGAAACAATTTTTAAAATATTTAAAATATTAATTAGAATATTAATTTAAATTACCTCTTCACAAGTTTTAAATTTATTGAACCCACAAATCGAATTGTCCTATGATTATTTGATAAAGTTTATGATACATAATAATATAGTAGAACTATAAATCTATATTATATACAGCCAGCCCCTTGCAATGTCACCAAACAATCATTAATACATATACATAACACCACATATGACTAACAACTCTTCAAAATCAATGGCTCAATTTCAAGCTCAGTGGTTATATTTGAATTCAACAGTTTTCGTTTTCGTAACATGAGAAAGCATTCTAGACGTTTACCTACATCTAGCAGAAACTAACCACAGCAAACACACATGCCAACAAAAACTAACTGACAAAACATAAAAAAATCTTGAACAATGTAATTAGAACAACAATGTGCCTTTATACAAATTTGACATGCATACACATTCGTGCAGCGTATGTTAATGACTACTAAAAATTTTATTAGCACATATATAGTCACATTCAATGTTACTATTATTGTTTATATATATATATATATGTATATATATATATACATATATAAATATGCATACATATATGCACATATTTATACACAAGCACACACATGAATACATACACGCACGCAAACACGTACGCAAACACGAGGCACGAGGACATGAACGCTTAAGTGGTCATCCGAGATCACCAAAGTATATTTATGCCTGATACAAATACTTCATGAATAATTAATTTATTTTTCCAGCTCTTAAACCAGCTGTGAAACATCCATGTTTCATATATCTATCTTGTAACTCTTTGAATGTAATGCATAGGGAGAGAGGAAGAGAGAAACCTCTAAAGTAGTTTCATTTACATAAATTCACAATATGCTCTTTAAAGTAAAATAACCAGAGGTTAATAAAAATTAATAAAATTTGTATCACGAAGGTCTGTGTAAAAACCACACTTCAATAAATTTTGTTTTAAGTGCAAAAGTAAACAAAGCCTGGTAGAGCCATAGAGGGAAAGAATGTTAACAACCCATTAACAAAATGTTATATTGAAAGTAATAAAACGAAAATTATGAACATAAATACACAGTTAAGAAGTAAAACAACAAATCTATCAGAACAATAGTACACGAGAGCTTACAAAAATCAGTTCAACCAACATGGCATCATCATGGTTTATGGATTTAAGAATTTTGTTTCTAATCTGCGTTAACATATGATGATCACTCAGTAATAAATAAAGTTAAATTGATAATCAGTAGTAACCAGCGAATCTGTAAACTATTAAATATAATTGTTTTTTTCTTTAGTCAAACTTGTTCTAAGTAAAATATCAGACCCCGTTATTGAATAATTATGAAATAAAACGAAAAAATGAACTGCGGTGATAGAAAACATGGTATGTAGAAAACAAGATTTCATGTTAACGATATAAAATTTGTTTTTGAAACCTCAAATTTAACAATCAACATTTTATACCATAGCCAATATAATAAATAGAAAACTCGTCAAATGAAAACCAGTTCCTCTGCAAGATAGATGCAGAAAAAGAGTTTAGACACTGATGAATTTTCTTCAGGAATTCATTATGATTTACATTCAAACAAACGCATGAAATCAATAAAAATCAAAACAACATCTACTACCAATCTGTACAAAACAAGCTAAAGAGCAAAAAAAAATAAAGCCATTAAAAAACAAATGAATGGAAACAAATTTAAATACATAATTTCATGCAAAAATTGAATCAACATGATTAGTCAAAAAAATTGATGAAATAACAATTCGAATATGCTAGTTTAACCAGTATTTTTCAAATTCACACTCAAGAACTTATTAGTTCAAATTATTTGAATCAATGAAAAACTAAAAAAAAATCTAAAGAACCTTGACTGTCTGGTTGACATCAATTTTCAAATCACTCATGTGTTGCAACACGACCTGGTTCAACTCCTCCTCCACCTCATCAACAGCAACATTTGGTTGGACTACATCAGCATTTGGCTGCTTTTGTGTCAGCTGCTGTGGCAAGTTGATGTTGCCAGCGGGTGAGGGAGTGACGTTGATGCTCAGCGAGATGAGTTTCTGGAAAGTATCATCTTCCCCGCCCATTTTGACCCAACGATGGTTGATTATATCATTCATGCTGGCCCGTTTTGTTGGGTCGACATTCAACATGCACCTTATCAAGTCTTCACATTCTAAAATAATATTTTTACAAATGCCACTGGTATAACTACAACAGTAACAATCATGAAAATAAAAACATTAAAATGACAAAACTATTTCAAAGTTATCTCAACCTTCATATTATATTATAACTTTTCATGCAATTAATTATATCTAATCTTTATCACTCTCTAACAAGTTATCAGTTAAAACATAAAAATTCATTAAAAATTTATCCACCTATAAAAAGTCAAAATCTAAAGAAAAGTGAAACCTGTAGACATGAAGAAAGGCACTCTGAACTTGCCAGCCAAAATTCGTTTCCTGAGACTGGCAAGGTTGCTGCCATCGAAGGGCAGGCTGCCCACCACCAACACATACAACACAATTCCCAAACTCTGCAGTTTTTTAACAGGTTAATTACAAATTAATAAGAAATATTTTCTATTTTGACAAAAAGTACAAAAAAAAAGTATTTCCAAATAATTTTTCTGATTGTTACACGAGAGCAAATAAAATTGCAAATAAATCGTAACCTACAAAAATAATGTTAAAATACTGAAATGAGTACAATCAATCAATCAATCTTCGTTTTGCGTCCAGAGATCCGGTTCCCTGAGGTAGGACGGGTCTCTGGACGAAATGAGTACAGATGAGCTTTTTTTATCTCACACAAGAGATTTGGAGACAGAAATCTGTAAAGGTTTACAACTCATGTAAAATGGAGAGATCGATAGAGCAATCGATAGAGCAAAGTTGGTTAGAAAGTTATTTAAAATCGTTGTAACACAGATGTAGCATAAAAAGGATAGTAAAAATAAACAACAATGCGCAGATGTTACAAAAAGCAGTTTGAACGCGGGGTGAGTGAGGAACATGAACTTACATTGATGCGCTCATGGGAAAAGATAATTTATATGTATGCAAAATACTTGTTATCATTGATTTAAATCCTTGCTGCATTGGACTAAGGATGTTAAGAATTGTGAAAAAAAAACCTAAACTGGCCTGGAAGAATGAATGAAAAGTGTGCAAAAATGAAATAAAATTTTTTGTCTAATAAAAAAATAACAACAGGTATAAATAAAAAAAAAACATGAGCTTCTCTGATTGCTTCCCATAAAAACTGGACAAAACATAATGACTGATGACAGCTTAATGATATGATATGATATGGATGATAATGAGAGCTCTCCAATTTCATTCACGTCGTTTTTAAATAATTCTGCTCAAAACTATAACGCAATTATAGTGCTTTCTGTTGATAATAGAATTTGCACAATAACAAAAACTAATACGAATATATATATATATATATATATATATATATATGTGTGTGTGTGTGTGTGTGTACGCGCGCGTGCGTGTGTTATTTTATATTTGCCATCACGGAAACTTATGTTACCTTGATAACTATTTGTTGCCTGCCTGTTGATTTTTAGGACCAAACAGATCAATCATTTCTCAGTATTGATTAAAATTAGTAAAGGTGGTTTTTCTGAAGTTTCTTTTTTATTATGCAAACATTACTGTGAATATATGACCAATAGTATTCATAACAATGCTATTTCTTTTGATCGAATGATGATAAAGGTAACCAAAAACAACAAATAAGATAACTGATTGTTGAAAACATCGTTCAGACTTCATTTGCAACAGAACTTTACTAAACAAGCATTAATCTTTTCAATAAAATGTTTGCTCAAATAGAATTAATGATTTTAAATGCAATTATTGCTAATTTTTCAGTTTCAATTATATTGAAATCTGTAAAAAAAACTACCAAGAATAAAATAACCTGCACAACACAACGCCACACAAATACACATAAAACTCAAGTTATGCAAACCTGTCTCAAACGAAATAAAAATGAATGATATAATTATGGATACAGCTCATGCACCAAGAATTATACATTTCATACATAATTATGGATGGTCGTTCTAGACAGGCATCAAATATCATCATCATTTAAAATGGAGCTTTCCAATCAGGAACCACAAATGCTGGGAACAATCTCATTTTCACATTTAATTGAACAACACGATGCATATGAATCGAAACTTCATAACAAAATAGTTATAAAAACGGAGTTTTACATAAAAAAATTATAATATTAGACCATTATTAATGAGTAAACTTCAGTATTTTAGAGTTTCTCATACTAAGTCAAATCCTAGGGTTAAATTTTAACATTAGTGCAAGCAAAAATGGCTTATTATCTGTACTTATCTTTATTATCCACTACAAGGGTCATTATGCTAGTAATCTTTGAGCTCAAACAATTTTCAAAAGACTCAACTTGACTAAAATGGTTATAGAGCAAATCACCACTAGCTACAGCATATTATCATCGTCAACACCATCAACATCATCATCAATATATCATCCTATTGCAATCAAAATTATTATATCCATTATATATTATATTATATTATTATTATATTATAACATCAATATATATATATATAATAAATCTTATCACCAAGATATTTATTAATATTTTCACAACTTTGCATGGCTTTCCTCAACAAAAAGCATGGAACCAGCTTACATTCAACATGCTTTTCTGCTACAATCATCTCTGGTTTTTAATTTGGCACTAAACAAAAAATCGTTTCATTCGATTTCGCCGCCGCCAAAGTTTTACAGTCAGCGCATGCGCTAAAAACGTCAAAAAGTAACAAACATCAATGAAACATTTAATGCAATTCTTAATAAACAGTTAACACTAAACAACTGACAACCTGTTGAAGGCAGAATCATGAATATTGAAAAAGAAGATTTGACATTTTTAAACTGCTTTCATTTCATAAATAAATCATCACATGAAATATAACATGTCTTGATTTCTGTTAATGTACAAGTATAAGAAGCACTGAGCAAACCCAATGATGGCAATAGTGATGATGAAGATGAAGACGACGACGATAAGAAAGTATAAGTGGCGCCAAACAATGAAAATAATTGATTACAAGAATTACATGTTGGGGTCAATTTAATGCAAGAGAAATAAATAATATTTATCAATTAATCATTTAATCCATAAAAAAATGCAGCACTTACGAATGGAAGCAACATTGTGCTTTTTGATTGTTAATACGGACTGCTAATATAGTGCTGTTCTTTGAAGTCACGTGATTTAATGTATCTGTATTATTGTATGACCCTTTATCAAATTCAACGTTCCACTACTTTTTATGGCTATTTCATTTTTCGACATAAAAAATCATGCGCTATATGAACTTGGACAAACGATTACAGTATGATGAATGATGAAACTAAAGTGTTTTAAACTTAGCTTATGTGGTTGGGGAGAGAAATAATTGTTATTATAATAATTATAATTGCTATTGGTGAATAAATTAGCATTCATAAAACTTCTGCCTAAATAAGATTATTTGATTTAGAATGTGTAAGTTTGAAATAAAACAACCATCGATTAAAAAACTTATTGAATTTCATTTTGAGAAATTTAGACCTTTGCGACCATAGTTTAAATATAAATTTGTTGAAGAAACAAAAAATTTAATATGATGATCATCCCATCAAATTAATTTGACATGAGTTGATTGGAAACCTAATAAATGATGCAGATAGAAATATTGAGAAAAAAAACTTATACAAAAATTAATAAGATTACGTCAAACTCAGCCAGCTTAAAACAAAAAAGAAAATTCAAAAAGCTTCATAAAAGATTATTGCAGATTAAACATGTTCAATTGAATGCAGTGTGGTTATTTCGAATGAACTATGATGCTGGTGCTAAAGGATCAAACATTCGAAAATGATGATGACTGTGATGGTGATAGAAATGATGCTCATGGTTCGTGGTTAATAAGAGACAATTTAAAATATAAAACACGAATGAAAAATTTCAATTCATTTCGATGAAATGTTCAATAAATTAATCTTCATTGAATGAGCTGCGGTGACATAAAAACCTAAAGAAGCATGTTAACTAATATATTAACCAACTATCCCAAATTGTAATAACAAGGTAGGGTCAGTATAGTGCTCAGCAATTCACATGTTCATAATTCATTCAAGCAATGCCTACATGTATGAATGAATGATTTGTTAATGAACATAAACACAAACCAAATTACAATAAGAGAACAAAAAAAAATTAACTAGTCTAACTACTTGATATAACAGTGCCGGATGACAAGCCAAGTAAAGTAAATATAGTGATAAGATATGAGTAATTAACCGACCAAACATTCCACAACAGCCCTGACTGCCAACAATGCCACTGAAATGAAGAGTAAGTCAAGTCCTTAACCTTAACTTAAATATAAATTTTGTTGGGTGTCGTCCAACCAGACGTATGTCATGAATGTTTTAAAAGTGCCAACAACTCCCCTGTTCAAAAACTTTGCATAAAAAATATGCAAAATAGAAATTATGTATTGTCAATTCCAGCTATTAAATAGTAAATTATACACATTTCAACAAAATTTATCCATAATGATGTAAAAGGCATAAATGTCACAATTAATTTACATCTAGTGGCAGTTTCATTTAAATAACTTACAACTGAAAGCAACCAACACTGCCAAAATTATTTATTTAATAGTGCTCTTTAGTTTAATAGGCCTCCATAATTAATGTAATTATGAATAAATTATATTTTCATTGATGTTTGAAATTTAATTGTCAGTAGTTACAAATAATAATAATCATTAGCAGTTAAAAATTTTCTCAACCATTCTTTCTTACTAATAATCTCTGATCTATGAGTCAACATTTATTTTCTAACTGATAATGTATACAATCTCTCAGTTATAATGAAAATTTATAAAATAAAAAATAACTGAAAAGAAGAAGAAACGAACCCAAATATCAACTTTTGGCCCATCATACTGGTGCCCTTCAAAGAGTTCTGGAGCTGCGTATGGAGGACTGCCACAGTGGGTTGATAACAAATTTCCTGATGCACAGTAGTTGCTAAATCCAAAATCTTTTTTCAAAATCACATATCAAAACATTTAATAAATTGCAACAATTATTTCAACTATAATAAACAAATTTTAATATTGAAAAAACTAGGGGAAAAAATACATCATATAAAAACCATACAAGAATATAAATATAGAATATACATATGTATTAAAATCATTATTGATCGCCAAAATAGCTCTTTTTTAAGTCCTCTGAATTCATAACAACAATATTTTGGCTGACAAACATTTTGTGCATTTCTATACTTCAAGTATCTCATACAGTCCTCATATAAAACAAAGCAAGTTTTTTGAAATTAGATTAAAAAGCTAGCAAGGCAATGTATTTTAGACGTGTTGTTGTGGTTGTTTTAGCTCGCTTGTGGGGACACCATAGCATAATTAGATGTTCAGAAATCAGTCAGCAGTAGTGAAGGAGGTGGGATTAGCAGGACATTGAAAAGGTGCGAAGTAATGTGGGAGATGAATGACAGAGGCTGCATTGGTCGAGAATGGTGTTATTCATGCGACTGGGTAAACTATTGAGGTGGATAGAGTAGCCATGGTGGAGCTGTGACAAAATGGTTCCTGTTTTGCAGGGTAGTGATGCTTCGGTTTTGACTATATGAGGTGATCCATGGATATCCCGAGTAGGCAGTTGGTTCACAAGGCAGAATTCTTTGTGGTTTGTGATTGTGATTAGATGTGTTGTGATTAACAACAGTGAAAATTTGATGAATGTTTGGTAAAAATGAAACAATTTCAGAAAAGTGTAGTTCAAATAATGGCTTAGTAAACTGAAAAAGTAAAAAATTTAATCAGGTAAAAAAAACTAAATTTTTCCTTTCTAAATAATTTAAAAACGTGAAGAATAAAAATTGTCATCTAGCTAGAAGGAATGGATGAAAGTAGCAAAGTCTAGAGAAACAAAGTTTAAAAATATTTACAGCCCCAATTATAACGTTATATGTAAAACAAATTTCGAAAAATAAATTTTTTAATGAATTCACTTTTTAAAAAGTTCACTTCAAAAAGTAATTTATTCAAACAAAATTAACAAGAATCAGTTGAACAACAAGTGTAAACACGATTATTCCATCCACTGACCAATCAAAGCCAGCTGAATGACACGAAAGAGTGGATCGCGTAAATGCATCATATAACCATTCAAACAGTTGGGTCATTCTACAGACATTGAGTAAACAACATTGGTTAGAAAAAAAAAAATTTTTAAAATTAACAGAACTAAAATGATGATTATGATTTCATCAAGGAGCACCTCAGATGAGAAACAATTTTTGGTTGGATGTGAAATAAAGCACCTTTAAAAAAGACCTTTAACCTTGAAACAACAATAAAAAACATTTATTGCGTTATTTAATGAGCAACATTTTTTTCTGTAACAAATTGAACCCAACTTCATACAAATATTGAGGAAATACAATGATAGCATATTACACAATAAAATATGACAATTAAATGATTGTGAAGAAATGATTCTAATTATGAAATGTATTACATTAAATGTATTACATTACATTTAAGAAAATGTATTTTTCAATCATGAATTTGTATACATTATTTCATGCCAATAAAATCATATGCTATTAAATATTCAAACCCAACCAAAATGAATGGATGACATCACAAACTTTTTCAACTACTTAAAACATTAACCAGATATAATCAATTTTTTCTAACTCGTCTAATAGCATACATTCAACAGAAATAGGCAAAAATGTGTAAACTGGACAAATAAGCCTTTAGATGGATTTTATCTATAAATATATTTATTGATTTCGAAAAATTTGAAACAATTTTTGTTGAAAAAGCATTTTTAAATGTAAAGAAAAAAACATACCTGCAATTTTGATATCCTTGTTAGCATCTAAAAGTAAATTCTCAGCTTTCAAATCTCGATGGACAATTGATCTGGAATGACAATAAGCCACAGCAGTGATAATCTGTTTAAATTTTTGTCTTGCATCTCTTTCATTCATTCGACCGTGTGCTACCAAGTGGTCTGGAATGTTTCAACAATTTTGACAATTTCAGTAATAAAAAACCAGTCATAAAGATTTGATGAATTTAATCAATTTATTATAATTTTTATTTTTTTTCTATTTATCATTATAATTATGCTCACCAAATATTTCTCCCCCACTTGCATATTCTAAAACCAAATAAATCATTGTCTCTGTCTCCATTACCTGATGTTAAATTTGCAACATTTTGAACATGTTTACTTTAAAATTAGTAAATAAATATACACAAAAAACAATAATACATATACAAACATACAACCATAAATTTACAATGGAAACTTGTACATGGTACATACAAATTACTAATTACAATATAAAATAAATAAATTAAATAACATATAATATATACATGAACATTCAACAATGAAAATGATTAACTAAAAATTACCAAAGTTAAAAATAACTACCAGAAGGGAAAAAACCCCAACCTGATAAAGTCGGACAATGTGAGGGTGGCACAACAATTTCATAATCTGAATTTCTCTGTAAATTTTTTTTAAATTTTCTGGATCCAATCTGGATTTGTCAATTATTTTTATTGCAACCTGTTTTTGGATGAATTAGAAATTAAAATTAGTGAACGAACAGACATCTAACCACAAAATGTAAACATTCCAAGCAAATTATTTTTTTTATAAAAACCAAAACAGCAAAAAAAGCACCCAAATAAATAAATAAATTAATAAACAAACCACCTTAGATTTTGTGACGATGTTTGTGGCTAGTTTAACGACAGCAAAATTACCCTTCCCGATGGTGGTCTCCATCTGATAGTACCCCACACGGGCTGGCCCCCCACCGACACAGGCAGTAGAAGGATCGACCTTCATCTGTTCATTTCGCTTTGCATGCACCGGTCCCCTCTCAGCCATTTTTATTCATACTACAGTAGAGTGCAAATGAAAACATCTGACGTCAAAGGTAAATGTTGTGCTCTGTCCGTCTTCTGCTGAATTTTCAATGCGTTATGATGCGTTCAATATTTGCATTATCAAGTCATACCATTTCATTATCATAAGCTTATAACACATTTCTTTAGTTATTTATTTAGTTTTTAAATTAGTTTTTAAATGCTAAAATACAAAATTTTAATATTTGATTATATTCAATAAATATAAACGACTTTATCCATTTCACTCTACAGCATTTTATAAAACATAATATTGAGTCATTATATTGGCAAACCGGTGTTGTTAGCTGCACATGAGTATAGTATGTTTGTTAGTCAAAGGGTAAAAAAGTTGTTGAGCTCGTAAGTTTTAAAACTGGCGGATATCCGATTTTATCTGTTATATTATATGTTTATGATTTCCATGCTTATAATCAATTTTTTATAATAAAATTCTTTTAAATGGATTAAGGGAGAACATGAAGGTTCTCAATAAACATAACTTAAAGCCTATTCAGAATTGTGCACAATATACACACAGGAATTGAAATGCTGTACTTGACCTGACGTTAGCTGACAACAGAGAAACTTTTTTGTTAGAATATTGTTTTCCTAGCTGTTGTGCATCTCCATACCTTAATGTTGCCGCAACAATTGCCATCATCATAATTTTTCAACATTATCATCATCGTCATCATGCCAAACATAATCATCTAAAAAATGCACCAATATATAATATACAATATATATATATATATATATATATATATATATATGTATATATATAGTTATATACATAGGCTCTTTTACATTTTGGACTACCACGAAATTATTATATGAAGGTTTCATCGCTATGCATGGTAATGACAACTAACCAGCACGTATACGTGAGATGTATCATCTTACACAAAGCTAAACTGCTTATATATATATATTATTAATTAATAATATTAGTTGCTAAGTTACGGTAATATGGTAGTTGGTTTTTTAAACATTTAAAGCACACGTAACAACACAAACACGCACACTACACGCACGCGCGCACACACACATAAATAAGAATTAAACGCACAAGAATCGAACCATAAGCATTCGAACATATAAAAATTTGAAACACAGTATTTGATTTATTTACATAATTTAAACATAAAAAATCGAGTAAATATTTCGTAATGCATGTTTGTTGAAATTGTAACCAATAGCCTCGGCCGAAGTCTTGAAGAAATCCAAAAAACATTCGCAGATCAGTCTTAAATATTTTTTTGTTTTTAAGTTTAAAAAGCAAATGTATTTAAATTGTAACAGTAAATATCATGATATAATTCATAAGATTTACTTTGAATTTGTCAAAATATTTTAATCCAAAGAAATTGCAGTAATGTTTCTTGAAGCATCTTGAATTACATATCTTCGTTCCACCGCTCATATTTTTCGTCCATTTCTGACAGCAACATCGCAAAATTCTCTTTCGTTTAATCATCAGTCGAGTTTGCTAGATTAGGTTTTATCATTCAAAATGTCTAAAATTTGTGCAAAATGCGAGAAACCTGTTTACCCGTTGGAGGAGCTTAAATGTCTTGATAAGGTTAAAGTATTAATCTTTATTTTATGTTGATGATTATATTATAAATATATATTATTATTATATAATAAATAAATAATAAGATAAAAGATACTTCTCTCCATCTTCATTCAATCAAACTTTCTGCTAATCTTTCGAATTTACAAAAGTAAACGTTCAAGACAAAGTTATTTATTTCATAATAAATAAAGTTCAATGAAATAAAATTATGAAAAGTTTAATTTAATATTTTAATTAAAAAGTTTAAACTTTAAAAATATAATAAAATATAAAATAAATTTGTAGTGCCACCATAATTATAATCTGTAAATAGTTTTTAAAAATAAATAATTCTATAATAAAAATGTTTGGTTGAAGATGTTCAGTTCAATTTTATATCTTCTAGTTTGACATCTTTACTTCCTCATTGCCAAAATTTATCTAAGGCTATCTTGAAGCTAGTAATGTTATCCGATTTGACCACATTTTCAGGTAGGCCATTACTGTTGGTGAAGTAGTATTTTCTGAAATCTTTTCTGCAAGTCCACTTGATCAACTTCATACCATTTTCTCTTGTCACAATGGTAGGTGCATAGTCTGATTTGATATCGACATCCACTAGTTCATAAGTAAATATCATGTCTCCTCTTCTGCATTGGCAAACCAATGAAGGCCACCCTAGAATGTTTAACCTATCCTCGTATGTTAATCCACTGCATTGGAGTGGTATTCTGGATGCTCGTTTCTGATCCCTTTCTAAATGTTGAATTTGAAGTTTCTAGAGGGGTACCACACCACACTTCAGAGTTGACCTGACCACAGATTTATAAAGAAGCAAAAAAGCTACTTTAGGTGCACTTGGATGTATTTACTTTTAACCCATATCTCAAGAACCAATCACATACGTCTTCTAAGGTCATCTGCAATAATCGACTGTCTTCTTCTGGCAGAATCATGTTTAAGAGTTTTATATCATCTGTTAAAATCTGAATGTAGTAGATTTAAAAATTATCATTTATTTAATAAAATAAGTGCATTATATTATATTTTCAATTATAATAAATATTTAGTAGTTTTTATATTTTTAGAATTGAATTAGCAGAAATAATATTTTTTTGATTTGATATGGGTTAGGGTTTTTTGACATTTTTTTTCATTTATGTCCAGTGTTCTCAAATTATAATTAATCATTTACAGATTTGGCATAAACTTTGTTTCAAGTGTTGGGAATGCGGTATGACTTTGAATATGAAAAATTACAAAGGTTTCAACAAGTTCCCATATTGTTCAGCGTTAGACATTTTTTTAAATTTTTTTATTTCAATTTTGATCAATAATCCAACATGGTATACTATATATATTATTCATTTGTTATTTATTTATATATTAAGAATTAATGAATTTACATATTTATTTTGAAAATACAGTCACTACCCTCAAACAAAGCATACAGTAGTAGCCGACACACCTGAACTTCAAAGACTGAGTCAGACTTCTAAATTACAAAGTCAAGTTAGTTTTTTTTTGTACAGAAATATTTGCATAGAAAAATATTTTTTTGAAATGATAATACAAAAATTTTTATTCTTTGAGTTTTATGTTTTTATTATTTTTTATTGAGGTTTATTTGTGATGAGCACTCTTGACATTTGTTTTATAACTGATTTTGTAGTTAAAATATTTTGTTGAAATGTGCTGCAGTTTATTTAAAAATAAGGAACCATTTAATATAAGTTATTTTTAATATGTGAGTTTTTTACAACAGAAACATGTTTCAATTTTTAAAGTGGTCATATTGGACCTTTCAATTTTTAAAGTGGTCATATTGGACCTTGTTCATTGATATATATATAATACAATTTATTAGTTTTTAAAATATTTATTGTAAAAAAATTAATAAATTAAATTTTAATTTTAAATCACTAAAATGCTTTCTGAACACTTGAAATGAATAACTTGCATCTTAACCTACTAAAAAGAATGCATACCAAACCGATTTCAAAAAATCTCTTGGTAAGTACACACAAATTACTGATGATCAAGAAATGCAAAGATTAAGAAAAAACCAAGAAAATTTTAGCATGGTAATGTATGTGCAGTGTGTTAAAATGTACTACCCATGCACCTATATGTAATGTAATTTTTAAACTGTCAAGAAAACAAATGTTCTGTTTTATATTACATTGTTTTTAACTCAAGAATTTGTTAGCTATTTCTAATCAGCTTCTTGTTTGGTTAATGATAAATTAGTTACATAATTAAATTAATTAATGTTACTTTTAATAAAAGTAATTTGCTAACATTTGTTGAATGCAAGACCTTATGTGGCATGCAATGTAACATGCAGCAGGGGGCATTTGATGGATTCTTTTTCATTGAGCCCTGCTGGGAGCCTTTTCAGTATTCATTCATTTCATTCATTCACTGTCACATTTTTCTACCATCTTCTATTAAACAATCCTTACAGTGCTATTTTAATCTGCTCCTATTATGAAAACAAATTCAAGCATTATCAGTGTTGGTGATTTTTAATATTACTCATAGATTGTACATAGAGCACCAAGGTTTTGTGTTCATGTTTGATAGAATATTAAAAATGCTAATCCTCACTAATGTTACTTCATAGCAATACTCTGTGTCTGTCATCACTTCTGTTAAAGCAAGACATACATGCACAAGCTTGTTTATTTATAACCAGATACTATGCTATCACACTGCTACATCACATTATAAATTGATTTAGTTCTTTCTCATGTATTTGTAATTTCAATGTAGAATTACTGACATTCAAGTGAACTTTGGTGTCTATGATCTACATTGTGTGTTACATGGGATTGTGTATGTTTACTTGCTGCTATCACAATGAGTTCCAACTGGCTACTTGCATGTATACTAGTTATGTTTCGGTATTTCATTCTTTTTGTCATCATCACTTCTTTTATCATTTATTTGTTGGGGTTCTTTTTAAATCTGTTTTCTCTTTTAGCTATCTTTTTTTCATTTTAATTTTTTTACAGTTAACATGATTTTTTAAAAAGTTTTTGGTGAAATTAATTTGCTATCTGTTTTGTTTTTCAAATTTTTATGATTTGTTGTTATAATTTCTAACCAAAAGCTTTGGAACACTTGAATAACAATGATATTCTTACTGAGTTAGAATCTTGTTGAATCTAACAATCAATCATTCCATGCATACTAAATGATTATTTATTCAAGGCAAAGTACCATGAGGAGTTTGAAAAGAAAATAAAGGGTTCAAAAATTCAAGTGGCAGATGATCCAGAAACACAGAGGTTGAAGCAACTTAGTACCATGGTCAGCCAGGTTGAGTACAAGGGACTGAAGGAAAAGTTTGGAGAGATGGAAGCTAAGCGACATATTAATGGTTAGTTTTGATTTTTTATGATGATGATCAGTTGATGCACAAACATTTTGGTGAATTTGTGTCATGATATTTTGCTTAAAATTACATTAATAAAACTAATTTAACTTATGCTGATTATAGGATTGACTTTAACATGATTTTATTTTTTAAACAATAATAAAATCATGTACTAATATAATTTGTATAATTTCATGTGAACCAAGTCATATAATAAGATGAACTTCTTTGCTGTTAAATATGATTCATACCTTGTTTGGGAGATAATATGTTGCTTTGTTTGATTGAATTATGGTCTATTTTATCTCAAACCTGCCTCTGCTGCATCATCTTCATCAAAAGTTTTCTCATCTATTTTCAGCTGATGTAATTTTAAGTTTGTTGTTTTTTATGGCCTGCTTACATCTAATCATGAAATCTATGTGCACTAATTTTTACTTTTTGTTTTTGTCAATAGATCACATCTAAGAGGTCTAAAATGATTTGTATAGTTGTTTAACATTATGCTTTAATTCTTCCTGTTTAACCTATAATCTCAAATATCATGTCTAGAAGATGGTGAAATATGTGATGTTTCAATAAACTATATCATCACTTTTTCTTTCAATCAGCTTACTTTTTTCACATGGAGTAATAAATAATAAAAAATCAATAATTAATTATTTAATGAATTCTTACCAGAAAACCGCAATGAGAATGAGAATGCCTCTCCGTACACTGATCGTACTCAGTCGCATTCTGTGGCTTACACTGGACAGGGCAAAGGTAAGTTCTTGTGTCTGCTTTTTTTATTCTTCCTGCTGCTGCAGCTGCTACAGTTTTGTGTACTTTATTTTATGATATGCTACTGTGAGTCTATGGACCTTTTTTTCTCTCTGTCTACAGCTGCATTTCTAGGTTTTCAATTTTGCTGATTAAGCTTTTCTATTTGAATTTGTATTCAAGTTCCAAGTTTTATTTCATTTAAGTTTTAGTTAGTTTTAATTGATATATAGACAATTTTTATGTATGAAATTTCTGATGTAATGATTTCAAACTTTTGCACAACTCACCTAATATTGGTTTGTTGCAGCTGAATTAAATGCAGAACCTCGAAAGATAGGATCGATCAGCGACTACGATCCTACGACTAGTCACAGCAGCAATCGTCAGAGTAACAGTGGTCGTCCGCTCAGCAAGCAATCACAGGAATGGCAAGAAACTGTACCAATTAGTCCTGCTCATTGTATGCCCGTCTTCATTGTCTTCATTTTAAACAGTTCTTTTTTAATTTTTTTAATGTGTATTGTTTAAAATATTTCTAAACATACCTGTTCCTTGCATGATGATGTTTAGTACAAGACCATTTTTGCATTGTATGTATTTCACGTTAATATGAAATTTAAAGTGGCGGCGGGAGGACATCAAGGTAATGTTTCACCTACCAAGGTACCATCATCACCTACAACGCATCAACAGGCAGGTGTTAAGGCTACTGCAAGGTCTTCAAATAAAAAAGCTATGGTAATCTTTTTATGTTATCTTCGTATTTTTTCGCTGTCTCAACTTCTGTGAATGCTGTGTTGTTCAAATTTTAAATATTTTGTTGATGTTTATCGTTTTTCTATTCTCTAAATTAAATTACCTTGTTTAACATGAAATATCCACTAAGACCTAGCTGCAGAGTATCAGGTTACAAGTTAATTTAATTTCACCATTAATTTGTTTCACTTTTAGCATATCCACATTGCTTCTAATTACTTAGCCTACTACGCATTAGAGCTTTATAATCCCTTTAATACCCTGCTTTTTATACTGTATATTGAGTATTATTACCATGATAGTAGCAACATGTTGACATCATTTCATTGTTATTAATGGGGATCAGTTAATTCTATGGTTTGTATGTAAATACCAAACAACTTGTGAAATAGTTTTTACTAGTTGACTGTTTGGACAATCGTATAGGATCATTTCTACACTGTTATTATATAAAATTGTTTACAATATTTTACTCAGTGTTAAAAAGTTTTTTAAGAAAATTTATTTTTCAATATTTGAATTTCTCACTTATAAAATGTTAGATTATATCATATAAATTGGCTACCTTTGTGTTTCATTTCAAAATTAGCACCTATATTCAATGGATGAATTACTTGACACCACACAAAATTAATTACTCAGGGCTTAGTTTGCAAGGCCATGTATGACTACACAGCTCAAGATACAGACGAGGTGACCTTCATGGAAAATGACATCATCATCAATTGTGACCCCATAGATGAGGGCTGGATGTATGGCACTGTTCAGAGGACAGGGATCAGAGGGATGCTCCCTAGTAATTATGTTGAGAAAGTTCAGTAATTTAATGAACTTCTGTCCAATGCATCGACTGGTCGGCTGGATTGGATGGTCAGATGTTTTACTGGTTTATTGGTTTGTAATAGAGTTAAAACATTACTGTTGAGGTTTAATTTAACTTGTCTACGTACTTGGTTGATTCTTGGACGAAATTATAATTGGTGCATCTTACGTTTGTTTCAATTAATATTACTAAGTAAAATAATATACAAAGAGTCATATTTTAAAGAAATCATCCTCTTTATATTGCTGTAACATTAAATGTTTTATCATACTTTGAAATGTTTTCATTTGGGATACGTATGATTTTATCAAGCAATTAATGCATCTTCACATTACAACCACTGATTTTAAAAGTTAATTATTTATTATCTTAATAAAGTTATTTTTGGTTTTCTTTTGATTTATATATTTTTATTTTTGCTTCTTTACAATATTGAGTTTCCTAATACGATTTAAAACAGTCATAATAACAATGATCATGCTTTTTATGTTTTTTGTTTTGTTTTTTGTTTTATTATTTCAAAATTATTAAGACAATGAATGAATGTCTTAATGTTGACAAACATGTTCTATGAAGAACAGGTTAAAATTCTTATTATTAAGCAATCCTTATTTTGAGAGATTTCGTTTGTCTGATCGTTTATTTATTTCCTTGGCTTTTTCAATTATTATTTAATCAAATGCTTACAACATTATGAGTTAGTACGACGGTTTTGTTACCATTATGCTGTTACTGAGTTTCGTACGCAATTTATACAACATACGTATCGTTATATTTCATTGTTGCAACAAAGTCATGCAAACGTTTTATAAACATTTTATTCACGTAATAATTCATAAGTCAGAACTTATAAATGAAATTGTTATGAACAGTGGAAGCATTATTAATTTGAATATTGGTCACTCACTAAATTTTTCATTGTTCCATCTCATTTTTCTTATTTATTCCAAACCAGGCCAGTTATCTTTGCATCTTTTAAAAACCCTTCATATTTTATATTTTTATTTCATTCGGGCAACTCACTTAAGTTTTGATGATCTTTGTGTCAATCGTTATACTGTATTGAACTCTGTACGTGTTTATAAAAGTCTTATATTGTAGTCATTCATTCAACAGTTTGTTGGTTGATGCAATATGTTTTATTTTTTTAAATAAGATAATATTTTTTCATGTGAGGTATTAAAGTTAGTTCCAAGAGTAACATATGTTAGGCATTTCATTTCTTAAATACTGGTCATGTCTTGTTCAGTCTAGTGTCTAGTCAATAGAAAATAGTAACTGCTAGTTATTATGGTTGGAATGTTTTGTTATTCTGATTTTCATTTGACTACTATAAATGATCATTATATGAAACTTGTATTCTCCCTTTTCTACTTGAAATTTTTTTCAAAAATAACGAAAAATAGTCTAAAAATGATATCAGCTTAATGGTACTTATGCAATTAAGATGCCGTACTTCTGGTCAGTTTGTATTCATTCTTCACTTGACAAGAATGGTTAAAAATGAATTAATACAATTATTACTGTTTTTTTCTGTGCCTTTTTATGAGCGTTAATTCTATAAAATTAATTAGTTAATTAATTAATTAATTATTACCTTCATCCAATAAAATTCTTTCATTTTGTAAAGATGATTATTTTTCAGTAATTTTTACTGTTGGATTTGTCAGGTTTATTAAGAGTTGAAGCACATGCAAACGTTTATTGTTTCAGTTATTTGTTTCGTTTCAAAGAAATGTTTCATTTTGTCCCATCTTTTTTGTTTAATTACATCAATATTTTAGATCAGTAGTTTAAAAGTTTATACATTTATAGTGTATTTGAACGAGTTAGTGAAGGACTATGCAAGTGTCGCGGGAAAATATGCATAGTACATTGGCTGATGAAAGAAATGAAAAAAATGTTCAAGCAGGTTGATTTTTTAGGTTAGAAATATGAACATAAAAATAAAATTGAATGTTTAAAACTAATTATTATGTGTTAATCTACCTATTCATTTAAAAAATTACCTAGAACTAAATGATTATTCATTATTAGCGGCCATTCATGAACTTTGTTAGGCATAATAAATTCAATGTTCCATTCAAATCCAATGTTCGAGTTTATTGCGATTTCGTTGTTCATTGCAATTCATTTGTACAATGATCTGTGAGAAAAAGAACTGTAAGTTTTTAGTTTGGTTTTAATTAAATTTGTCAATATAATAGCTCCTGTTAGTTATTTCTTTATTATCAATATATTCTTTGATTGAACACATGATTTATAAACTATCGTCCCTCAAATTTGCATAACGCAATCCTTAGATTTCAAGACAAAATCATTTTCGACACTGTCAGTGGTGTTAATGTTAATAGATTTTAAATACTGATTTTGTACATTAAATAAAAAAAGAAAAATTTATTGAGTTTATTCCAAGTTATATATATATCCAGTCAATGCAACATAGACGTTATCACCATTTTCAATTTGACCAAAGAAGAAATAATTGAAACTTTCGACGTAACGACAGATATTTAGCTGTTAACTGAATATAACTTGTCGTCCGCACACCTTGAGAGTGCGTAATGGTGCGCTGCCATGAGATGTAGGAAAACTTCATTTCGAATAATAAATTGACTCCGACAAATTAACAAATGTTTTGTACGTAGCATATATATATATATATATATATATATATATATATATTTCAAAAATTCAACACTACTTTCAACAGATAAATATCTTACATACCTTATACATAATGCACTGAAGATGAGTTATCTATAACTCGAAATAGCTATTTGCAAATTTATTTAATAAAAAAATTTTTTAAAAAACAATAAAATGTCTAATTTCTCTGAAATTAATAAATTAAAAAGAAATATAAAAAAGTTGAACAATGTTGAAAGTAGTGTTGAATTTTTGAAATGTTGCGTTAACAGTCTGTTACCAAAATTTATATATATATATATATATATATATATATATATATATATATATATATATATTGTATGAATTCGACCGAATGAATGGATAACAGTTTCATTAAATTTTTATGATGAACTTGGATAATAATTCTAATTTCAATAAACTGAACAATTTACAGAATATTCTGGTAAGGAAAATTGAAAAGACAAACTTTAAATTGATTAATGCCAATAATTTGGTAGAATTCATACAATACTGTATATTACATATATATATATATATATATATATATATATATACGTATATATATATATGTGTGTGTAAAAACATACATAATAGATATCATTTTTATACATGTTTACGTTAAGAAATTTGCAATGATATTTTCAAATTTAAGGCTCACCCGAGAAATGTTCAGTCATTAAAATACTGCTAGCAAATAAATGCCTATGTTCATAAAGCACGTTTGTTTAAAATTTAACTTGCATGAACAACAAAACGAACGATTCAATCCAGTTAAAAACTAATGTAACTTTAACGTGTGATATTATAGAAGTGTTTTAATTGTAAAAATTTTCTATCAAAACATCGACGTAATTTGAGATTACAGATTTCATCCATTTATGAAGAACGACTATTTCTTTTTGCAAGTTAGTTCTCTGTGATTAGTCCAGTTTTTTTTATACAAAAAGTTTAACGAAAATTTACATAATTATTAGCGATAAACAATAATTTAAGATTGTAAAATTTCATTAAAGCACTACACTTCATTCGAAATGTTCTAGTCCCTTTTCATTTTAAAAAAGTTGGTCACCTTAAATAACATATCAAAGTAATTTGTACTTTATGTTTATTAGACCGTCTAAATGAGTGTTTTGTATTTAATAAAAACTTGAATTTGTTTAAGGACTTTGTTCTAAATGCTTGTGCTTTAACAATGAAACAAACTTCGTATTAAAAAATAAGTTATTAAATATCCCTTAAATTAAGATTGCCAAATATTGATAGAAACTATTAAAGAAAGAAAAAAAACTTAAAAACTTAGAGAAAGATCAACAGAGAGTTTGAAAATGTAATCACAGGAAGAAAGTGTAACTCAGGACCAATCTGACGAGAGATATCTATTTATAGAACTAGAATATTTTTAGAACACGGAAAACATAAGAGATGTCGGAACAGAATCAAATTAGATTAAAAATCGATTTTAAACAGAAAATCAAAAAATTGACGTAGTCTAAAACCTCTGATCTATGGTTTAAATAAGCAAACAAACGATAGGGTGGAAAATAAAAATACCAGAATCAATATTCATGGATGATGTGAATGGTGTCAAAAAAGCTGACCTATTTATTATGTTGGAAAACGTAAATTACAATGAAAAATAATATTCTCTGCATAACCGTTGAGGATTATTATTGAAAGTTTAAATCAAGTTTAAATGAGACTGACCCTCGTATATATGCACACATACATAAGCATATATATATATATATATATTATAGATATATTCGTTATATAACGTTTTCGTCACATAGATTTATACATATATATAAGCATTTATATATATATATATATAAGTATATATATATATATATATATATATATAGGCGTTACTTTAGCAATTGATGCTTCATAATTATATAAACTTAGCTGAAGAGCGTGAACTCATTCAAAAAAAGCGAAATGAGATGAGACGATGGATGGCAGGTTTAACCTGGGATCATATCGACCACGAGAATGATTCAATATATAAATCTAGTTTATTAGGAATATATAAATAAAATAAAAAAAATAAGTTGAATGATTTATTTACAAGGTAAAATAAATTTATGAATGATCGAAATAAATTTATTATGTATGAGGTTTTCAAATAAAATGAATGTGTTAGTTAATGTTACACAGTTCAACCTGTCCACGTTGAACGATTATGTATGGAAATAAAATGGCAAAAATAACATACTCAGCACAAACCCACCAGAAAAATTGGATCGTCAATCCAAAAAACTTTTACGTGTAGGTAGTAGTTTTCTTCGCGATAAATTCATACAAGATATATAATGACACACACACATCACACTCACGTAAATGTGTATACTGGATGCACTATTATATATATTGATAACAATAAATAATACAGTTGATATAGTTTCTGTTTAAATGTCACTAACGCAAACTCTCAATAACGAGAGTAAAATTACTCATAAAATAAGTTTCGAAAATGAATAAAAATATGGATGAAAAGAAAACATTGTTAATTTAATATAACGTTTTCGCTAATTATGTAAATTATCCCTCGAGAGGAGTGAATTGAATGAACAAATAAATGACAGTCATCATTTGTTTGTTAGATGTAAAGGGTGGATGGATTGATTAGGTTGACTATGTCTCTTCACTGTTCATGTATGTATTTAAACCGAGACTTCAATTAACATGAACTTGAATCACATTTCCTTAGTCAAAGTTGTTGATCCGTGCACTTATCCACGCATACGTGCCCAACAAGTACTTAAAACAATTTAACAAAATGAAACAGAGTAAAACCAAAAAGAAAACAATCATAATATATTAAATTTTAAAAGAATGCAACAAATTAATGAGAAAATTTTTGAAATGTGATTCAGCTTTTTTCAGCTATAAAAATGACAACGTCATCACTGTTGGACGTTTTTCGCTGCCTTCTTCCCGCCTTCATAGCCGCTTGCAGTCTTAATTTTTCCTTGTTGCGATCGACAGCTTTGGAAGTTGAAGACGTGGCTGAGTTCGAAGTTGATGTCGTCGTTGTTGCTTCTAGATTCATTTTTAGAAAATTGAATTAAAAATACTGTACAGAGCTTAACTGCTTTTAAAACACTTTATAAAAACAACAACTTTATAAAGAAAGATGATGATACATAATTGAATGTATCTTACCCTCAAATCACTTGCTCTCAAATAATTTATTTTCAAACCATATGAAACATTGTAGAACTTTAAAAAACGTTCTAAATAAATTTTCTTAATTAAGACTATAGATGTTTTTATTTGAAAAAATTACAAATTGATTCATGTGAATGATCTTTAGCGTAAGAAAGCAAAGAAAAGTATGAAACCTTGCTTCTTGGATGCTAATCCATGTGTGTCGGAAAACTGGTGAAAATTAATTCAAACGTCACTACATTGCTTGGTTATTCATAAAACGATTTTAAATAAATGAATACGGGATTTATTCACCAGTCAGTTCATCAGTACACACCATTTGATGATATATATTGAATGAATGAATGAATAACAAATATTGCTACAGATTAATAACTAGAACGTACAAATTACTTTTGTAGAAATTATCAACCTTAATACTTGGGGAGAGAACTTCTTCTTTAATTTTTTCCTTCCATCCATTATCTCTAATTTCATTGAGTTCTTTGAAAGAGGCCTCCACATCATCGACCTGAATAATCACCAAATCCCAGAATCCTTCCAGATCCGTTGTTGTTACATGGAACTGATCAGCTGATGTTGTTGTCTGTAACGAAATTACGTTAGCCAATTAATTAATGCATTTTAAAAATAATTTTAGCAGTTAAGAAAGCGGCTGTAAAATCGCAATAGCTCGATTTTCATTCAAAACATTCACGCGTTTCCAATTATATAATCATAGTAGACAATGAATTATAAAAAAAAACGTTGTTTTCAACTAGGCCAACAAATTTTTTTTAAAAACGAATGTTCTAAATTTTCGGTGTTAAAACAGAATTTAGCAAAATAGTCGGCACGTTAGCTCAGTTTGTAGAAGTGGCACGTCTTGCACAGTTGTTATTGCACGAAGAACTGCCTCGAACATTGTATGTCCAAAACTCAAACACATCAAACACGTGAAACGTGTATGATGCGGGGCTCGGGCATGCATGAAAGTTTAAATATGAGTATAAATGATATGTGAGCAGTTCTGTGTATGCCAGAGCTGCAAAATAAAGAACAAACAAAACAACGAACACGACCGTGTTTGTTAAATTAACGTAGAATTTGTAAGTGATTGTACCAGTAAACCAATCAATATGACACAATAATCCACTTGTTTGTTCATGGGAAGAGAGGAATGAAGATGATTTTGATCACAGACGAAGATAACAGAATCAATATCAAAATTGAATGTAATATTTTCACATTCTTAAAGACAATTTATTTATAGCCCTGTAAACTATAAAAAAATTTAAAATATGGGCAATCACTCAATCCAACGCATATATAAATGACGCAAATTATATATTACCTGTTGTACTTATATAAACGCAATCCCGTTAAATAATTTGCCTACACTCAGCGTGTTCATAAAAAGTTATTTAAATATCACATATATTGTCGGTAACAATATTAAACTCCTACCAATGTGTTAAGTAAAAGTGAATCTGAAAGAGATAATAATTAATTAATTCATAATGAAAAAAGGATAAATATAATTAACAAAATAGGAATCATTTTGAAAATACAATGATCAAAAAAGAAGACAAAGAAAGTAACCAGGTTTGTGATGCATAACTCTCTGAATTGTTTGAACTTCTTCGTAATTAACAAATTAGCTTTCCCTATGGCGGCTCTTATCTTGCCAGAAGCTTTGTGATTCATAAGAACATTTGTTAATTATTGTTATATATCTATTAATGAGCTAATTGAAAGAAAATTATAGAATGATGCAATCATAGGATCAACAGCCGAGAGAAACAATCAAATAATGTTTACAGTAACTAAGACGTAACAAGCGTTGTTGAAGAAAGAGTTGATTCAACAGTTGTTACATGATTTATATTTTTTCAACAATCTTAAGGTATTCAAAGTAATTGTTATATGAAATCAAACAAATATAATATAAATATATAAAATAATAAAATTCATATTTACAAAATTTTTACAGGCAATAATATTTTAATAGAAAAAACTATTAAAAAACACCTAAAGCTAAGATGTTTAAAAAAATTCAACAAAAATACAAATGAATCAAACAAAAATATCTGTAACATGCCATCATCAGGAATGTCTGTGAGCAGAATTGAACTATACTCTGAACACTTCTCATTCAACAAGTTCTCCTTTTCAGATGTCAGATTTAAAAAATATTCGCCATTCTGTCAACATTAAAAACTACATTAATAATATGCATTATTAACATATTTTCTTTATTAATTCAATGTTCTTTAATAATAACACTAAATTAAACAAATAACATTAGAAGCATTGAAGAAAAATTTAAATTTTAAATGAGAATGTCAATTTAATTAGTTATATGTAATCATTAGGCAAGGACTTTAAATATATCTCAACCAGAAACTAGAAACTTTAACATTAACGAAATGAATTTTTCAACTATAAGTGAATGAAAGGTGTGGCGAGTTAGTTCATCATTAATATTGTTAAAGTTGTGGTACTTTCGTTAAAAAAGCTTTTTTGTCTGATGAAATAATAAACGAATAATTTATCGATTAATCAATAGATTTAAAATGATTAAAAATCACATAAATAATCATAAAAAACCTTTTCACTATCCGTTAAGCTGGAATCAGTGATACTAAAATTAACATCACTGAGTTTGAGATTGGTTATGAGGTTATCAGAGTTTTCATTTACACACTTCCCATTAGGCTCATCGCTCAATTCTGTTGCTTTTGACGTTGTGCTGATTGTATGCTTACTGTTGCCTTCAGAATTAAAAGCACCATTTGTAACAATTGTAGAAATATTGATTTGGAAGTCAACATTTACATTAGAGCTATTATTATCATTATAATCTGTGTTATTATTATTATTGTTATTATTATTATTAAAATTGAAACTGTTGATATTATTGCTGTTGTTGTTGTTGCTATGTTGATGGCAGTTGCTGGTGGTATGATATGAAGTCTCAATATTTTTGCAACTCTCTTCATTACTGTTGCTGTTTTGTTGGTTGTTACAGTTAGTTCCAACAACACTAACGAATGAAGTGACATGCTTCGTGATAACGTTATCTTCATAAGCTGAACCATTAGAAACATTTTTAGAACAATTTTTTGAAGAGTAGGGCTTTGTAGGTATTGAGCTTCTGTTAGCTAGCAGAACAGGATAGTGAAAAGGTTTGGGCTTTTCAGATTTGAAACTGGAACGGGTGGAATGTAGAAGTGGAACTTTAAATGAAGATCCTCCAGGAAGAGCATTTGAGTAATCTATAAACAATAACATGGTAAAATTTTTCAAAACCTTAAGCTATATAATTATATCACAAAAAATCAGATCTAATTTCTTTTATAAACTTTCTATGCACATGTTCAGTATATTTCAATGATAAATTACCTAGGTGAGATATTTTTCTTAGATAAACTTTGTCCCAAGGTTCAGTCATGTTTGTGTGTGTATGATTGTTATAAAATAAAACTCAGATTCTTTATACAAAAAATATCTTTGTGATTTAATGCACATGTTGATAGTATAATGATGTGCGATTATATTTTTTCAAGATAAAAATGTAATGTTACCACTGAATGTTCTAGTTTTTTTAGTTTTAATTTAAATCAAATTTGCTATAAAACATGAATTAGCTATTAGTTATTTTTATATGCTTCATGCCATCATTATCTTTTCCTATATTTTACATTTAAATCCTTTTTTTCAAAAAAATTAATATCAGATTTACTATTTAGTATCAAGTACGTCCAGTCTTGTAACACATCAGCTCAATTTATTTAGTTATTTCTATTTATTTTATTTTTATTTAAATTAAATTAGATGTCTGACTACAATTGCTAAAACTTTTAGTTTCCTTGTCAAAATTTCATTTTTAAAATTATTTGATAAAAAATTATATTTATGAAACTATAATTTATTATAATTATAATCAATTTTAAAGTTGACCCCTTGAACATGGCAATGAGAACTTGTTGATCATTTGTTTGACATAACCAGGCATGACCACTCCAGACGAAGATGGCATACTTCTGTCGTCTGCTTGTTGTTGTTGACAATCTTGATCATCCATCACACCTTCAAACAGTTTTTCATGCTGTGTTGTAGTTTGTGGTTGTTGCTGATGATTATTGTGACGATATGATGAAGGTGAACAGTTGCGATGCTGGTTCGCGACTCTGTCGGCCAATTTCATTATTTCAATAATTTAAAACTTAATTTTTTGTTTAGTGTTAGTCAGCCAGTTGTAACTTCATTTCAGGATTTCACGTCCACCCATATTATATGACATTACGACTTGTGTATGTACTGTTTCTTTGCGAAGTAATCAATCCGGAAATAAAAAGAAGATCCGTCGGATGATTACTCATCAAGCCGGGAAAAACATTAAAAACAACTATTCAATTATTTACCATTTATTTATCTATTATTATAATAATTATTATTATCAGATGGCAAATTTTCAAAAATCCAATGAATTTCCAACAAAAACTACGACGATTTCAGAAGATTGAATAATTTCCCCAACCTAGTCACATACTTTTTTAAATGAATTAAAATAATCGGCGTTCATTCAAATCAAATACAACAGAATACATACACGTCTACAGACAGACCAAACAACCAAACTAACAATGTTAATGTTTACAAAATGGCTTGTGCACACACACACGCACACGCACGCACACACACACACACACACACACACACATATATATATATATATATATATATATATACACACACAATGCACACATATGTAAACACATACATACACACATTTATAACACACACACATACACATTCGCACAATGCACACACAAGTAAACCCGTACATACACACATATATAATACACACACATACACATAAACACGATGCTTACACACACGTACACTGCATAATTTTACAGCATATTTCACAACAATACAATACTTATATAATAGTTGTTATACATTTATATATATATATATATATATTACATATATATATGTATGTATAAATATATGTGTGTGTGTTTTTATATTTTTATGCACAATTTGTACAATTGTATGAATGTGCATATGTTTGATTTGTTTATAGTACATGTATTTGTTTATCTTTTTTATTTATTATAGTAAGTAATGAACATAATTTATTTGTTTTGTTAGTTACGTATGTAATTTGTATTACTACAAACATATTACATACAACATATGTCGTGCACCTTCATCGCGAACAGATATGTATGCGTATATATATTTTATATAATAATTAAATACATTATAAAATAAACACATACACACACACACATACACACACACACACACACACACACACACACATATATATATATATATATAATGATTTATGTGTGTGTGTAATAGAACAAAATTTAATAAAAACTGCTCTCCAATTTTTAATTCTCGTTGTTCAACTGTGTGCGTAGATGTGTTGCCGTTTGCAATGTAGTTCAGAATTAAAGGTTGGAGGAATGCAATCACAGACTAGACAATAATACATTAGTGAAATTATAATTTTAATTAGTTAATTGTTAATTAATTTATATATTATTTAGTGAAATTAAATGTTAAATCTTAATTTATATCCGCGGCATGAGTTTTGAATTGAAGTGCCTCCGTGCCTTCAATTTGGCAGTATTAAATGTAGCTTTACAATGATTACTTAATACAAAAATTGCGCGTTGCATGTTGCTTGCGTCACTAAGTGTGAAGCTGGTGTCTCTCCAATCTCCAATTCTCTTGCCCTCGCAGATTTTGATACTTAACTTGACCCTCGCTGGCAGCATTTGATTGGAAACATTAACTTGTAGGAATCAAAGTAGCGTCAACATTAGATCAGAACTGCATGAACTTCATACGGTTGCTTATGGTGTTTATAAAATCATTAAATTTTTTTACGAATTATACCGATTAAGTGAAAAAATGTTAAAGAAACAAAATTGTGCAATTACAAAATATTTTAATAAATAACTTAATATTTCTATAAATACCAAAAATAAAATAATAGAAGCACTGATAAAATGTAGCAATAGCTAAGTTGATTTAGTTGAAGTCATGAATACGAAACAGCATTCTATAGATTTTTTGACGCAGGTGTGTTCACGTTGTATTCATATTCAGGACAGGATAACGTTCACTAGAATATCACAATATAACACATGTTTGTAATACTTATGCATCATTTTTAGGCGCATATAATTGTAAATGTTAGACTAGGGTTGGCGCCTGTTCGTCTTTTTCAATGTTCGGCGAACATGACGAGAACGTTTAGTTCAAACCTCTCACTCACGTTGGTAGGTAAGGTACATAATTTCGTTTGAAATAACTTTAAAAAAACTCACAAAATTAATATAATGTATATAATTATAACTTTTATATTTTGATCAACTTAAATACCATCAAATTCATGTGTGAGCATATTAATAATTAAATGTTTAGGTTTATTATCGATATTGATTGATTGGATTAAGACTGTTAGAAATGCAATTATTGATGAAAATCACAGCATGTTCGGCGTTAGTTAACATCCTATTTAACTTTTCGATTTTTCTAACGGTTGATCTTAAATCATTTTCAAGTTTCTTTAGTTCAAAACCAATATTTTTGTTTATTTTATGCTTTTTTCGGTTTTTCGGTCTTTCTAAACAACCTTCGGTGCATGAGCCCAGATTCGCCTAGTCGTAAATTATAATGGTTGTTATTGTAATGTAACAAAATAACAATTTCAGAGTAACATTTCTGACAGTCTTAATCCAATATATATATATATATATATATATATATATATATATATATATATATATATATATATATATATATATATATACTATAGACAGATAGTATTTGTGAGATCGGACCAACAAGACTATATTTCACGTAACACAAGTTTCGAAGAAAAAACAATAAATAACATCATATCGTAACCTTTTCACATGTACAATATATATATGTATATATATATATATATATATATGTGTGTGTGTGTGTGTGTATCCCTGTTTGTGTGTATATCTCTATTTGTGTGTGTGTTCGTGTATGAGTATTTGAAAATTATAAAAAAGAAACATAAAATAATATGACGCATTGCATCCAGCCAACCAGCGAAGCGAATTCCATCCGAATGAATGAACGTTCTCCTTATTACACAATCTCAACGATGTTGATACATATTAATCCTGCTACAACAGTAGACTCACATTTGTTGTCTTGTTTAATTGGTTCACTCGCTTGTTAAGTTTTTTCAAACATATTATGAAATTTCGGTTCTCAGTAAAGCTGATCAGTATTATTTTAATAATACTGATCAGCTTTACTGGGAACTTAAAAGTTTTCTTCTTTCATATAATTTGTTCCTTAACGTTGAAGTTGCGTTAAAAATAAGTTCGCGACCCACAGTATCATTATTTTTAAATAAAGTATCTTCTTTAACAAACCTTCGATAACTGCAGTTTTATAAACTTCAGCAGTTTAGTTGAATTTTGAAAAATAGAATCGTTTAGACAACTAAGGCAAATTAGAAACTAGGGTCAATAATTGACATATCTGCGTCTTTGGTTATTTCTTGAGTCCAAGAACAAAGAAAACGACAACTATGAAATGTTGATTGTAATTTGAAGTAGCATTTATAACAGAAAAAGATGAATGCAAATTTTTATGTAATTGAAAAGAATAAAAAAGTAAAGATGGTTTAAAGTTAATTTTATTTCATATATGCATACCGTTAACTGCACAGTGCACTGCACACATATGTGGTCCAATCAATTTAAATATAATTATTTTAATCTCTTATTCTTATGAGTGCATCATGCGCACTTCTTTGACCTCTTACTCGGGATGGGAAATAATGTCTCTGTGCCGTGTTGTAATCTTATTTAATTATTGAGTCTTACTCTTATTTCTTATAAGGATCAAAAAATTGTTTCTCTCCAAAATTCGAAGGAATGTTGACGCCTGGATATCTAGTTACTAAATTCATCTTTCAAATATGAATTAACCATTTTTAAACTGAGCGCAATCACACCATAACTTTTACCCTCGATTGATGAACCATCAAACGTACCACAATTAATCGTATCGAGCAAAACAAAATTTGCAAGATGCTTGCTTTGGTCATGAGTGGCTTTTATTGAAATTGAATCAGCACATGACCAAACAATTTTGAAGTTGTTTAACCGTCAAAATATTAAAAAAACATTATCAAATTCTTGAAAAATTTCTTCTGATGATATTGACAGAATAGAATGGAAAGATGCTAAGACTTGAATATCTTTCAACATATCACCTCACAACACTACAAGCGGTATTATGAAGTAAAGCCCATTAGACAGCGAAACATAAAACATGAAACAACACAGTGGAGGGCACGCACGAACAAGACAAGACAACATACAACAGGACAGAAACAGACCAGAAAGCATCGCAGCCCATATGTTATTTACACTCAGTAGAGCGCATCGAATACCGATTATATCACCATCAGTCTCACCATCCGTTCCTCATTTAATATCATTAATATCCAAAATCTAAATCCGACATTATTTTTTTGGAAATTAAACATTTTACCATTGTAACTGTAACATTATTATACATCTACTTGCCTTAGTAATATCAACAGTTGGGCTCGCAGTTCAAGTATCAATCTTTCCGTTCAAATTATTGTCGTAAAGTTCATAAAATTCATATTAGGATAAGTACATCCAATTCTTAAAACGTAAAAAATTGTAAAATACGAACATACCTCAAATTAATGAATGTTGGTCATCATTCGTTAAGTTTTTAAGTTTATTTTAGCTAACTCAAAATCTATGAACGCCTGGCAGCATGTTTTAATTGATTGATCAATAAAATTATCACAATAATATTTTGCGAAGGACAACAAGGATGCGCAGGAATCGCAGAATTTCTAACTATGAGCGTCTGGTACATAACTTTTAAAATGCATTTTCTATTTAAGCTGATATAAATCTAAAAAAAATATTATTTAAAAATTGCTTGAAATAAAAAAATTGTTACTAAAAATTTTTTTATTAAATTTTACCGTTTGAAAATAAAATGTATTAACCTTCATATTTTCTTTCTAGAGAGCGTTGATACGTGTGCATGCTTGGGAGGATGTCACGTAACGTTAGTGGCTTGTATTTTCCAATGTTAACTTTCGCCTTGTCCAGCAAATTGAAATGAGCTAGCATATACTCCATCGAATTGTATTTGGGCTTTCTGTAGTGAAGCAACATGCTCTTTCCTGTAAACATCGTGAAAACATTGTCAAATTTTATTTGAATATATAATATCTAAAAAATCATATGAACGGATTTACAATATTTATAACTGAAAGTATGAGCTAAGAAATATGTGCGGATAAAATGGAGGTAACAACAAGGTGATCCAGCGTCACAATAAACTACGCACCTTCAACACGAAGCTCATTAGGCTCTTCAAGATTGTTAACATTGCTTCCATCGTTAGATACTTGATCGTTCATCATTGACTTGAGAAAAAAATTGTAGTTGTAAGCAAAAAACTTCTTAGCGCATTCCGGTTTACTTTTCTTTGTAGGATTGCTGCTGCTTCGTGTGACCTTGTTGCCGGTCCTGCAGTTGGGGACGTGGTGAGAAGACTTTCCATGCGTCAAGAAATTGCAATCACATGTGCAAATCTTTGCAGTGCTTTGGAGATTGGATTGATCGTGCATTACTTTAAAGAAATTTGCGTTGTATTGTTGATTGGCATAGAAATCAAAGCTCATTTTTATTTTATCGCTATGGGATAATTTTTTGAGACGTCTAACAAATTTTGGATCTTCAAAAAGGCTATCGTACATCTTTTGTTTCTGCAAATTTCTTTCGACGTTTTCCATCAGCTTTCGAGAAGTTGCCATTTTCTAATTTAAATTCAAAATCGATTTCGCATTTCTTTATATTTTTCCATATCGGATGTTATAAGACAAAAGTTAAAGTTAGGAAACAAGGTGGAAATGGAAAGCAAATTTTTAATAGAAAGTTCTTATTTGCGTATCAAAGTATTTGATAAAATTTTCCTTTGGTGTATATAATTTTTCACTGATATCGTTATATTATTTGTAACAATTTAAAATAATAGTATATTAATAATACTGCAATTTAAATCTTTATTTTAATTTGAACAACATTTTCAGTTCAAAATACTTAAAGTCTTTATTTCACTTGAAAATAGAAAACACATTTCAAAGCTCAAACTAAAATTTGAAACAATTTTCACCAGTTTCAGCAAAAAGGAAATAATGATATCTTTAAAATTAAAGCAAGTTATTTATTTGTTCAGACACAGAAAATGTTTACTGTTTGTGTTTCTATGGCGCTTTCGATCATAAAATATTCATTATTTTATTAATTCAGGCTAATTGCTGATTAATTTTTGCTCACATGATTTTTATTTTTCCATGTTGTTTAGGTAGATGGCATTTTTACAATTAAAGTAATAACCCAAATTATATTCAGTACTCGCATGAAAACATGACAATTTTATTAAAATTAAAATTACATTTGAATTAACATTACGACGTTAGATTGGCTTTTGAAATGAAAAATGAGTTCAAAAAAACATTTTGAAAAATATGTATATATATTAACCACATATATCAAATAATGTGATTATTTTTGCCGCCTGGTGAAACGCTCACAAGACAGGGCAATTGAACGATCAGTAAAGTTTATAACTCTCATATACGATTAACAATACCCAAAAAAATAACAAGAAATAGGAGGACTGCGAATGCAAAATACCAGCGAGTACTTAGTGTAATAATTATACTTTTCTTGAGCTCGCAGAAGTATTCTGACAAACCGCTACTCTCCTAACAGGTTAGTTGACGCAACCCGCCTCACCACTGTAGCCATCCCTACGCCGCCGCTGGTGGCCTACTTGTTACGCAGCTAATGTTCTATTTATCATGCCACGATACTTGTCATTCCACCGCGAACGGCAGCTGAGAAGCTCTAAGCCTCACTTTTTGTCCACCGTCATCCCAGATAAGGCCTACCTATGTTTGGTTGTTTTGGTTCTGTCGTTACCATTAAGTACAAATAATGATTTTTTTGCCATAAAAATTCTTCAAAATTAAATATTAAGAGATTTTATATTATTTAAATAATTATTAATCATTCACTGTAGTAAGCAACAAGTTGAATTTTTAAAAATGATGTAAAAAAAGTATAAGAATACAAAAACATAAAATTGTTTTAGTTCAGTTAAACATGCAAGAGAATACGTAATCAGTTCAAAGCCAATTTTGAGATTTAGAGTTACAAAATATTTTAGTAGTCGTGAACAAAAATTTTGAATCATACATAGTCTTAAAAGTTTTCAGTACTTTTAATAATTTAAATGTAGCTACACATAGTGTCGAAATTTTCATTTAAATTTTATATTTTCTTTGCTTCATACCATTATATCCGTATTTCCTGTTTGAACATTGATTGCATGGGTTTGAACGTTGATTGTACGTTGTTTGTATGTTTTTATGTCATTGTATGTTTTTTTTTGTATTTTCAACCTGACATTTATCTGACAATCTTTTCACAACTTGCTGAAAAGCTGATTTAGTTCATCTGTTAACTTGCCCAATATTTATTGTATGTATTTAGCATACAAAGTCGATAAAACTATTTAAACATACAAATTGTTTGCGCCATCTGAAATGCGAAGCATGCTATAGAGAGTGATGATGATTTCTGAGTTTATATTAGCCAACACAATAAAACATGTGAGATTATAGATTATTCTCAAATAAGGGGCGATTAAATAAAGCTGTACCACCCAAGCCATACGCAACGTATATTTATAATTAAATAATTTTATTTCCTATACTCTCTGGACAAACAACTGTTTTGTAACAAACGTGAATTTTATTGTCAATCAAATTTATTTTCACCCTAAGTCGTTTAATTTGCCTTGATGTTGGGAAATTTATTTATCTTCATTTTTCAACTAATTATTATTCTTTTATAGAATTATTATTGCCGGTTACTCCTATTTTAAAATTATTTCAATATTTTGATTTTAAATAATTTGAAATTTATAATTAATTAATTAATTAATCAACATCACACATTAATAACTCTGCTGAATTACTATACAGTCACACATGTTATTTCCGCAATTTACTGGCCATTCAAAGTCTGGGACTCATCGGCCCAATTTACCCCGTTTGAAAGATCAGCACAGATAAACATATTGCGCCTGAAAAATCTATTTATACAATGCAAACCCACCTCAGTCTGTTCGCCTGCTGCAGCTGCTCACGTTGACGAACAGTTTTTGGTGTGCACCATTCACTTTATTAGATGTAATATGCTAATAAATGGCATTAAACGTTTTTAGCTCGTTCGTGTAAAATTAATATATAACAATTCGTAAAGTTAATTTCGTAAATAAGTGTGCAAGATTTACTCTGTGCAAAATCTAAATGCTCCAGTGGGATTACATTTTTTAAAAAGTTTTCCAACCAGAGCTGTGTAATGGTTGTAATTAGCATAATTAACGATTATTTATCTGATTAATCTGAAATTTATCATTTAAAATTTGGAGTAAACACATTTTATTTTACGATTTCAACATCATTACACAAGTATCTTCATCTATTAAGGATAGCAATAGTAATTTTAAATAAAAAATACTGTTAAGAAGTAACGTTAAGAAATATGGAAGACGATTATGATGTTTATGCCACATTGAAGATTCTCATCATCGGTGAGAGTGGAGTTGGAAAATCCAGGTAAGAATCAAGTGCGTGTGTACGTGTGTATGGCTATCAATGAATGTCGGGTACCACACGAATAAATAATTAATATTTTACTATTTGTTGAATAAATAATATATCGATCACGGTAAGCGAATAAATTGTTAAAAAAACGAATGTAAAACACATTTTCAAGTATTCTTTTAATTAGTTTACATTCAATTAGTTCACAATAGTTTACTTTCAATTTTTATTTAAAGTTTCCTCATGAGATTTGCTGAGAACAAATTTCACCCCGACCAGTCTGCCACCATTGGTGAATTTGCAAAATTATTACATTTTTTAGTTATATGTTCTTTAATTTTGAAAATTAAATAAATTTGTGATGTCCAATTACATTGCAGGGATTGACTTCAAAATAAAATGCATCCGCGTAGAAGGGGAGAAAATAAAACTTTCAATATGGGTAGGTGGTTGAACTGAATTCGATATCATTCACTTAATATTATTAATGAACCAATCAAAAAAAGGTTTAAGGTCATTCCGTCTTACTTCATCAGCTTCAGAGCTATCGACGGCGCATACACAGTTTGCGTGCATATTCGCAAAACTCACGTAACATTAGGAGCTGTCGTGAGGATCTTCTTGCGTTCGAACCAGGTAACTGCAAAGCGGGACCAACCAGGCGTCTTCACTCATCATGCCATCATGCCGCCATTCTTTATTTAGATCTGATTCTTAAGAAATGAACCAATCTTGTTAAATTCTGAACACATTTTTATTTACTGATATAGAACGATATTAAGCATTATAAACATTTTCTTTTATTAAAAATCGAACTGGCCATGTTTTTAGTATCATCAATATTAACACACGATTTGAATTCGAAACCTTTTTAGTTGTCGTGAATATGAATATCAGTAAACATGAAAAATTGTTTTTCAGATACATGCATTGCTCAGTGTGTACTCACATTTACACATTATATAAAATACAAGCGCAATAAAACATCGATTTGTTTTAAAACCCGTTTTATCAAAAAAACTTACTCAAATAGATTAATAAAACATTTGAAAAGACCAACTAACTTTTTTAAGCCATCATCGACAATTTTAACAGCGCAATTGATGTTGCACTAACATGTTGCTGAAAACGCATAAACATCACCAAATGTTTGATATAAATAAATATTTTTAAGTTTCAAAGTAATATCTAACTGGAAAGTTTGATAATGTGTGAAAAATATAATAACTTCTATCAGGAAAAAACATTCAACGGGTTTTAAAAGTAGCTTGCAATGTTAGCACCCTTATTTTAAATAACATTAATTTAACTTTGTTCGTCAACTTAAATTGTTTTAATTTCTAGGACACAGCGGGTCAAGAAAGATTTCGAACTCTTACGCCAAGTTTCTATCGCAACGGTCAGGGATGCATTCTAGGTGAGATAAAATGACTTTCTCATTCTAATTATCTTTAAGTAGTGTGTAACACATATGAACGTAACCATATATTTATATAAAGAAATGTTTCCTATAATCAATAATTTCTGCTTATAACAAACAACACAACAAACTAAACAAGATATTTTCAAACAATTATTTGTATTTTACATCAATTTTACGAAAATTAACATAAACTTCTAAAAGTCGAACTATTAACAACCAGAATTATCAACATAATAGAATAATAATAATTATTATAACAATAATACACAGCATTTTATCCCGACAGTATATGACGTAACAAAATACACAACATTCGCCAAGTTGGACGAGTGGCTAAATGAACTTGATTCGCACTCCACAAAGAAAGATATTGTCAAGTTACTCGTCGGAAACAAAATCGACAAAGTTAGATTGAGTGTCTGCTGAGGTTTTACATCCGTTTTAATACTTGTTTATATCATATTTTCATACTTAACTAATCAAACTTTTGAATAAAATCAATTCATATATTTCTTTCAAACTCTGTCTTGACAGTTTTTAAGACGAGTAAATCTCAAATTCTTTGTCTAATTTAGTAATGAATTTTATAAAGTATTCGAACAATAGCACGTCAAAGATGTATTTAAACTTAACCACAATACTCAGGAACCCAGAGAAGTGACTGAAGAGGATGGCTTGAGGTTCGCCAGCAAGCACAATATGATGTTCACCGAAGCAAGTGCAAAAACAATGGAAGGTGTCCAACTAGCCTTTGAAGAACTGGTTGTTAGGGTTAGACTTTAATAACTTTTTTTATCTTGCAAATTTATTCTGAATCCTTGAAATTTGATAGTCTTCAAAAACGTAAAAATTAAAAATACAATAATTTTCAGATACTTCAAACTCCCGGTTTATGGGAGCCTAATGAAAAAGGAGGAATACAAATACATCGCAAAAGTCATTCCTCTGAAGAAAATAGCTGTGCGTGCTGACGAACCGAAAATAAATTATATTTCGTAATCATTACATTTCGATTTGTCAATATTTCATTGTTGTTATTCCTTTTTAACGTTGCTGAAGAATTTCAAGGTCTTTTATTTTTCCATTTGTATATAGGTAAAGAATGTAATACTTAATTCAATAAATATCATGTAAGTACTTATTTTTTGACCACTGTTATTATGCAAACCTACTTTTGAATAATGAGTTAAAAATAATTTGAAAAAAAGCTCAAATTAAGTTATAGATATTTTTCAATTTTTTGAACAAACTTGTTAAGCAGCAAGTTAAGCTAAATTATGTTAAAACTGTTTTATTATTTTAAAATATTTTTACCGTTTAGAGATTATTTTAATGTTTTTAATGCATTCACTAATGCAATCATTAACTTTCTATGTACCATACAACTATAATAAATATGCAAATCTGCTACTTTGTTAATGGTTAACACAACACGAACACATGAATGCATAAATACCTGATTGGTTTTCCATCATTGCTCCTGCGTTAGTAAGCAGGCTCTTTATTGGAGTTTCCATTTAAAATATCATGCCAGGTTCATAAACATAATTTTTCATCTGCAGGTTTAATTCAACTAATCAAAGGAGCAAAATGGGTTTGAATTGTCGGCTACCAAACTGTACTTCACGTTACACTCGCGAAAAAATCGAATCGAAGAGGCACTTTTTTAAAGTAACGTCGAACAAATTGCACCCTTGGAATGAGAAACTAAAAAGAATTGGACATTTAAAATTAGGCGATGTAATATGCGATTTGCATTTTGAAGAAAAATACATCTTGAAAAATTTTAGTACAACCGTAAACGGTACGTTAATCGAAATCGAAAGAGGGAAATGGAGTTTAACAGAAGACGCCATTCCATCCAAGCACCTCAGCGTTTCTGGTGATAAAAAAATTAAAGACCCCAAAAAGAACAAACCTAAAAATAAATTGAAAAAGTTAGAATTGTTTACACATGATGACTCACAAAGCGAAACTGACATGGAGAAGAATGACAATAACAATAGTGTGCAAACAAATAACAATAAATAATTAACTGATAAATTTTATATTGATTTTTCGTTGTTTTTCATTAATTTTTGTATAATTTGAAAAAATATAAAAGAAACATGACTGTTATAAAAAAAGAACATTATCATCTGCAAATATTAACAAAAAACAGAACTCGATCATATGATAATAAATTCATTCTAGTAAACGTTTGTTTAACTCAAAATCAAGAAATGATTGCACCCATTCAAAAGCATCCATGTCGTACACAACTGGCTCTCCAGATTTGTTCACTAACATTTCATAAAACTGGTCAGAAAAATAAAGTCCTAGGGAATCAATATCACTTGGATCAATTTTACCATTATTAACATAGAACTGTAAGCGAAGAAAGACATCAGATTTAATACTTTCATATACACTTTTATTTCTCGTGAAGTCTGTAATGTTAAAAAATAGCATGGCATATTTTTAATAAATCAGAATTAGCCAAAAAATGTAACAAACTTTCATTAGAAGAATGGAAGTTATGAGAATTAGTACTGTTCAGGTTGGCATTTCTATCTTTAAAGAATTTTTTGGCGGGGAAGTCATGGCTGCTTGCATTGTTCTCGCTGTAAGATCTTTTATTTCTTTGGAATGTATTTGCATTTACAGGCCTAACAATTCTGAGAAGACTGAAACCTTGGATGACATTTGAAGAGCACAGTTTCTTGTGGAGGAGATCTGACTGTGTTTTTAAATCTCGGATGAACTGGCAGTGGAGTAGTAGAACAAGAAGGCATCAAATGTTTTGCATTATGAAAAGCAGTGGCACTGCAACTATTAAATGGAAATTCATTTGCTACCAATGTGTCTTTGGAATTTTGATTGGAACCAAAAGGCATGCTTGCACTTGATGAAAATGTCCTTTCCACTTTATCCACTGGATGTTTTGAAAAATATAGATCTAAATGTGGTTGTACGGCTTTTGTGTTTTTAGAACAACTTTGATATTTTTTTGAGTCATGCGAAAATTTCTCTGATGATGACATGCTTTTTATGAGGTAGGAATTATTAAACTTCTCCCATGACAAATAAGAAAATGATTTGCTTAAAACTTTTTCAAGGCATTTGACATCACCATCTAAATTTTGTGATGATCCATCCACTGAATCATGTAGAATTACTGTCCATTTAGCTTGTTCTACACTTTTCAAACAGAAAAATTGTCTAATGATGGATTCTATATATACTGTTAACGTGAAAATTATTTCCTTTTCAGAAGCTCCTTTGTTGATGGATACAACATGTTCTTCATCCTTCAGGTTGAACTCCTGAAATTTATGGATGACGCCATCTTTATATAATAATTCCAACAACATAATGCTGCAATCGTAAAAGTCTGCATGTTTCAGGTAGTAGTTCAGTAAAAATGAAATAACATTTTGATATTGCACTAAATTCCAATTAATTAGTCCTTTGTGACTGAGACACAATTCAAAAATTTTTCTTATGTTGACGAACATGTTGCCTGCTAAAGAGGCTTTTACTAATAGCCAACATCTGGAACTAAAATCTGGAAATTAAAAATGAAATTTTTAAAGAAATAAAAATACAATAAAAACTTTAGCGAACCTTTTATGCAATTAAAAAATTTGTTCTTTTGTTTCAGACCATCTAGAAAAAATCAATATGTTAAGTTAAGAATATTGCTTCTTTTCCAAATTAATTATCCTTACTTGAACATTTAGATTCGAGAAAAAGTTGAAGAACATCAAGGCAGAGAGTCACCAAGCTATAAAACTCTGTCGGCTGATCATCCAGCGAATTAACAGACATTATGTGATGTGAAGCATATTGGAAGACCACATTCAGATTTAGAAGTTGCTGATAAGAGAGCACAGGAAATGGATTGTCCTTTACCTTGGATGATGGGAGGCATGAAAAATAATCAAAACTTTTCACCATTTGAATAATCAGGCCATATTTTTTTTGATTGAAGCATGCCTGTCGAGCAAATTTTATGTTACAATATTTAATTGGAAAATATTTATTGAACACCTTTCTAGCTACTCAAGACAAGCTATATAAAATGTAAACAGCATTAAAGATTTTAGTTAAGTTTAAGGCATTGCATCAATTCAATTGCATCAATTCAAATCAATTGCATCAATTATTATTATTATTGATTTATAAAAATTAATAAGAGATTTGTAAGAATAAAAAACGAATATGCCAGCTTTTAAGAAAACAGTTTCTGGGAAATAAACAAAGTCAATCAAAATTAATTAAAATGGATTTGCATGTTTTCCACTATAGGGTGAAGTTGACGTTTTCAAATAATTTGTCATGTAAAAAGTACAACGCTCATATTAATCCGGCCCATGACAAGCAGGCTCATTTCTTTCTCTCGACAAAGGAAAATTTAAAAATGATATACACATCTTAAACACACAAGCACAATTTTTCAATGACATTAAGGTAAATGAAATTAACCTCTATGACAGCTTTAATCACATTGGGTATAGTGAAAAATTTTGAGTTGACATTATGAAAATATATTTTCTCATTGAGCATGATTTTGAGGATTGTCAATCCCACAAGCGATTTATTATTTAAGCAGCAATTGAGAACTAGTCGTGCCCCTATTACAGGCAAACAGTTCTTTATGCAAGATGAGCACAAACCACCTGTATCAGTTAATGTGTAAATATAACGATCATAATCATCATATAATAAATATTAGAAATTGTAAATTTTAAGACAATAACTGTAAACACAAAAAAATAAAGTAAAAAGTTGTTTTACCAGAGATCTGTTCAACCAGGATTCTGTAGCATGTGGCAGGATCATCCAATAGACTAGCTGTAGTGTTGCAGAGTGTATCAAAAACGTCTTTTCTTTTTTGACAGTAACAGTCCAAACAACGTAATATCTTCTCATACTTTTGTTGCTTTGCTAATTCCTTTTGAATATATGTTACAATTTTAACGATATAGGATTATAGCAAAACTATCAAATTTTCAACGTCTAAAAATTTATTTTAAACGTGAACAGCAGAAAAATCAATAACCATGCATTCTTCAACAAATACTGTGTTGGTTAAACATGCATTTAGTAAATCTTAAAGTAAATCACTTGTGTACAAGTGCACTGGAATGAAGTTACATGATGCATATCGAATAGAGTGATTACAATATAAGCAACAAATGGAGGAGGAGCAGGAACAGTATAGAAGCAAAAAATGGAAAGCAACTGGTTGGATGTCTGAATGACGCGGAATCGAGTTCAGCATTAATTTAACATCCCCTGCATGCAATGTTTTTCAAATTTTTAATCCTAAACTCACGCTGAGAAAAAATCCCGAATTGATGTTAGTTTTGTAATAATGCAAATCTTTCATCAACCTGCCCCTTGATTTACCTTTAATCCCGGTGCTATCTGCATGAAGGGCTATAGACAGGTCGAACAATATTTCAGTAGAAATTTTTTCAAAACATAGTCTCATTAGTTAGGCTACATAACAAGAAATTGAAACCTATATCAGCATTTTAGGTAAGTTTTGTAGTCGTCCATAAATTATCAAAGATATCAAAGATATCTAAAAATATCAAAGAACTTCTAAATTGAAGGTATGCACACCAGCGTGTTTGAAGATATGAGATCCCTAAAACAGGATACACTTGGTGTAGGTTTAACATTATCTGCATCAGATAGAAAAATAAGACCATAAAAAAATGCCCATTTCCCATCATGTTTCTGAAACGAAGTTTCAAAAGAGAAAGCAATCATAGAGGCAGCATAAAGACCATATTAGACACAATTGCAATGTGTAAGAAAAAGATGCCAGAGCTTGCATTGAAAATGGGAATGTTTTTTGTACATATGAAGAATAATAATGATGTCTGGCTTTGTAACTGAAAAGTAATTTTATATTATATTGTCGTTAAATTATCTTGCCTTATTAAGCTAAATTTAGTATTAGAGTGAAATAAATTAGAGCAAAAATTTAAAGAAAAAAAATAAAATAACCTTCATTTCATTTTCAAACATTGCAAAAAATATTTTATCGTCCTCAATTTTTTTGTCGCTTTCACATTCAGGATTATTGACGAATGTGTCTAGCAACAAGACTTCCTCCTCTGTAACATCAAGTGATATGATCTCAGTCTCTGGGTTGAACATATCGTTCACATCACTGTATATCACAAATTTCTTTTCATCTGATAACTCTGTTACAATGGTATTCTACTTATTAACAATGTATCGAAACATTTAAAAATTTTGCATAACATTTTAAAACTGAAACAAAAGATTCACATATTAAAAAATTTGTTATTATACCCTAAGAGCCATCCTAATCAATACAGGTTTATTTATAGAATATTGAATGGAAATAGAATATTATATTAGCCATACAAAACTTCGAACTTTTACAAGAGCGTTAGTAAGTTAATAATAAACAAGAGGCTCGATCTCAAAATATAATCTAAATTATCAATTATATAAACAACTATGAAGCAGAATAGACTAATAGGACACTTGTATGGATTGGACAAATGAAAATCAACTTTAATAAAGAAAAAGTGCATAAGAACAAATGAAAAATATACTTCTGAAGCAGAATTTTTTGAAGAGAATTATGTAAATAAAAAACGCCTGAATTGGCATGTCATGAAAAATTAATTTGTAGCTCATTGATGCTGATGAAATGCTATAATGCATTAATTCTTTAAAATAAACTACATTCTATTAAAACTAAATACATGTAGCTTGGCAGTCAACACCAGCTTCAGTGTGAATGACTTCAAGAACAGCAGAATGATTAGACACAAAGCTTTAAAAAACCCTTCTTTTGTTTCAATAAAATTGAGTCCAATTAGCTGAAAGAATGCATCAACAAATCTACAATATAATTCAAAAAATAAAAACACTACAACGATGAATTTTATATTGTTAAAACGATCACATTCTAAATGATCTTACTTTCGGGACCTGATATGTCATGTTCGTCTTCACCGTCGTCGTCATCATCACTTCTTGCTAACAAGTCCTCGCATAATGACCTAAATATTGAAATATTAATTTATAAGGATGATCGTGTGATGCAAAAATGAAGACCAAATAAGTACCCATCTCCTTCCAGCTGAGAATTTGAATTGTCATCACTCGAGTCTTCACTCTCATCATCTTTTGTGACGTTTCCAACCTCATTTACAACCTTAATATCTCCTACATTTTTATCACATGACTGTTTAATGTCGGTGTCATGTAATTCGTTATCACAAATGCTGCTAGCTTGTAAATTTAGGTCAGAATTTATTATAGAATTATTTTTTTTAGAATCCTCTGCATTCTCAAAATTTACAGAAAGTGGAATTTGTTCACATTTGACATCATCTTCCAAATAGTCAGGTTCAAAGCTTTCTTCATCATCCATCACTAGACTCGGTTTGAATGGCTCAAATTTTTCCTTCTGCTATAAATTGACAGACATATTTTAAGATGGAATAAAGAGGTGGCCAATAAAAAAGCCCAGGTCATTAAATTTCAAAACCAAAAAGAATGAATTAAGCTTACAAACTTCTTAATCAACTAAAAATAATTTAATAAAGATGTTGAAAACACCTGAGAACTAACTGCAAGAAAAAGACCTCTACAACCAAAATTTGTTTATTTGTTCACCTGAATCTAACAACCACCTTAGTGCTTTTTGGCAAAACAACATAAGTAGGCTGATATTTCCGAACTAAAAAATATGGTGGAAACCCAATGTTTATACAAATAATAAACTATGTCACAGTGGAAGCAGTAATTAACTAGAGTAACAAGGCGATGGTGATTTGATATCCTTACAAACAAACAGTAACTAAGGTAAGATGAAATCAGATTATAGCAAATATGAAACAGAAACAACGAAAGTGATGATGAATTTTCTAACTTCTTTACGACATAACAAGTGATTATGTCATGAAACAAAATTTATGTTTTTTAAAAGCAGCACACATTATTGAAAACCAACAAAGACCCAGCGTTAAAACTTAAAAAAAACTTTAAAACTTAATATAACAAAAAATAGTCTGATGTTTTTTATATTTTTTCGGCAGCGCAGCAGAAGATATTGTTAAAAAACGTCTCAAGTGGCACTTATTAAATCACCAGGACAGAAACCAGGAAAAGATTGATAAGCACAAAGCACATACCAATGTGCTTTGTGCTTATCAATACCATGGTTTATGCAATACCAGTCAGTAAAATTCAGTAGCATGACATTATAAGTTGAAAGCAACTTGATCTCATGATAAACTATCTTCATTTTGCTTATAACAGCAAAGCAAACATGACCAGGAAATTAAAAACTTTGACAGGCATTTCATAAAAATGCTTTTTTCTCTCAAATGTAAGAATAAACAAGCATAAATGTATAAATGTTGTAAGGTGCCAACAAGATTTGATAAATCATATTGAGCCTATAGCCACAGTTTGGAACACAAATGCTTGGCCCAAGACAATGGGATAAAATGAGTGCTTTTTATCTTATAAAATTAGTAGAAATGCATATTTCTACGGTTAGTAACACTCAAAACAATCAGCGCAAGGCGGCTGCTCCATTATTATATTTTGATTATGGTGAATGAGCCAGGTAGCAAGCATTTATGTGAATGTAGATTAGCACAAAATCTGTGAAAACAGATGTAGCCACCAGGAATAATGTACAGAATAAATAAATGGTCAGAATATGTCAGCAAAAATCACAGTTGGGTGGGATACTTGTGCAATAAGGAAGTAAATGATGAAAACTTCCAAAATATAACATAATGATAACATCCATTTAAAACAAAAAGCAAATGTGCAAGTTCTTCCTGTAATGTTATGCATGTTGCAAATGAGAGATGACAAATATGTTCCAATGAATACCATGCATTGCAGCTACTAATAAGAGGAATAGTGAAAGATTTTGTAATAAATTGCAAACCAAACAGACATAATGCGGTTGGTGTTTAGCACATGGTTAAATGCCAGGAACATATAAGATTTGTTTTAATTGTTTCCACATTTACACATAATTCTGATTTGAAGTAAAAAATTATTTTCATTGGTTCTCATTTGTGTAAAAACGTTTCTTCCTGAAGTACAATTTTGATCATAAAATTGTAATAATGCTTTAAAATAAAATCCCTAAAATAATAAGGTTACAAGAAAATTATTATGGAAGATGAAAAACAGTGTACAAAACTTCAGGGATAATTATGATTTAATGGTGCTCTATGAAAACTGTAACAAAAAGTAATACTTACCAAAAAAATATGAACCACTATTTCCAATTTTATACTTAAAAAAGATATCACTTTTGATAATATGAAAAACTTTTCTAACTTTTAATTTGAAGAGCATTTTATGCTTTGTAATAAGTGATTTGCTTCATGTATGGTGCCCTTAGTTTTAGAAATTAATAGTTTAGGAATATCAGTAAAGCTGGTTAACAAATATTCCTTGACAAAAATGATTATATATGATGATGTCTAACTTCTTATATAATTTCAAAAGTTATTTTCTATAACTTTCTATAACTATAAAGCAGCTATGTGTTTCATAGCAAAGAGAAGCTACAATGTGATATGGACCAAAAAATCTTAGTAAACAATTTACTGGATCTTAAAGGTGTCTGCCTAAGACAGCTGTGACCTTTGAGAGCCTAGAGGCAATTGCTTAACAAAATTTTGCTCACTAAACCGCGTAAATTCTTGTCCTTTCAAATACCGGTCTTAATTCAAACAGTTTCTTGAACTTTTCTAACAAAAAATAGAAGACATTAAAAGTTTTACACTGGGTTTTGGTGACCCTAGTTTATCAGTATTGAATGCACAAAATGGTTTCTCTAAATTTTCATTGTGCTCATCTCCGGAGATAAAAGCTATTAAAAAAAATCTGGAAATAAGACATGCACACTTGATCCGCTGCCAATGCACATTTATTTTTTAAAAATATTGATTTGTCCATAGCATTTTTAACATTTTTTACCAATTTCTGTTTGGCAAGCGGCAACTTCCCCTCTAAATATAAACATGCGGTCGTTACTCCACTTTTGAAAAATCAAATAATAGTGACATAAACATTTTAAGAAATTATCGACCGGTTTCCAATTTGACATTTATCTCAAAGATCATTGAAAAAATTGTACTGGGTCAGCTCCTTAATTACTTAAGAACAAATAATTTGCAGCCTAAAAATCAATCTGGTTACAGACAGTACCACTCGACTGAGACTGCTCTGTTACAGATCACATCGAAATTGTTTAGGGCGTCTGATGCTAAACATGATTCCATACTGACTCTTCTTGACATGAGCGCAGCCTTTGATTGTGTTGATCATGCAACTCTTTGTCACAGACTAACATTAAGTTATGGCATTTCTGATTGTGTAATAGATTGGTTGAGATCATACCTGTCTGATCGATCACAGCAGATTTTTTTGACGGTGCCATGTCAAAAACTAGTCGTGTCACAGCAGGGATTCCGCAGGGTTTCATCCTGGGACCACTGCTGTTTACATTCTACACGGCGGACGTCCTAAATCTTATTAATGATTTCAATTTTAAAGGTTTTGCTTACGCCGAAGACATACAAGTGGTTGCTAGTTGTCCTGTCAGTGCCATTAATGATTTAACTGAGCGACTTAGTAAATGTCTTTCATCCATAGATACCTGGATGGCACAAAACAGCATTAAAACTAATAAGTCTAAAACATAGTTTTTGCCAACCGGTACATAGCAGCAGTTGTCGCAGGAGGCTGTTGACTCAATACAGATTGATAATACAAATATCGAGTTTAGTAAAAATGCTATTGCAGCATGTTCTCTCCAATTGCGCGGATTTGAGCAATTAGAAAATGTTTAAATAAAACAACATGTTCTCCGGTGATGCACGCTTTTATGCACTCTCGCCTAGACTATTGCAATAGTCTGTTATATGGTGTCGCCAAAAAAGACACTGCAATGATGCAGTCCATTAAAAATAGGACTGCCAAGTTTGTTGGTGGTAGTCGCAAGTTTGATCATGTTAGCCCGATATTGCAAACTTTGAATTGGCTACCTGTCCACAAAAGATTGACTTACAAAATTTCAATTTTAATGTTTAAATGTTTAAACAACATGGCTCCACAATATTTAATTGATAAATGCACATCACACAAACTTTGTTCAAAGGTTTCTAACATTTTAACGGTGCCATAAACAAGGCTTAAGACAGGGTCGAGATATTTTTCTGTGTGGACTGTTTTTAAAGTCTTCCCAAAGGACTTCGTGTATCGGGCTTATCTTTAAGTCAATTTAAGAAAGATCTTACAACTTACTTGTTCTTGGCTAAATAAATCGTTATAAGATTGTGAGATTGCACCTGTGAGAATACCCTAATTTTATAATGGGTGTTCCACAAATTTCCTAATAATATATATATATATATATTTATATTGCATTTTTATATTTTCTTGATAGTATTATTACATATACTATACACCAAAATATTGATTGTACTTATTATCTTTAGTTTCTTGCACTGTTGTGAACCACAGATGTGTGTGAACATCCTGGGCAACATTGGAAGGAATTATCACATCACACATAACATTTGACAAGTTTAATTTCACATAATTATTGTTCAGAATGATTGTATTTAGAAATTATTGGAATTTTTACTCTTTTAAATGTTATTGTCTGCTACATTAATATAATTCATCTAAAAAGTTTTTAACTTCTGAAACTACCCCCAAACAAAAACAGATAAAACCTTAAAAAGATAATACACAGTTGAGCAAGTCAAATCTCCCAAAAAACAATGGAATAGAGAATCAGAATACAGAACAAAGGTACTGCCGACCGAGCAGTTGGCTTACTTACAGTTACACTGACTGAAGCTTTTAACAATAAACAGGCATTTATGAATGCCGTCTTAAAATAACGTTCAAGAGTTAATTTTTGTGTTCATGGCATTGTGGTGTGGGGGACTGTACCTGATCCAAACCAAACCAAAAGATGTAAGATTTTATGATTTAAATTTACAAAGCATATGAAACACTTTTCAACACATACCTTTCACATGATGTTTACTGCAACTATCAAATAATTGAATAACTAATCAAACATTGGTTAAAAACCTCTTGAGCTAGCACTGGCGGCACCTTCATGTTTGGTTTGAATGATATTGATTGAATGAAAAAGAAAACTAAACGGAAACGCACGTGATAAAAAAGTGCAAGACAAACCCAAATACAAAATTTCTAAAATGGAGAAGCGCAAAATAGGCTGCACGTGTAGCTTGTTGATTGTTCCAACTTGCAACTGAAAAGTTTCAACCTCGCCTGCTGATGATAGTTAAGTTAAATAAGTAATTAAGTCCGACCGTTTGACTGGCAAAATCGAACGAACCGCACAACAGAAACCAA